TAGAAGTCACATCGGGTACCGGTATTTAGACCATTACACGGTGTATCAAATTTCGAAACGGACCAGCCTACCTCCTCCTACCTAGGAGGTTCCTTTAAATAAATTACACGTTAACTGTTTTACTAAAACTGTAACTAACAAGTTGACGATATTTTCAATTTATGTACAGTGCTCTCTCGATAATCCGAATTAATTGCTAAAAGGTTGTATTCGGATTAGCGAGGGTGTTAAAAAATACATACATATGTAAAAAAAAAAAAAAATTGCATGCAAAATTATTGCATGCACAAAACAGTAAACCTGTTAGAATGCATATATATACTGTCAATTTTTCATTAAAACATCAGTGTTTTTTTTAATTTATTTAACGTTCTCGCATTTTTAAGCAGTAGGTATATACTTATCCAAGAAAAACGTAGATTGCTCTAATTTTTCATTTTTTAGTAGTGAAAGAAGTGGGAGATACACTGAACAAAAGACATTCTCGACAATTTGGTTTGGCTGATTTGATCTTTCATATAACTCGCTCCATTACTCACTCACTTTCACTCTCCTCCTCACTCACACTCTCACTCTCTCTCTCTCTCTCTCTCATCCACCCATTCACTCCCCCACCTACTCTCACACATTCACTCATTTCCCTCTCTCTCACTCTCTCCCCTCACTCTCACACTCTTTTTGTATTTCTCTCTTTCACTCACTCTCACTCACTCATTCTCTCTCCTCTCCCTCCCTCCTCACTTATCACTTACTTATCACACTTATTGTGAATTTTTTTTTTTCAATTCGGATTACTGGCGTAGTCAGATTAGGGAACGAGTACTGTTTTATCCTTTTTTAATTTAAAAAAAACCTACAGCCATTCTCTCTCGTTCTTTCTTTCTTACTGCGTTTCTTTCTCTCTGTCTCTCTCCCTCGTCCTCCTAAATAAAGTTTCATTTGTATTCTTTAAATTTTTGACTTCTTGAATTTTTTACAATTCGGATTACGGGAATGGTTGGATTAAGGAAAGAATACTATTTTATCCTTCTTTTTAAATAAAAACAAACCCTACAGACATTCTCCCCCCCCTCTCTCTCTCTCTCTCTCACACACACACACACACACTCTCTCTCTCTCTCTCTCTCTCTCTCTCTCTCTCTCTCTCTCTCTCTCTCTCTCTCTCTCTCTATTTTTCTACCTTTCTTTTTCTCTGTCTCTCTCCCTCGTCCTCCTAAATAAAGATTCATTTGTATTCTTTAAAATTTTGACTTCTTAATTTTGTGTGGTGTTTAGTGACCGTTAGCCAATGAAATGCGGTCTGGTGTGACGTAGGTTTTAGAAAAACATTTTCTTTATCGTGACAACGTTCGATCTTTAGAGATCATCTTCAGGGCCTGGGATTTATAAACATTGTTTTAATTTTACAAATACATGTAGGATGTAGAAAAAAATATCAATTTATACAATGCTAGAAATTTTAAATTCTATCAAAGTATTTGGTGAAGAGTGAGTACAAATACTTTGATTGCATTTAAAATGTCTAGCATTGTAAAAATTAATATTTTCTTCCACATCCTACATGTATTTGTAAAATTTAAACAATGTTTATAAATCCCAGGCTCTGAAGATGATCTCAGTAAAGATCGAAACGTTGGCACGATAAAGAATATGTTTTTATAAAACCTACGTCACACCAGACCGCATCACAATCTCCAAGTAATCACTTCTTAAGTTTTTCCAAAATCGGATTAATGGAATGTTCGGAGTACCGAAGTTCTGGTTAGGAAGAGAACACTGATTTGACAGTGACAGTTGAAAAAAAACATAACATATAAAATATAAAAGAATGTTAAGCCCTTACTTTTGCACACTTAAAGATTAATTTCCTCTTAATGGTATTAATTAAAGAATATCCAGACAAGAGTCGTAATTTTTAAAAACTCGATATATCCCAAATAGCTATTGATAAATAGAAGGCTGATAATACCTTATAGGCATTCGTCTTTTTTCTTTTTTTTTTAAAAGGAGGACGAGGATCCTTTTATGCCGCCTGAAAACAAAACAGGTCACGTTTCGACGAAGAATTGACACATTAACTATTTATTAGCACCTTGGCCAGTCGATTTTCCCGATTTCACTCTACAAAGGTTGATCTAATTTAGCGGTTCCAGGGGGGAAAAAACGAAAATTGAGATCAATTAGAAAACCGTGTCAAAACTTTTTGACGCTGATGGTCCTTTTAATGGTGTTTTGTTTTGATACGACAAGACTTTCTCAATCTGGCGGAAAATAATTCGACGGGAAATTTTAATTTTTTTTTTTTACTTGTAAAATGTGTTGCATAATTTTTATTATCTCTAGATATGAGCTGTAACTTTCTCCCAAAAGTTAAAATTATCAATTACTGAATATCATTAATGTTAAGTTTATTTTAAATCTACAATTTTTTCAGTTATGAAAGTATAACCCATCGAGCTTAATTCGCCGAAAATTTGAGTTAATTTGTCACAAATTTGGTATTACTTTTCATAATTATCATTTATTCTAGCGGAAATTAAAAATTGACAGAACACCCATCTGAAAGAAACTCGAAATGATACTCTTTCAAAATTTATGCACAAAAATAAGATGAGTTTTTTTCTAATAGACTAAAAGAGCAGTCTAAATTCAATCTATGCCCTATTGCATTTCTTTCGCAGGCAACGATCACTTGGTAGTTAGTAAAATGAATCAGAATGTTTTCACGCGAAGTTCAACATGTGGTATTTTTGTGCATTTTCTCTTTTCACTTCCCTGGCTTGTATAACTTGCGATTCACGCTCGACTGACAAACCTGGTCGATATGGCAGTCGACGAGCACTTTTTATAGGATTTGCTCAATAGAGGCTCGTAGAGCCCCGCTGTTTACTACAGATTATCTCCTGAACCTTGTTCCCTTCGCAGAATTTGCATCGCCGTTTTCCATTTATATAAACTACCTCTTCACGGACCACCCATTTATCTTCCAATTCAAATCATCGTGGTTTTGGCGGCTGTAAAGTCTTTCTTCCAGTAAAGTGACAATATTTTTATACGTGAACGAGATTTTTATTTCAAAAATGCCAGTTACAATCACGATAAAATGTATGGACTAAATTGACAATCAATATGTTAAATTATTATATATATATGTAAACACCTATGATGATTCCTCCTCTCCCAAAAATGATATAGATGATGATGAGCAGCTTCAAGAGTTTACCTTTTGTAATCTTTACCAATATTGCTGATGTACAAGATATTGGGATGGAATTCTTTTTCCACCCATCATCTCTAAATGTTACAAAAAATCTTTGATGTCTTGTCTTTATAACTTCTGTATTGTGGCAACATCTGTCATTTCTCCAATGGTATAATTTCTCTTTTATTTTCCGTTAGAGCTTTAAGTTATGCTTTCCTCTTAATCACGGAGTAACTCTTCTAAACATGGCCTAAACTATTTATGACATATCCAGCCACTTCTTTTCCTTACCAATCACTGCAAACAACCTGTGTATTCACCAATGCAGAAACTTTTTTTAAATTCTTGCCTTCAGTGTTTCTTTTAAAAAAAAATATATTAAATATATATATAAATATAAAAAATAACTGCTAATAATTACTAGAAATTAATTTCTGATCTATTGTTTTCCCCCTTAAATTTCTTAAATTGCATATATTTTTACATTATTTGTTATTCACATCTACAAATATTGTATTAAATAAATACATGAAGGAATGCTACCCAGTATGAAAATTGTGGTTGAGCACGGCAGCGATTATCTGAGTCCTCTATTCCAATTCTTGGAGGAAACTGGGTTGTTTTATTGTATATAGTTTTTGTCCCTAGTATGTGTTGAGGGAATGTATTTATTAGCGTGAATGTGTAGTATGAGAGGGCTGATGACAGAATATTGAGTACCCCATCAACCCTTAATTAGGTAACTTATACAATAGGTGTAGTGTATCGAGAACTCCATGAACTTTTGCTGTCAGAATGTATTTAAGAATGAATGAGAGTGTGAGTAGGTTTGGATATAAGAACTGCAAGAATTGGACCTAGCTGTTGAGAGAATCAGATGGTGGTTGGACGGATAAAACTAAGGTTTCACCCCAACTGCCAACACCCGCGGTTGGTGATTTTCAAGGGCGCTCGTAATTTATAGTAAACTACAAAAATTGGAATTGCCTGTGGACTGCAAGAAGTGCTAGGCTCAATGTGTGTGTGTGTGTATATATATACAAAACGTGTGGATTGGAGCCTATATAAATTCAAATTCAAATTAAGTAAATATTTTCTATATATGCTGGTTGTGTCATTCAAAATTCATTTATTGGCTATCACTCCTCACACTGAAACCTCGTCATTAGTCACTCACTGAAAAGCCTCGGGACCACTTTCGCTTCACTTGCCTTGTAGGATTTTCTGGTAGGGTTGGAAGTAATAACGATCATACTTGTAGATTATTGTGGATGCTCACTGATTTATGAAATTATATAGTGGATTTTGATGAGATCATGTACAAGGAAGATTTGAAGGTAATTATGAATAGTATGATTTGAAACATAAAAGAAGCATTTATTATTTGACGGAAAATTTTTGACTGAACTGATTGGAGACATCATGAATTGGAATCGTTGGTTGAGCCCCACAATTCACGACTGTACCACCCTGAGAGGGCTTTTTTTACACAAGAAAAATTTATCTATACGCGCTTTGTTAGGTTATTTTTATTCTCTACGTAGTGAACCGTACTGTAATCATTTAGGTGTTGTTGTAACTGTTGAGTGTTATGGAGGGGCCTGAATTACATGTAAGAATCATTGTATTTGCAGCATGATTGATTTTGCATGATCATCTGCAGTGTACATTGAAAAAATGATGGGCCATGCTTCCCTGAGAATCACCCACCCTCATGCATGTTCACATATGTAAAATCTAAAATATATTTAAAAAAAAGGATCAAAATGATAACAATTAATCGTTTTTTATGTTTCAGGGTTGCACCCGGTTTCCCAGACCCCAAGACATGTCTACTACATCAAAAACTTCAGGTATAACAAAAATTTACAACATGAATTTATCTTTAATTCCCTTTCATGCCATATAAAATAAAAATATGTTTTGTTTTAAATTAACCAATAAAAACATATTAACCAAAAGCTTTATAAATTATTTACAGATTGGTCCAATTCATAATCATTATAAAATATAATTTTAGTAGCTTTCTTTTATTTCTTACAGGTTAAGTCAGTTATAAGTGTCTGTTTATTGTTTGTTAGTGTCTGATATTTGCTACAATATTTTTTGTCCTTTAGATGATCAACTGTTGTATTGAGAGAAGAATTAAGCGACATGAGGAATTGTTGAGAAGGTCTAAAGAATCCGGTGTGTGAATATACATAATTCTAGTTAAAACAATTATAGATTTAGTCATTCTTATTGCATGCATTTTGCATTAACTAATTAACAAATCCAAGATAATTATTATAAATTTCCACTTTAAATTGATTTCCTGTTGTGCAGTGTCAAAAAAAAAAAAAAAAAAACTAATGTGGTTTCTCCGTCTTTTGTTAAACAAATCACTCTACCTGACCACCACAGCGTTAATTTACTCTCTGCATCATTTAACTGAACATTTTGTCATTTTTCAATCCAATGATTACAGACGAGTCGGAAGATGAGTTTTTTGACTGTGATGAATCTGATCAAGAAAGTGAAACGAAAGGCGGTGGTGACCCAGGGGCAAAAGGCGACTCTACCAGCAGAAGATCCTCAAAATCCGTAGATGCCCCAAGTGGGCGGCTTGCTCAACATGAAACCCTGAAGCTTTTAAAGACTGGTCAGCCTCTGTACATACCAATTACTCAAGTAAGGCTTTGCCTAATGAATGTTAATTAGTAATAAATACATTTTTTATTTTATTTATTTATTTTTTAATGCAAGGGTGCAACACCAAAAACCGAAGATCAATCAGAAGAAGATGCTAAAGTGTTGATCCAATTGGGCACCGATGCTGAAGGTTCTCAGCTGAGAGCAAAACTTATGAGTGCTTCATTACTCTCAGACATGGAGTCATTCAAAGTAAAGTTTCAATTCATTTTAATAATAATAATATATAAACCAACTTTTAAAAATGTTTATTTAATTTATGATATAAAAATATTAATTCCACATACTACCACTTGATAATAAAAAATAAGAAAAAGGTAAACACATTCCTTGAGTATCATCCCAAGGAATTTGTTTACCATTTTCTTTTATTGAACTTGAATTTCCTCAATTCAACACAAATTTACAGGCTGCAAATCCAGGCGCTGTGTTCGAGGATTTTATCCGTTGGTGTTCACCTAGAGATTGGATCGAAGAGGATGCAGATGATGAGTTTGGTCAAAAAAAAGGTATCGTACAATCATAATCGAAATTCTATTTCATATGAAATAATTTAAAAAAATGTTATCAGGCCAACTTAGTGCACGAATGAAGCTACCAGGAAACACATGGCTTGAAGTCTGGGCAAGTGCTCGGGGCATCCCGGCAAATAGGCAGAAGCGGCTATTTGATGAAACGACTGAAGGTGAAAAGGCGCTTCATCTGATAGAATCTTGTGACCCTGGTGATGCCATTTCAATGGTAAATCTTAAATTGAAAAAAAAAAATATTTATATAATACAAATAAATTAAATTTATTGAACAGCTGCTTCCAGCTCTTGCACATGCAGCTATCAAGAAAATATCTGAAGAATCAGCTGCAATTCCTTTGCCGACACTGCAGACTGCAGTCCTGCATGTTACTAAAAAGCTTGAAGTTATAACCAGACAAGCACCCCAAGACACCAAAAGATATCAGGTATGTTTTCATTTAATGCTTTTTTTAGATGAATGCTCTCCCATCTATAAGAAACAAATTTTCAAATTTCTAACTACCTTAAAATTGCCAAAACATTCAATGTAATTATAAAAAATTCAAATATTATTAATTTCCTAATTGAAATTTGGCCCTATACTCCAAAATCCTATGAATTTATAATAAGTAAATATAAAAATTCTGATTGTAAATTATAAATACTGCTAGTAGATAGTATAAAAAGTATAATTTCAGGAATTAACATGGGAAATAGGCCAAATTGAGACTCTTATATCACAAGTGCATTCTCTGGAACACAAAGTTTGTTGTGAAGGAGTCGATCCATCGATTGCATGGAGCCTTGTATCTGAACCAGAAGTCACCCTTCCAGGTGGGCCGGCCGCATTGACTGCTACACGGATCAAACTACTTTTCAGCCATGCCTTGAAGGTTAGCCATTCAAAACAAAATCTACTACATCAGATTTAATCAAACAGACATAATCGCACGTTTAGTAATAAATTAACACTTTTAGAATAATGAAGTACCGTCAGAGAGTGGAGATGCCAAACGAAATCCTGAAAAGGAAAACATCCACCAGGGGATATTAAAAGAGGCCAACGAGAAGGAGTTCATACTCAGAACATTGACTCCCAGACCCACAAAACAGTCGAAACTCTGTCCCCAACGTCTTTTTGCCAAAATAACCAAGTCTGATATCACAATGGCTTCTCTCTTTTCTCAAGATACAACTTTTTTCTAAGTTTTAGTACAATACAAATGTATCCTATTAAAATATCTGTTGTTTATGTGTTGCATATTTGCATAAAAAAAGGTTGTTTCGTTTTAAAAGGTCTATATCATTAGAGTTTATTAATGTTATAGTTATGTATTATATAATAATAATAATAATATACAAATATATATTTTAATGTGCTCAGTAACTCTTTAATCTCTATATCAGTTGTGAACTGTAGCAATTTATTTTTACGTCCATTTTGAATCACTCTTGCTCCTTTTGAAGAGCACCAATTCCGTTCAAAATTTGACAGTACATTCCTCAGTTTTTATAGTTTTTAGTAGAAGTAAATAAATGGAAGGGGAAAAAAGTTGTATTTTATTGAAAATGTATTTTTCACAAAAAGCATTAATTACATATTTATAAACATAATAACGAAAAAAACCAAATAAATGCTGATTACAAGTTTATTTATCTCAACTCTGAGCGCTACACATGAGTACAGAGTTGGGAAAAAAAAGTAATATAAATAAGGACAAAAAAAATATATATTTCAAAAATGACTATGAATGTTAATTCAAGTAAAACTAAAACTGCGGCCACTTGGCAGACAAGAGGCGAAAATGCAGAAAGACAATACAGTAGATGTTAGGGATTAGTAGAAGGTTAGGAAGGGCAGTGGTAAAAGAAACATTCCCCTCAACATGTAGATATTGTGGCCGAATTATTTTACAGAAAAAAAGAATGTGTCACAATTCATCACAAAAGTTTGAGAGAGAGGTCAGATTGTGAACAGAAGGGATAAAAATGGTGGTTTGTGGATAATGAGGATGGGTAAGAAAGGAGAGGTGTCAATTTATACAAGGTCTCTGCTACACATTGGATACAACCTCAGCCTAAAAGTGTCCAGCTAAAGGTCTTAAGTGCAAAAAAAAAAAAAAGAAGGAGAAAACTCATCACGAGTCCCAAAAAGTTTAAAAAACTTGTCTTTTTGCTAAACGTAATCTGGTTCTAAATTGAAATTCAGTGGAAATTTTGCAGGGTAATCGTATATTATTATAACCTTAATTAGTCTAAATAAAAAAATGTTGTATGGAAAAGGCTTAAATTAGATGTTCATATTATTACAAGTTCAATCTCAAAGTATATACGAAATAAGGTGTATCATAATTTATTATTGTAATAATAGTGTTACTTTTTACTGATTTCACATGACTTTCATTGTATTGTTTTCTTTTTTCCTCAAATAAAACTTATTTCTAAGTTTGTGCTTATTATGAAATATCTGATTTATGTTTTTTTTATTTTACTAATTTGCATTGCATCACTTTCAAAGATTTATATTTTATTGAATATATTTTTGCGAAAAAATAAAACTGAATATGGTTTTTGTTTTTATCATTACAATTATCCTTACATACTAAAAAGTGAATTTAAACTTGTAGGAAAGCATTGTTTGATATAATTGATAAGTAGGAAGTTATTGATACTTCAATGCTTGTCGAGTTATATTAACCACCTTGGTGCATGGCATCGCCGAAGCCCTCAATTATTTGCTTTCTTTTCCTACCTTTTCATGTTTTTATCCTACTTATTTCTTTTCCTGTCTCCAGCCAAGTTATGGTGTTATAACACCAACTCTCTTTTTCATATATCCTGTAAGAGTTCTGACCCCTTGTTCGCAAAACCCAATGGGTGGTTGGTCATCTTTGGGCCAAGTGGTATTTTACAAGGAATAAAAGAGGTGGCCGCAAAACCTACTGCACTCGACTTGAGTAGATCTATTTTGCCTCATCTATTTGTATAACTCTCTGGCTAGTTAAAGGGTGTTTTAATCAATCTACATAATCTTGCCAGCAGCTCCCTAATGTAGCATTTTGCTCACGTCAGTTTCTAAATATTAGCAAGGAACTGGCATTTTACTTGACAAAGTTTGGTTATTTTTGTCTGTTCGCTGATGGTCCCCTATACATAACAATTAAAGGTTTTGTTGATGGTTAATGGTAAATATTGAACCATTAATCGACCAAATTGAAGGACTGTTTGGACAAAAAACCCTGGATGGAGAGATCTTCAGATAATTGCACAAATTCAGCCTAACCAGGAGTCAGCGGAGAAGGGGTTGCCCATTGCCCTGTCATATTTTTTAAAAAAAGTTTAAAAAATTACAGAAATTTGTGCTAAAAATATTTCATTTTTCTTAAAATATGTGAAATAAAAATAACATTAATGATTCAATATTCCTTGAATTGTTTAAGACCCGGAAATTGGAAAAATATTGATCAGGGAGAAATACGTAAAAATATCAACTTACATTAAACTCCAATACTGGATATGTAAACAAAGTAGTAAATTATATTACGTTACCATGTGACTTTTGTTGGAAACACATATTTCCACGTATAAAGATAAAAAAAAGATCAGTTTTATAGAAATAGATAAAAGGCTGGACAGAAGAATATATTTGCTTTCCTAAATTAATGTTTAAAAATTTAAAAAAAGTAAATCAGAATTAGACCATTGTAGCATAACCCTTAAACATTGTAGGAATACAAATAGAAATGATGAATGATGGAGTGAGTGCGGTGTTCAATCCTTTTTTTAAAAAAAGATAGTTCCTTCTCACAGAAACGTATTAACTTATCGTTATAGTAACTTATCGGTGGTTCATTTTTGCAATTCATGCCAAGAGACATGGTTGTAGAAGTCCTTCAACCCGATGATGAGCTAAGGGCTCGAAATCCGGATCGTTGGAAAACAACTTACTGTGAGTAGGAACTATCTTTAAAAAAAAAAAAAATTACAAACAGTTAAACTGCATATTTTCCTAAACTAAGTAAAACCTAAGTAAACAAAAAATGTACTTTTTATTATTAAGAACCTGAGATAGATAGTGTTTACAGCAGGATTATGAAGAACAGTGATATTTTATTAGGTAAAGACATCATAAAAATAAATTGGCCATGTTAACAATAATCCAATATCTAATATATAATAAGTTACTTTATATTTTGTCAACTGTGCTTTAGTTTTCCATACCAAATTTGTGGTGCTGTGTTTTTTAGTTCATTTCAGGATATTGGCTCTGCAGCATAAGTGGACTAATTCCTGTATATGTACCCCACAAAACCAACGACATTAATGTGAAGATTTTATTTAAAAGACAATGACTCATTTTTTTTGGTTTTTGTGTATTAAAATATACAATTTATTTTGTTCCATTTATTGAATACCAGTTAAAAAATGGTATTTTGACATAAATTTTAATGGTTACCACTTTTTAGCAAGCACTTTAAGATTTATTGGAAGAGGAGCTCTGTATTGAATTTGTGGGTTTTGGGGAATAACATTGTGTTGTGGACTTTCCAAAGTGATAGTTTCCAAGTCAATTTTGGGTGTATTGAAATTATTAAGAGGGACTGTAGGATGAGCCTTGATCGGTGGGGGTTTCTGCTGGTTATTCTCTGTACGGTTCACTGAAGGAGTCATCGAATCATGAGAAGTCACTAGAGCGCCTATGCTCGGCGAGTAATTTATGTCAAATCTGGAGACGATGGAGCCCGGCCCTAATGGTATGTTGTGTCCGTTGGGCCTCGACTGTTGGAATTTCACATTTTCTTTAAATGTCTTCCTATAATTTGACATCTTATCATAGTTCAAACTGCGGCTGTTGTACAAATTCAATTTATCTGCTTCATCATCGCTGTTACAATTTGACACATATTTTCTAGCGTAATAGCCGACAGAATACGGTGTATCCATTCTGGGGTTATTATGCAATTTTGCTTTACAAGCATGAACACACAAATCTGGTTTCTGGTCAAAGTGTCTCGGGAAGAGTTTTTGCGTGTAAAGGAGTTTAAAGTGGCCACATTCCAAAACCTCACCTCCGTTCTTGAGTTTTAACACCACTAAAACATATCCGACAGTTTATTAATGAAATGCAATATTATATCCCTAAATAAATGCTTTCCAACTGATAACAAATTGCTGGTAAATGTTCATAATGAAATTACTGCTCTTTTTCTGACCTTCCTTTTCACATATTTTGTCAACACATATTTAAACTATTGCAAATAGATAATTTACTTATAAAAACTCTTTGTACTGTTAATTAATATATGTATTAATAAACATGAAACATGTAGGAACACAATTTAGTAAAGTGAACAAAAAACACATTGTGAATGTATTATAAATTGAATGGCTTGAGACTGTTAAACGAATGTTTAAAGATACTCTTTCCTTGGGACTCGTATTTTTTTGGGGGAGCATCTTCAGTTATACTTATTTTAGATTGAGTCCTTTTTCCTTTGATTTTCGAGTAATAAGATTTTGTGTTAGTATCGTTATAGGGGCAAATAATTTTCATTTTATTGCCTTGGTGCGGGAAAGAAAAGAACGTTCCAGTTATATCGTGGGCTTTTGAACTCAATTCTGCAGCCATATTCGTCGAACCGTCATCAAAAGAAGCTAAATGAATATCGAATTTATTTATCGCCGAACCGGGTCCATAAGGAAACATGTGATTTGCATACGACCAAAGTTTAATATCTGGTGTGGTGGTTTTCACTTTTGCATAATTAGAAAGTTTGTCATAATTCAAAGAACGAAGATTATATAATTCTGACACATCAGCCGCTTTCTGAACCCAAGGAACTTTTTGTTTATTCAATTTCATTTCTTGTGCATAATTCATCTTAGCTTCTTTTCCATTTATACACAGATCCTCTATCTCTTCTTTTCCTGGTGGTAAATATTTTTGTGTATATATTAATCTAAAATGGCCACATTCATTTAATTCATCCGGCCTCGGGTTGGTACGGTTTTCTCTCGTGTTAGATAGTACCACTAAAAGAAAATCTCCTATTAATTTAATAATAATGGAAAGTCTGTTGCTATAAGACCTAATGCAAGACCTGTTGCCTTCAGTATCTATATGACCTCCTTCAGGTTGTAGACAGACATTCTACACCGAAATTTAGCATATGAATACATATTATTTATTTCCTTACTTGCCACCAAGTAAATCTACATCAACTTAATAAACTTATGTTTTATAAATAAATATGTAACAATACTAAAAATGTATGAAATTACTGGTGTTTTATCAACACATTAAAAAAATCTGTCAATATGCCAAATGAAATAATGTCAGATAAGTGTTTTTCACTCTTATATTTTATGGCATTTGTAATTAATATTAAAAATAATTATTTTATGAAACTAAGTCTTGTCAAACATAAGATCAACAATTTTATTAACTTATATTTCCAACTCAACACAATAGGGTATATCTTTTTCACATAGCCAATTCAATTACATTTTTTTTCCAACATCCACATATTAGTAGACAATGCAGATATATTAGTTGGTTGTGAAAACCGGCTATTTTCTTCATTTGCACACTGATAAGTTAGACTGTTGTTGCTTTCAATCATTGTTGAGGTGTCCACTGCTGTTAATGATGGGAGTGTTTTTGAGATGGTAGTGATGGTTGTAAATGCCGAAGGACTGTTCATAGCTGAATCAGTACTGTTTGGGCTTTGAAGGCTGTCCGGATGTTTTAGCGGTGCCATAATGTTTGCACTGTAGTACTGTGCAAGAAGATTTGGCTTGTAACTAACATCAAATCTTGATAGAATCGATCCAGGACCCAATGGAGAATGGTGATTTGCATGAGGCGCAAGAGTGACTTTCGTTTCGACTTTGACATGCCCTTTGAATTTCGAAGACAACTTCTCATAGTTCAAAGATCGACTTTCATACGTCAGAGGGCTGTCAGTATCTTCAAAGCCATCTTTCAGTATTGTTGATCCTTGCCTACCAGTGTTTTGGACACTACCCCTGCTCATAAAAATTTTAGCTCTTTTTCCAGAAATGCTTATATCGGACTTATGGTTGATCGAAGATGGAAAAACCTTCTGTGAATACACAAGTCTGAAATGGCCACAATCCAAGGCTCCATTTACATTTTTCTTTTTCAATGCCACTAAAACAAAATTTTATTGTTAATTTACAGTTATTATAATCTGTTTAAATTTTTTGTTTTTGCTTTTTGTTCTGCAAATGTATATAAAAAGTGAAAATTTTGTTTTAGCCAAATTTTAAAACGTGCAATTTATTATTTTGTTTTTCACTTTTTATGAAATTGAATGAATGGGTAAGGTCATTCACCAATAAATTTTGTACATCAACACTACTTTAACTTTTCCAGGTTTTATCTGATGGATTTTCAACACAAAGGGAAAAAACATTTAAAGTTTACTCAGAACGTTCTGGCAACTACCTCCATTTTTCAATACTTGAGTTTATTTTAAACAGATTTTATTAAAATAACTGCAAAAACTTTTTGTCTGTTGTTGAAAAAGAAAAAATATAAAATAACCTTGGCCAAGCCTTACAATTGCATACACCTTGGTTATTAATATAATAATCGCTAAGTATACAATCCAACTATGTAATTCAACCATTTAAATTTGGCATTAAAATTTATATTAATAAAAAAATTACTGGCATAAATGAAAAAACTTATTCGTAAGAACAAATAGAGGAGTGCCGAGTTCTTTGAATAACACTTTATAATTAAGGAACTGCAAAGCAAAACAAAAATCAGTGAAAATCCTTAATATTTATGCAACCTAATCATTAACAATTAAGTATTATTTTGATATTTAAAAAAATTAAAATTACTTAAATTTGAAATGCTACTTATTTATGTACTAAATAATGCAATTCCTTTATTATTTGACAATATTCAGTGTATGATTTACAAAGTAAATGGATTTGTTTTGTTATATTATAAACAAATGTAAATTTAATGTATGGGCAATGTATTACACTGAAATTTTGCCCTATTAGTAATAGATTTAAAATAGACCACTTATTGACTTCGGTTTAAAGTAAACTAATTCCAAATTTTGTGAAAGTTGTATAACATAAACTTTAATAAAGCTATGAACGTGTAGGTAGAATAATTCAACACATAAAATGTAGAATGAAACTTATATTAAATATGCAAAAACTAGAAAAACACCACAAAGAGATTGTCAATTGGACTGTATTATTCGTCATTTAAAATAAAAAATTAAAAAATAACATTTAGAAAAACAATTTGGTCATTACCTAAAGGAAGGTCAGAAAGATACAATTAGAGCCATGAAAATCATTATGAGGTTTTTGCAAAATATTTTTTGTGAAAAACAAACAACTATTGATTAAATTTATCTTTCGATGGTTGAAGCAGCTGTAAATATATTTTATACTTTTTTTTTAATTTTTGAGTTTTAAGCACAAGAATATTTTTATTTTTTTGTTATTCTCATAAACATTATATTTTAATAAATATTTATGGAAATAACAGTATGAAAATGTTAATATTCTTATACTTATCAAGTATAAATAAAATACAATAATGATACCAGCAATAAAATCATCAAAATGCAATTATATGCTACCTAATCAAATTTTAAATTTAGAAAAATCATTGTTATAAGTAGAAATCAAAGTTTATCACTACAGCCAAGCTAGGAGCAATTATTTAAAAATTTAACTTTAATAAGCAAGACTAGCAACTTATCAAGGCAGCAGAAACAAGTGGCTTAGTATTTTTTATTGATTTTGAGAATTCAATAAAATATATTGAATATTTGTTGAAAATATTGTAGCCAATATGACTGAGATGAAATTCAATATTAAAATGTTTAATTTTGATACTCTTTAGATTTCTGCTTGTTCCTTGCTCTCTGTTCCTTATTATTGGTAAATTCAGCAATTACTGAGATCAAGAATTTTAAACTGATTTTTTGTTTGTATCTGGAGAAAGTTTTACAATGGGATGAAGCTGCCTTGTGTTACTATTCACCATTGAAAATTTTTCGTTATTCTGACTTGAAAATGATATTGGCTATAAAAATGTACAAAATGGTGAGGGTGAGTCATTTTTAGGCAGAAAATGTAAATATTTTCTAAAATTTGAAATTGAAATGGTGAGATTTTTAATCTTTATATTTACGTACTATATCAGATGTAAGATAGTAAAATTTAAATCGACATATGTCCATGTAAACAAATTATTTGAACATATGTCTCCAAATTTCACTGTGTTCTAAAAATTCAAATTTAAATTTTACTTGAAAATATAAAATTTAATCTAACATATAACAATGTGCTTTTCAAAAAACACCTCAGAAACTGATAACGTTTAGCCGAAGAGTTGGAACTGAGAAACTTACAGTTGAGTGTGTCTTCTATAACCATCGGACATAATCGGGCAGTTACAGAAGTTGTACTTCTCAGGCAAGGGCCAGCATTAATTTCGATGAGCCAAGGTACAAAATCTTCCGTAAGCATGAAATCTGCACCGTACAAATTGAAACAGTTTGCTCTGTGTACCATGCCCTCTTGGGAGGCCAGAAGGGCTCCGACAATCCCCTTTCTCATTCCTGGCAACGTTATTGCAAACCATTTGTCATCTTCCTTCCTACCTCTGCAACAACACACACGTCACCAGTAAAGGATACAGATTCTGCATTGCAGATTTGTTACCTGAGATATGACAGGAATTGATCACTGTCCCACATGTTGTCACTAGGAAGTTCACCACATCTCGTTGAAACATTCTGATATCGGCACTGAACAGAATTATTTGATAAATGGACCGATTCATGAAGGTTCACAAGTGAAAACTCTTTGGAGCAAAATCTTAGGTAACATAAACTGGCGACAAAAATAAAAATTGTAGTACTTACAATGCAATTGTTCTCTATTTAGTTGTACTGTAAATTTACTCACTCATACATGTAGACTACCATCGGCTGGATACTCGTTACCAAGAACCATTGCCTAATATCAAACTTGGTTTTGTGAATAATCATTGGACGTTCTTGAAAAAAGAATCATAAAAGTTAGACTATATTGACAGAACATATCAGTCGTTTTATAATTTTATGTCTTACCAATATATTTTTGAGCAATATATGAAAAACCTGGTTTACAGTGATTAGCAATTTCGACAAGTGATTTAAATATGCGAATTCCTCTTCCGCAGCTTGAAGCTCCAGGCTTAACAATCCAGAGGTTTTTCACACCTTCGTGATCTATATCAGACCAAAAATCTCTTACTCTGGTGACACATTTTCTTGCACTTTCGGCTAGTTTCTGAAAATAAATGGATTATTTTTATGAAGAACATCAAACGATTCATACAATTTCTTTATTATTATTTTTAATAATTAAAAAAGAAATTTTGTTTTTTAAGAAAATAATAGTTGGAAATTGTCTTATTTAAACAAAAATGATGAAACCCACCTAATTTTTATTAAATAATTGAATAAACAATACTTACATGAATGTCATAATCACAAGTGTTTTTGTATTTTGCATTAAAATGAGCTACATCAAGAAACCTCAGAAGAAAGAGTATCCAGTCATCCTCCGTAACCATTGATATGTTCCACTGATCAACATCAGTTCCTTCTTCGAATGTGACAAATTCACATACTCGTTGTATAGCAAAATCCATACACTCAATTGGAATCTGACAGTAATTATTTTATTAAAGTGGGGACAATAATATGATAATTTAACTTAATTACCACTCCATGATCAGCGACTAATTCTCGTTTTTCGTCGTATGCTTCAACAAAATGTTTAAGCATTGAAACACATGCACTTATTCTGTATTGCGTAGCAAAATATTTCATGTCATCCTCATTTGTTATTGAAACCGTCCTTGGGTACTTCACATAAGCAAAATTAGCGCTGTAAGTCCAATGCTGGCTTTGCAGATATTGTAGAAGACCAGTCTGCAATATTTTGTTATGTAAGAAGTGTAATGATTTTGTTTTTTTACAACATTAATAAACTGAAAAGTCATTAGGATTTGTTTTGCATATTGTAAATGTTCCTTAAAAATAGTACATACTTTTGTTGATATTGACCTGCTGCAATAAGGGAACTTGTTGACAATTGTAGACGTTGCAATGTTTGACCAGTTAATGAGACCCTCAGCCCAAATAAACTTAACCGGCATCCGGCTGATGAGTTTTGAAAGGACAAGAGACTCATTATCTGGAGCCGGCATCAGATTGTTGTACTGTAAAGGCTTTTCGTCTGGATTAGCTACAATGAAAGTATACATGAAGTGTAGAAAATTAAAAATTAAATTTATATTGTAAATTTTATGTTATTCTTACCAAATCTTTCAGTCCACCCTCTAGCATGAAAAAATTTTTTGACTGACTGAAATCCATTCGAATGGCAACATAGCGCAAATGTTGTCTCATTCTGAAATTGAGTATTTTGTGAGTTCATTATATTTGTGCAAATAAATAAAATAAGTTAATTTTTGTTTTTGTGTATTAAACTGGATTCATCATAATCCAAATAAACTTGTACCATTATTAACTTGGTCCGTAATTTCAAATCCCTATACCAAATGATTAATATATATTTTAAATTCACTAGTTTTGTCGTCCGCTTGACCAATTAATTGTAATATATATTTTAAAAATAATTTTTTTTTTAAAGTAGGACCTAAATATACTGACAATATCATGAGGTTATTTTGCATTGTGATTTAAACGGTTCTGATTTTGAAAATAAAAAAATAAATAATGAAAATATTTGATCAACTTGTTCTGTAGAGGCTGCAAGTGTAGTGTTAATAAATAAAAGTAAATAAAATACATTTATCATTGCAAATTACCTTCAGTGCTTCATCTGCCATTAGCCTTAGTTGATTATACCTTTTTCTATTAACAAATTGGCATATGGATTGGAATTCTTTTTCAATTTGTTCTTGTTTTCTAAGATACATCCCAATGAGCGTATCGCATTTTTTTTCTGAATCATTGCTTTCATGACATGCTATTTCTCCTGGCTTTTTGACATCCTTTGATTTGTCAGGGAGTCTTGCATTAGATGGAGATTGCGTCCTGTCCATATGAAAAACCGGTGATGCATTATTTTGATTTTTATCCAAAATTGATGTCAAATCTAAAGTTTCTTCGCCCGCATCTACAGTTGTGACTGTTGGCTTTTGGACAGTTTGCACAGACTGGGAAATAACAACATTTGGACTTGGACTAGTTTCCTGTTCTTCCTTTTCTTCAGTAGCATTAGGTGAATTTTCTTCTGCAGATTTTTCTTCATTGACTTCCCCCATGTTTTCTTTTGTCTGATCACTTGGAGGTTTCTGCAATATCTGGCTCTTCTTAGAGGCTATTTTTGGTTGTGTCTTTCCACTCGCTCCTAGTTTTGCTCCGTCTTCTGCGTTCTGAGGTTTTACATGTGCTTTGTCCACCTTTATCCCCACCGGCGTCTTTGTCTTTTTTTTAGCTATGATCCTTTTGCTCTTAATGGACACTTTTTTACCCTTTCCATAAGTTTTTCGCCCTTCTGGGACATCTGGAATGTCAATGTTATCCACACTATTTTGAGGTTCGACGTCTTTTGCCGCAATATAGTGTTTCAGTAATTCGTCTACATTTAAACTCGGCATTGTGGCCAAAGCTGCCATCAACACCTCTATTGGCTTATTGTCCTCATTGCAGTTTACACTCATATTAAGACTTTTCCTTTCTGATGCATTGTTAATAATACCTTTACTGATTTTCTTTTTGTTACTAGATGGAAGTTTAATTTTCTGATTCGTTCTACCCGCAACAGAGCTAGCTTTAATCTTGGAAGCACCTTTTGATGAGGATATCTTTTTCTTAACTGCTCCTTTTTTGTGGAATGTTTTAAGCTTCTTACGATTACCACCTTTGTTCCCACCTACAGCCCTCTTGGCGTCTGCCATTTTGTACCAATGTTTCTCGCCTTGGAGCCCTCTTTGTGTAATTTTGTGATGTGTATCAGGATTTATGTGTGGTGTATTGCATGATTTTGTATTACTCCTTTCTTGCTTTACATTTGGAATTTAGTGTTTAAGTGAACCAGGTGATTAAGTGAAATGTTTTCATATGGTGATAGGAAATGAAATACTATTTGAATTATCCCATCTTCTAAAATAATATTAAAAATAGCTTTATTTATTTTTAGAGCACTTTCCATTCCAATTAAATACATTTCATCAAAAATTAAATTAGATTTCTTAAAAGTGCTTATTAAACATTTAATCTCAGTTAATTATTTATTGTAACAGTTTTTTCAATTTTATTTAAGACACATTCCTTTCAAATGTTAAGATAATTTTTTTCTACCAATGTATAAACTTTATTGTATAAAAATGTTTTGTTTGTTACTTAAATTTGCAATGTCTTTGCCAATGATGAAGAGTAATTATCTATATAAATAATTATAAACATACAATTGATGTTAATGAGACATTTTTTGTGATTATTTGAAAATCCCTTTGCTTATCTTGCAATAAAACTTTAAGTGGCAGAGAGAATTATTGATTGCGGCAATTGTCCAATAGCACTTGTTTTACCTATTTGAATAATACAGTCAAAAAGTGAGTATCAGATAGAGAAAGAGTAAAAAAAAATCAGATGTGATAGCCCCTTTCAGAATAAAATGTTGGTATTTGTGACTGGATGAATGGTGCGCAATCAGAAATGTCAACCTTAGAGAAAATAAACTAATGTGAAACATTCAATCTCATCCATCAAGGGATCCAAACATGAAGCTGTTAATTCTAGGCTTAAGGAAAGACATCGCACCCATTTGTATGTAATATCTAGAGGGATAGGGATAAAAGAGGCAGCCACAAGCCTTCTGTACTTCAACCTGATATGTCTATGTCCTCTATTTTTATAATTCTCTGACCAGCTCCAAGCTTTTAATCAGTCTCCATAACCTTGCTGGTGGCTCCTTAGTGCAGTCTTGCTTGCAGCTTCCTCTCCTAGTTGCAAAAATTTGCACTTACATAGACCTCACAAAAACATAGAACATGGTCAGTGCTCTCCTCTTCTTCATGGCAATATCTGTATAGTGTTCCTTCTATCTGTACTCCTATCAGGTGTGCTTTTGTAAATGGTAGTGCTCAATCAGGAGTCCAACTATAATTCCATTGCGGTTATCCACCAGTAATTCCTTTGTAATTCTTGGGATGGCCCTTCTATAGATCTCTTCGCAACCCTCATTTTGTGGCAAGATGCTAGGCCACAAATAAGGATCAGGGCATAGAGAAATCATATTGGCTCCTGTCCACTTCCTCATTGCCTGTAGGCCCCAAATGCCCGAAGACCGATACGAGGGTTGTCTGGGAGGATCTTCCTTTTTGTGGCACTTGCAGAGAAGAGTTGAGCATAAAAGACCAAGGTGAAAACAATATGAAAATGCTATGACTTCTCTAACAAGACATGAAAATAATATACTCTTGCTGATGACCCTACAAATATGGATAAATTGTTCAGTTTCTGAGAGCTGCACAATAGAAGGCAGAATCTAAACTGTAAAATGAAGATTGAAATATGAAAAATGGGAACTATAAACTTACAATTAGTCTGGTGGTTGTGAGTTATTCTTAACACCAAATTTTCTGTTTAAGGAAGATTATAACCTAAAGTGGTTGAGTACTTTTCTAAATAAAAATAATATAAAACTGTACATTTTTATTTGCGTAATACTTATAATACACTGAGAGGCAAAATGGCCACCCTTTATATTTTTAATTTTCTCTTAGAGTCCTCCATTCATCAAAGTAAAAAGAGCACATAAAATCTCCCACTTCTGTTTACAATTGGATTTTGTAAATAAATCTTTGAATAGTTTGTTCTTCTTTGTTTGTTTTTCTATAAAGCTTCTTTCTAACATTCTGGTGGTTTGATTTTTTCACTGCTGTTGGAGAAGTATGAAAATTTTCCACAGCACTAAATTCAATCTATAATAATAAATAGATTTATTCTCCAATTCTGCAGATTTAAATTGTTTATTCATATTTGGCAAGAATTTCTATGAATCATAATGTTCTATAATTCAACATTGGTTTTGGTACGCTGTGACAATAATTCTTCTTTTCTGATGTTCAATTAAAATTATCAAAATTGTTCACAACTTTTGGTATTGTTCTTTTTCATCTGTTGACTTTTATTTGTTTAAAGATTAGATATTTAATTTTGATTTGTGTGTAAAAGGTAGAAAATAAAACAACACATTTTGTAATACATCAATTAAATTATTTAAATAACAATGCACAAAAATAAAATATAACAACAATATAACATTTATAGCAAATCGAACCAAAATATTATTCAATATAATTTTAACATATTTTGTTCAGTTAAATTGAAATTAACTGATAAAATACAAGGCAGAGATAATTCTGAAACATTTTGGTCATTTAGCATAAAATAATTTATTTATTACAGCTATTTACTTTTTTCAGAACCATGTTTTTTTTTGGCACAATAATCATTAAAATTTTGAACCAAACTAAATGTTTAAGGCGTGATTAGTTCAGCAATTGAATTGGCAAAATTAACGGCTACAATACATGAAAATAAATAGTCTTAAATATTGTTTTTATTTACTAGTAATTTACAATTAAGCGCAAGAGGGCAGTTGGTTATTGCTGTTACCTGAATTGATTTTGGTCAAAGTAGTTATGTTGTTGTTGTTTATCTCACATTTTGGATTCGATTTTATGTCGGGCAGATTGATTTTCGAGCCACAAGTTTTACTTTTTTTGCAAGATATTTTTTCGTTATTGTTCAAATTTGGAATCAAGTCGCTTTTATCGATCTGCGTGATTTTCTGCAGCATTTTCCTGCAGTCGGCTCTCGTCTGCTCGATCCTCTTTTTCCAGTCGAACAACTCTGTTGTTTGCGGTATCTGCACAGTTTTGCATTTGATGTTTTCACTCTGGAGTCTTAAACGCTTTGCTATTTCGTCGTAGTTTCTCGATTTATAACGCGCCACCGCTTGTGTGATGCTGGCCTTTTTGACGCAGCAGTGTTTCTTGTACGACCGTTTCTTGGTTTCGACCTTCACGCGACGCTTGTTATATTCGCTGTCCGAAACTCCAGAGCTCACGCCCGAACTGGTGGTCACCACATCACCATATTTCCCATCATCGGTGTTTTCTCCGTTCCCTGTACTTTCTCCGAGCCTCGGCTCCTCCTTCAAACGATCGCTCAGCCTCGAGATCGCCTCTTTAACGTTCGGCGAGCCTAGATCTCTCGTCAAATCTTCACTCCCTTTTCTTGATCTCATTCCTCCTCTACCGATTTTGTTTCCTTTCACTGTCAAATTCATGCCCATGTACGGCTGAGGGCTTGAAACCTGCTGTCTGTATGCTAATTCGAACATACCTGTATCTGCTTCCTTGTTGTACCTTTTGTCTATAACAACTAAAAATAAGTTTTATGTTAATTACTATTTCAAATAAACTGACGAACAAATATAAGGGGTAAAACAGAGGAAGCTTCGTTATAGCCATTTAAAAGATTGCCCAATAACTTCAGTCAATTTTCATTTATATCCCAGAAGTGGATATATATTATTGGTTTCGGAAATAATCAATCACCTAAGAGTGTTTTCAGATTGTCTCACTGAGTTACGACGATTCCTTAGAAAAAAAAACCATTTTTAAAAAGAGTAGCAGTTGCTAATAAAAAAATTCACCGTGAGGTTGAAAGAAGAGAAAGATATTGGAGAAAGCTCAAATGGAGAAAGCACATAGGCAAAAACCCAAACATTTTGCATAAAGCCAAATCAGTATTAAACATTGTCCTGAGATTATGCAATAACAACTGGGGACCATAACCACACTCGACCTTCCACTCTTACATATTTATGACTTTATGTATAAAAGGTGGCTTTTGAGGGTGCCGAGGAAGGAAGATCCTTTTCCCTGGTATAAAATAGGTCTGAAATTCTAGCCTGTTTTGCTCTGAAATATATTTTTATTATAAACTGATTAATTTTTGAGGACTATGCGTGGTTTGGTTGGATGATCATAAACGGCCGAACTACATAAATAGTTTAAATTGATTCATAATTTATTTAGAGATCGTGAGATGCGGTCTGGTGTGATGTAGGTTCCAGAAAAACATTTTCTTTATCGTGCCAACGTTTCCATCTTTATTGAGATCATCTTCAGGGCCTGGGATTTACAAACATTGTTTACATTTAACAACTACATTTTGGATGTGGAAAAGTGAATTTATACAATGCAAAATATATTTTATATATTCAATCAAAGTATTTCTACTCACTCAAAGTGTTTGTCTTCTTTGTAAATGTGTCATTCTTGAATGTTGTGTCGAGAGTGCCAGTGAGATTTTGCTCTTTTGTGTTTATATACATTGGATTTTGAAGGGGTGGGGAAGGATGACGGTATAGAAAAGACATTTTTGTATAAGGCGTGGGCTTTTTTGAGGTGAAAGGAGCCGACGAAGGGAAAAAATGTGTTGGTGGCCAGATTATCCTTTCAGGATTATATAGAAAGGGATAAATTGGAAAAGGAAAGCTGAATTGTTGGTAAATTAGACTATGTGAAAAATATTTGATGTGCGGAATATAATGTGATGATATAGGTATGTTATCTGTATTGAATGTGATTAATGATATTGGCGTAGCTGCGACTGAGTTTACATGTATCTGTTCTGTAATTGATGCTGTGTTTATCTCGGTTGATATAAACCATTTCTAAGAAATTACGTTATATTATATTAAATATAAGTATTAATAAATACGTAATTAATAAATAAGTATTATTAAATACGTTATATTTGTTTTGTTCTGTATGTAATATTTTTGGATTTTTGAAGTCGAAATTGTGTTGGTGTTCAAAATGGTGGGTAGCGAGTGTTGTAGGAATTTGCTTGGGTTTTTTGCAATCATACATATGTTGCTTTACTCTCTTATACAGATATTGGGATGCAAGACCATGTAAGTTACCGGGCAGTTTAAACAGTTGATCTTGTAGATTACGTCAGATTTATTTGTTATTGGTGTGGGATCTTTAATTTTGGAAAAAAGTGTTTGAATCGTTTTATAATTTTTGAAGGCTATTTTGAAGTTATCGGACAAGAGAAATGTGTTTAATCTGTGTGATAGGCCTTGGATAAATGGTATGGAAATGTATGTTGGTTTATTTGTATTCGATAGAATAAATGTAGTATTATTAGGAATAGTGGATGGTGTAAATCCCAGGACCTGAAGATGATCTCAATAAAGTTCGAAACGTTGGCACGATAAAGAAAATGTTTTTCTGGAACCTACATCACACCAGACCGCATCTCACGATCTCTAAATAAATATCGATTAACGGTCACTAATCACCATACATGATTCATAATTTTTGCCTCAACCCAACTTTACATAAAAATTATAGATCCATTTAAATAATCATTTTAAATGGTTAACCAGGGCTAAAAACATAGATTAATACATAAATATTGTGCCGAATGTCTGATTTGGTTAAAAATGCGGTTATTTTATCATCAATTAAGGTTTCGGTTGACATAAAAAAGTATCTCTCGTGTCACTGACTTTTTTATCTCAACCAAAACCTTAATTAAAGATGAATTAATTGAAAAGAATTTAATTGGTCAATCGGACCACAAAACTTAATATATTTATCATCAATGTTAATCGTTGATTAGGGATGGTTAGGGGGTTGGCCTCCGTTTTTAAATGGCAAGGAAAATGAGATAATCGAAAGGTGTAAAAATTTAAAATACCCTTAATGACGTCTTCCAAACATTGGGAACACATCCTTGCTGTGACAGAGGTAGTCGGCGACATGCAAGGACTCGAGTTGATCTCGATCAGCCACGGTACGAGATCTTCAGTAAGCATAAAATCGGCGCCGTACAATTCGAAACAATTCCTTCTGTGTTCCATGTGTTCCTGTGCTGCCAGGAGAGCACCTGTGATGCATTCTTTCATCCCTCTGTAAATAACGGAGTCCCACCGATCCGATGGGAGGCCGAGAGTCCTGAAATGGGACTCTGTTAATAAATGTTTAAAGATATAATAAATGCAGCTAATGCGATGCACCAAAAAGATCGAATAAAATTGAATCATTTTGTTCGAAAAAATTTAAAATATATCAAGATATGATAAATAGGAAAAAAATCAAAGATATGTACCTCAGGTATGTTTTAAACGTATAGCAGTCCCACATGTTTTCATCTGGTAGGGCGCGATCCCTTTTATGAGCATTTTTATATTTGCACTGAATCGCGTTGTTCGACAAATGCACAGATTCGTGCATGTTATTCAGGGAGAAAAGCTGCGAACAAAATCTGAGATAGCTCTCTCTAGAACAACAAAAATATCGTCATGACAACGTTGTAAAGTAGCAACAGTTTTAATCTCACTTGTACATCCAAATCGTCAGAGGGTAGACGCTCGTGACGAGAAACCATTGTCTTATGTCGAATTTCGTGTTGTATATTAACAGAGGTCGTTCTGCGATAAAAAGACTGGATAGTTTCTGCCATGAAAAGGCCATATCTATTTATTTACCTATATATTTTTGGACGACGAATCTAGGCTCGTTTGATTGAAAGCAACTCACTCGTGCCACGATCTCCTCTAATTTATTCAACACGACGATCCCCCTTCCTCTAGACTTCGCGCCCGGCTTGACGATCCACAAATTGTTGGTACCGTCCATATTTTTTTGAGGCCAACAATCGTCCAACGCGGCCAATGTCATCTTACTGCATGAATATATCTCCTGCGATTTAGATTCAATTATTTCAAATTGCTTTATAATTTCAAGCTGAGTTGTATTTGTAATGTTTGATCATGAAAGTCGTACATTTTATAAACTAAATTATTAAATACTTAAAATAGGAAGAATATAATATACTCGACCGTTATTTGAGCATCACTCGCTGCGACAAATTTGTGCCCGTGATGAACGAATTGATAATAAAAAGTCAAAAATTGGTCCCATTGGTGATCCCACACTTTTTCTTCCGTCTCTCTGTCTATGTCTTCGTGGCTCTCTTTCGCTACAAATTCCGTTATCCTTTTAACAGCGAACTCCACCGTCTTCAACGGTATCTGCGGAATACGGCCTTTAATGAAAAGTCCTCTTTGTCCATACCTCTCCATACCTTTCCTTTTTCGTCGAATACCACTTGAGACTCGTCGATGAAGGAAGTCAGCCGTTTAAGAAGACCGACGCACGCCGTCAGACGAAAGTCTTTGATAAAGACGTCCAAGTCGTCGCTGTTGGATATGCTGTAACACCTGGGAAACATCGTGTTCGAGATGCCGGCCTCGCAAAACCAATGCGACTGCTGCAGATAATTACAAATGCCGACCTGTAAGGGAAAAGTTTGTAAATTATACGATTCCGGTTAGACCCGGAACGGTTGACACTGTTTTATTGTATTTATACACACAAGAGAAGACTCGCAAAACTGGGTCAATCCTTCTTCAGATTGAATTTGCAAAGTCACGCGAGTTTCCTTACTTTTTATCAAAACTGGTCGTATCTTCTGATATCTTGACTAAACCTTTATTCAATGACTGTAACAGTGCAATTAGAAAGGGGGTGGATTATAAAAAGGGGCTTTTTCAATTCCGTCTGATTTACTAGAGACACGGAATCATAGCTGTTAGAGGCTATTTGATTACACTCGGATGTGCGTGAGATATAACAGTTATGATTTTATGACACAGTTCGAAGGTGAAAAAGAAAATACAGGAAAAAGCGAAATTGTGCACACTTAAAACCTCACTATAATTTGTTGCCTTTATCTCTTCATCTGTGGCCTTCACTATTTTATAATTATATAATTATATAAATACATCTTTCTTTCGAAAAAAACTTGCCTAGATTGTTGGTTTTTGTTTCCTTTCAACAATTTTTAATTGCATCGACATTAAGCATTAAAGAATAAGGAAGAATAACATTTTTGTGTGGTGTGACGTAGGTTTTACAAAAACGTTTTCTTTATCGTGCCAACGTTTCGATCTTTATTGAGATCATCTTCAGGGCCTTGTGTTGCCGCATTTCAACAAAAAAGGTCTGTGATTGATAGCCGATGCAAGTTTCTTCTCATTGTTGGCGATGTCCTTCAGAATACTCTTTGCTTGGTCTCTTGTCTTGGTGCTTCTAAAACCTACGTCACACCAGACCGCATCTCACGATCTCCAAATAATCATTGGCTAACGGTTAAACACCACACATTTCTACACGAGAAGAACGAAAAAACTATTCTATGAACAGATTTCAACTACATATGGACACCAAGCAAAGAGTATTCTAAAGGACATCGCCAACAATGAGAAGAAACTTGCAACGGCTATCAAACAGAGAACTTTTTTGTTGAAATGCAGTCAACACAAGGCCCTGAAGATGATCTCAATAAAGATCGAAACGTTGGCACGATAAAGAAAATGTTTTTGTAAAACCTACGTCACCAGACCGCACCTCACGATCTCGAAATAATCATTAACATTATTTTTACTTTCTTTCTTCTCAACGTTGAGAAATAGTGGATATATTTTTGGTCTTTTGTCGAATATAAAATTGTGCTGTAGTTGACAGGATGCGTTGGTTGAAAGGGTGAAATTACATTTCGCAGTCTATGATTTTCGCGATGTCGCGGGCGAGTTCCACGAGGAAAACAGAACTCGTCAACTTTTTCCATGAACTAGTTTACACACCGGCAGCAGTGTAAAATAAAAAGCGCCTGGGAAGGGGGGCGATGTTTTGATGGGTGAAAAAACACTGTGAAGATCTTTGTGAAGTGTGTTATTGTTTATATAAGAAGGGGTTTATGTAAGAAACAATTAGTCTTAAAATCGTTGACGGAAAACTTCGTAATTTTTGAATATTGGAATATTTGGCCAATGCATATTGACCAACTTGGCACTCAAACATGCAAATATGTCTGTAGGTAGAAAGTTTTGATTTTAATGGTAACCTTGATCGTCGGGTCCAGTAGGTAGTGAAGTACTTTAAATCGTTTAACTGTCTGTTATTTTTGTTTTTTAAATCGTGTAAGGGGATTCCAAGTTTTGAGAGAGAAAGAAACGTACATCACACCATATCTAGATGCATTGGATAAATGTTAAAAAACCAAAAAAGGTGAGACAAGCAGAGGAAAGGACCAGTTAGCACAACCAAAGGATGCCCACAAGGGGGTACTATCACCTCATCGAGTAAAAATTAAGTGGTCAACCCACCATAATTCTCTCTCTCTCTCTCTCTCACACACACCGATGTTATAGTGCGTGTGACTATATCAATTTATAGTGTATTGATTATTGAATCTATACAACTGAAAAACATCAATAAATCTCAATTTTGCCACAGAACTTTCAATATTGGGTAATTCTATTTCGAAAAAATTGCCCCTCGTGCGGGTCGGCCTCTGTTTTGCGTTTAATGTTTCCAAGTTTTACCCGATGGAATTTCTCTCCGAAGGCCGATTTGGAACAAAAACAGTTACAGGCACAAGACAGCCGATCATTCGGCAACACTGATCTCGAGTTAGGCAACAGAAATGGAAATATTGATAGCTAGCTGTTAATAATTAAGGCCGTATCGACTTCCAGTTCACGGCGCGGGATGATACCAACCCACGAAACACTGCTGAAATATGCAGGCTATTAAAAACCTATTCTTAATAGCAATTATCACTTTTTTTAAAAAAGTTCAAACCATAGGAATTTCTTTTTACTTCTAGAATTCATTCACAAGGATAAATCGTGCCCTTGAAGAGTTATAAGGCCGCTTGAAGGTCTTCTAACTCAATTTGAAAGAATAGTGATGAAAGACAGCGCAGTAAATGCCATTTGCTACGGAAAATAATGCTTCCCGGTGTATTGAGGTTCGAGGATGGAATTGAATTGGATGAAGAAATTGTCAACATGACAACAAAAGGGGAGGTGGTGTGCCTAGCTGTTTACTTAATGACATCTACAAATGCGAGGTGTTCATGGCTTGGTAGCGAAAATCAAAAGAATAATCATGGACGTAGATAATTATCCGAGGAAATGGGGCTAAGGGGAAAAGGCATCTTTGAAAAAACAATGACAATGAAAAGTCTGCTCGATAAATATGGTGGACATAATGACAAAACTCCTGCTGATTGGCTATCAAAAGAAGCTGAAGAAAGCTGTGAGGGAAATGGAACGAAGGTGGAAGTGACAGTCGAAAGAGGAAGTTATCCCAAAGCTCACCGGTTTTGAGAGATGTAGAAAAATCTTCTGAGAAAAAGAAGAAGAAACATGACGAAGAAATAGAACAGCAAGTTATTGAAGAAACATCGCTTGTAGAGGTCAAGAGGGAAAAACAACAATGTAATGTAAAAATTGTAAACAATTGTAAAGTTCTGAAAAATATTTACAAATCATACTGACAGGAGGAACAACAACCTTTGTTGATCTCCCAATTTTTCTCAACGGTTAGACCTGGGTAAGCAAGTCCCGGGGCAATCTCCGCTTTAATCGTCTGACGGGATTGTAGGGATGGATTATGTTGAATGAAACCTGGCAACTTTGATGGTGGATTAATTTATTTACAAAGGGTATTTTGAGGTCGTTGTTAAGGGTGGTAAGGAGCGTCTACTATGTTTTAAAGACTTTTGATCGGAAGTTGGATATGATAAGTTTAACGATGCCTCATAGTTTCAGCCCAAATGCTAAATCAATTTCAGTAGTGTTTTGTAGTGAGTTTTTTGCTGACATGTTAGATTTGCGTCCAAGTAGTTTATACAGTAGTGCGAAGCGTCAGGTCAGTTCCTGTCTTTTTATTTGTATGTGTTGGTCTTCTATTAAACGTAAATCAAGGTAGACCTCGTAAGGATGTCCCGGGTTCATATCCGCTTCAGTTGCTTTCCCGGGAGTAGAGATGGATAAAGTTAATGGTTTAGGTAGTGTTGGAAACGAAGCAGGGCGCGTTGAATTGTTCCGAGGATATCTTTGGATGTTCGTATGTCCAAACTGGGTGCGGTGTCAAATTGTGCCGACCTCATGGGGTTAACCAAGTAGGTATGCAAAATGTGCCGGTTATGGATTATTCCTGTTTACCAGGAAATGTAAAGTGCCGATGGCAGAAGGAAGCTGGAGTCATAAGTACATTATGTAGATGCAATGTCATCAAAAACGCATTCAGTTTTAAATAAATGATTAATTAATTTTAAGGGTGAACTTTCCTGAACACAGCCTGTTAACAAGCTGAATGCTGCTGATTTTGCGGTTCTCGAATACTCATAACAGTGACTTGATGAAAGCTTGTTTACAATTTCTAATTCAAATATAAATTGCATGTCTACATTGAAACTCACCTCCATTTGATTTCTCATGGTTCCATTGTGAACTGCTAGCGATATTTGAAGTTATTTATTAATAAGTGCAAACACCCCGGGTGCCCGGTGACCACAGTCACTTTAACGATTTCTTCGTGCGTTCCCAACATAATTATTGAAGACAGTCGGAAACAAGACTGAACGATTGGTTAAGGATTTATTTATCCACGGCTCTATACACATGACCATTGCCAGACACCTCTTTTACATCAGGGATTAAAGCTCACGGACAATCCCACCTCAGGTAGCGGTGAGGTCGGCTCAATTTACCATCGTCCCACATAAGCTTCAGTAGTGTCTTAAAAAATGTTGGTTTATTTTGGTGATACATGTGATGTTCTTCGTAATAATTTGTATAGTTGTCAGAAGCGTCTGTTTAATTCTTGTCTTTTAATTTGTGGGTGTCGATTCCAGGTTTCCACCGAAGATAACGTACGCAGTGGTTGATGCTCCAAAGTTGTCCCATTCGGCTATTCGTTGGATGTTTGACTGACTGGAGCTCATCCGAAGCAATTGAAGTCTAGAGATCAGAGGAAAGCACGGCTGTGACTTCTAGTTGTATTGTCTGTCATGAAAATTATTTTAAAAACTTAGTTTTGTTTATCATACAACCTATACTTTTGAACGAAATATTTCAGTGATCGTCCATTAAAAAAATTCAAACCCATTGACAGAAATTACTCATGTGGAAAAATTGCCGAGAAAGGTGTATTTGAACTTTACAAAAACCAACCTCCTAGAATCATTTTTCATATTAACATTTTTTCATGATTCTTTAAACAATATTTACCTTTTTTTATTATTTACAGTTAGTTACACAAAGAAAACCAAAAATTGTCATGAACTTTTTTTTTTCAAAATTTCTGGTTAAACTTGGCCATTCATCGTACTCTCGAAGATGTGTCCTTATTTGATCTTTAAAGTACTACACCATAGGTACATTGACTGATCACTGTTGACGATTAACCTGAGGACACTAATTCGGGTTATTGATTGATCCAGTAACGGCTATTGTGGCTATTTAATGATCCATCACTATTAAAAGTAGATTAATCGGATAAAATTATTCTGGAGAAACTCCGGCGTTTTTCGTTTAACTTGATGACTAAGTGAAGGTTAACTAAAGGCTGAAAGTGATATTCGCACGAGTTACCTTAGTAGTGAAGTAGACTCTCGGAAACCTCGAAACGAGAGTGGTTTTGCTCAAAGAATTCCAGTCGATGTTTTCCGACGTCGCCCAGAGGAAGCTCACCGGTGTGTGGCGAAGGAGACGTGATATGACCAGTCGTTCCGTCTCGTCTGCACTTTGCAATCGGGCCAAAACGCTCACTAAAAAAAGTTCTCACATTTTATTTTGTTGCCCTTCTCTACAAATGCTATTTCATAAGATCAACCGTCATCGTCGAACTGCCTCTGCTTCGGCAGTGTTAGTCGCTGGAGGTCGAAATTCTGTACCCAACCCCTATTCTTGAGTGCTTCCTTTATAGACGGGTACCTCCCGAGGATTGTGAAAGTTTTGTGATGCTATAATAAAATGAGAAAGTATTTATTTAATGTTTTTTTTTAATTGTTTTTTAGTAATATTTCTTTTAATATCAGTTCCAAAAGGTTGGTTTAGTAGACCAGTTGTAAAATGTTCAGGATGTGTAAGAACTCAAATCATTAACACAACGTACTTACAATGATTATTTAGTGATCGTGAGATGCGGTCTGGTGTAATGTAGGTTTAGAAAAACATTTTCTTTATCGTGCCAATGTGTGGTGATTAGTGACCGTTAATAAATATTTATTTAAATATATCGTGCCAATGTTTCGATCGTTATTGAGATCAACTTCAGAGCCTTGGATTTATAAACATTGTTTAAATGATACAAATTCATATAAAATTTAAAATGAGTTTATTCAATGATGTACACAATATATTAAATTTACCTATGAATTTTAGGTTTCATTGGTCCCAAAGAAGCGACTCGTAGAAAAATAAATTTCTATTCTTACTTTCTTCCCCACTCGTTCAAAATTAAACATATATAAACAAAAAACATTAACATCTCACTAACACTCTCAACACCACCACAAAAGACACATCTACACAGAAAACACACACTTTGCTTGAGTACAAATACTTTGATTAAACCGAAAAATTTCTATATTGTAGTACAGTAGTAGTATTTATACAAAATTGTATTAATTCATAGTCATATCTTATATGTATTTGTATAATTGAAAGAATGTTTATTAATACCAGGTCGTGATGATATCTCAATAAAGATCCAAACGTTGGCACGATAAAGAAAATGTTTTTATAAACTTACATCAAACCGGACCGCATCTCACAATCTCTTAATAATCATTACTTAACGGTCACTAAATAGTACACAGTACTATACAATATTTTCATGTACTGATTACTGATTTATACACCGGTGACCGATGTTTGTGCTCCACGCATTTTTTAATGAAAGCAAATTAAAAAAATTAAAATGCACGTATTTCATGGATTCTGATAAATTTGTTGAAGTATTTAGAAAAAGACATTTTTGTGCCGACGTTTCGATCTTTATTCGGGTCATCTTCAGGGCCACACAGGTGAATTACAAAGCATACGTTGATTGGAAAAAATGCAATACCAATGTAATTAATATAAATATGGAACCAAGTATTTCATAGTCGCATAAAATGTGGCGCTATTCTTTTGGTGACATATTTGTTTTATGTGAAATTGTGAAAAATGAATTTACATATATTCTGCTGTTTTCATAAGATTGTGACAGGGTGGGGGACGCGGTAAATCTGGGAAAATTTCTTTGGTCGTAGGCGGTTTTATTTGACTCAGAAGAAGTCGAGAAGGGGAATTTTCTGGATTGATTTGTGATACGGGATTTATGCAATATCGTAACTACGCTGAGTTTGCATGTATCTGTTATGTAGTTAATGCTGTATGTGTCTCTGTTAATGTAAACCATTTCTAAAAATTGCGTTTGTATTTTTTTCAGTGTTTAATATTGTATTTTGTCGAAATCGGTGTGTGGCCATGCTTTAGGATTGTTATTTTGTGTTTTACACTCATAGATGTATCTTTTTTTTCCGTTTGTCCAAATATTGTAATTTAATCCTAATGTATATAGCTGGACAGTTCATACAATTGATTTTATAAATTACATCGGATTTGTAGGCTGTTGGTGTTGGAACTTTGACTTTGGAAAAAAAGTGTGTTCTGCTTTGTGTTTTTTGAAGGTCATTTTACCGTGGCGTGGCCTGAGGAGAGAAATTGTAATTTATCCAGGCCCTGAAGATGACTCGGCAAAAAAATGTGTTTTTCTAAAATACTTCATTTCTGACCGCTCCTCAGGACTTCAACAAATTAAACAAAATATTAAACTGGTCGCTAAAAACAAACGTTTCTGATAAATTTTATTTTGAGTAATATAAATAGATTTCCCCCCTAAATATTGCAGAATACACCAATCAACATTTTTTTTTATGTGACCCAATTACTTTTTTCCAATTATTTGATAGTGTCTCCTGAAAACATAAAAAAAAGATTTTGTTAAATCTGACATGGCTTTCAAAATTTATTCTCAATTTTGTATGAAAAACAAAAAATTGAAAAAAAAATGTATTTCTAAATTGTCTATCATATAAAGAAACTGTTCAAAGTGGGCACCATCACCGGCCACACATGCTGAAGTTCTGATCTTCCAAGCCCTGTTTTTAGCAGATCTTTGGAGGCCGGTTCTAGGTTTAGGCAGACTAAGGTTATCCTTTCTTCCAGATCGTCTACCGAAGAGATCACAAGTTCCGTAGACATTATTTTTTAAGTACCCACAAAAAATATTCAATCGGAGTTAGGTCCGGTGATTGGGGTGGCCATTCCCGTTAACTTTTTCTCGAGGTAACTTGAAACAAACCTCGCACTATGTGCCGGGCTACCATCTTGCTGAAAATACATATCCAACCGATGTTGCAAAGGAACATCTTCCAGCAGTGCTGGCAAAATATTTCTTAAAAACGTTAAATTTTTGGTGTAGAAGTACAACGAAGTTGTTCCCTTATAGCTCCACACCTTAAAAATGTCTCAATTTTGTATGAAAAACAAAAACATTTTTAAAAAATTTATTTCTAAATTACCAACAAAAAGAGTTCATAAATAATATAAGAAAATAAACTTTTAAAAAATAGTGAACAAATTTATCGGCAGAAAAAAAAAAGCTTTCGATAAATGCGTTGTCGGTAGTTCTGTAATAAAAGATGTTAAAAATGAAATAAGTATCCCTCGGCTTAAAACCAAGTTTTTCTTTAAGTTCTGTCTTAATCCCACAGAAGGAAAAAATTATTCATTGTTGGATTTATTTCAAAATTATTCATAATTGTATTTCTATTAGTACATTTTTTAAGAGGGTTCTCAACAGCAAAGGTTATATCAATCCTCGGGGTGCCGGTGTTTTTGAAAAAAAAAAGCCCATTTGAAGTATGTCGGGTTCGAATGCAGGGCCGCTGGATTACCTTACAGTGATGAGCTGAGTTTAGTCAACGCCTAAACCGTTGCGGCCACCGTCGCCCCCCTTAGTACTGGGCAATATTTGAAACGTCATGTGCATTTTTGTATTTTAAAGAAATTTTTCATTATTTTTTAATTATCCAGCAAATTCAATCCTTTCAATCTAAAGTCTCTACCGTATCCTCAATGCTCTTTTCTAAGTCACCAATCAAACGATCCATAAAGATCTTAAATCCCATTCGTCAAAAATCTTATCCGAACACGCTTCTTCAATTTCTACTAGGTCATTTCAGCACCCGACGAATGCAATTGCTAGATTCAAAACCATTCACTCTCACTCATTCTTAAATAGATTATTTCTCATTTAGACACCATACACTCAAGGTAGAGAACGTGCTATTCCGCCGGCCCTCTCACACTACACATTCACGCCAATAAATACATTCTCACTCAATACACACTAGTGGACACCAAAATCTATAAACTATTATATACAGTAAAACTATCATATACTTGTTCCCATGCTCAAGCACAATTTTCATGTCGGGTGGCATTCCTACACGCTCTTTATATGGAGCCGAGAGGTTTCACGCTTCAATTATGTGAGACACATCGAGCAATTTTTCTCTACTTGCCGGACACATACGCGGGCTCATGTGTCAACCTCGTATGACCTATTCTTAATCGAGTGAGGTCGACACTTCTTCTACGAGTCATATAATTTCTATATAATTTATATATGTTTATACTAAACGCTAGGGTTTTATTTTTTATTTTTATTTTTTCATTTCATATCTCTAAGCAAAAAGTAAGATTCGGTAGCGTTGTTGACTCTCAGTCATCTGTCCTCTCGCCGCATTCATTCACTCTAATAATAAATAACACATGCAAAACATCATCACCAAACTATTTTCTAAAAATTAATTTAAAAAACACCGCTGTACTCAACATTTCTCCGACTCGCTCCCTGTACGGAGCCATGACTATACTTTCATAATGTGATACACATCGGGCGGACTTTCTCAGGTTCCTTTGGCCTTAAAACAAGAGCATTTTCAATTTTCTTATTATGTTTATCTTTTTCTACTATATAACTGAGTATTATACTGTTTAACTTAAATTAATGAATACGAATAAAAAGTTTCGTTTTTGTTTTTTACGAAGAGGGCTTAGTTAACGCATCTTATTATAAAATTAGGCCCTTTAGTATAGTGCTTGAGTATTATTTTTGACATTTTTATTTTCAAATATACGTTTGAAATGGATGGAAAACCGATCTCGTGTCAAAACTTGACCTAACACGTCTATTTTAAGATGCGTGTTAACCTGGAGAAAATAAATACACTCCAGAGTCGTTGAGATACTAGATCTTTACGTAGATCTATAAATAGAAATCACTTGATGTGCTAGTTTAAAATAGACCTCCATTCAAAATATCCACACCTTAGAATGAAACATATCTGTACAAATAAAAATCCAGCATGTATTGCACGGACATACATTTGATTTTTTTATCAATTAACCGTCCCGCGCAATCACAGAACAATTGGGGATATTTTATCCGTTTTCTTCTAGTTCAAAGCAAAGCAGAAACTTTATGGTTGATGATTTAGTCAAAAAAAATAAAAAATAATACAATAACTTTAACTTCCATCTAATAATAACAAATCTAAAAAAATGAAATTACCTATGTAACATATATAAGTGTATGTGTCAAACTACTTTGCACAATTTTGATATTTTAAAATTTAGGGATAACAATTTTTTTAATCAATATTTATTTTACCAAATGTTCATAACTGTCGTAAGGTAATGGCTTAGTAAGCACTAGTATTAAAAATCTTGAGTCCATCTCCATAAATAATTGATCTGTGGTTTTCAGTAGTTTATTTAAAACGTAATAAATAGCTAGTTTTAATTCTTTGCACTCTTTTTGAAAATTTTAGCAAATATTTAGTTTTAAGAGAATAAATCAAACTAGCAACGTGTTTGTACTTGCAACAAGTGCGTTATGAATGTTGCATGCTAAAAACAACCGAAAAGTTTCGGTATAGCCCCCCAAACAGTAGTACAACCACTAAACAAATTCATCTCGTAAGGTTTAGAAGAATTCTTATTATAAAATACCATATCAATTTGAAAATTAATTTGCGTGCAATAGTGCTGTATTTGAAAATTGTTGATCACCGGTATAGTTTGCTAAGAGCAGGAAATCACCTGAGCTGCTTTTTCAACTATTTCCCGTAATTCCTTAAGCCTTTCAGGTGAAATTGATGGATGAGTAATTATAGAACTGGCACAAGAGGACGATCTTCTTTTTTTCTTAAGGATTGACGGGGATATTTTGCCTTTGGACCGGCCTCGCTGTCTTTTGTCGTCGAGTCTCTTTTTCTCTTTGATGGACGCATTTTCTTCAAGAGCGTTGGTTTCTTCGCTCTCGTTTTCTTCTGCTTTCTCGACAAACGTCTCTTCTTCGTCTAAGGGGCCGGCCTGGACTCCTATGTCTGACGTCTCGATCTCTGGAGAATCATCAGAGCCCGCCAAGTCCGCAGCCGACTCTTCGGACATCTCTACCCAGACTGTGGAGGAAGAAGCTTACAGCCGTAACGATGCCAGCACCGCCTACAGGTGGTCTTCTTAAGCCCTTAACCATCCGACATCGCCAACTGGTACTCCGACCTCTCTTGAATTTGACCTCGTTTCTACCCTTATACTCTTCTTCCTCGATCAGAGACCGTGACCTCTTGCAATACCGAGCCTACTGCCTAACTCTAGATCGATAATACCGTATACAAACCAGCTATAATTACGAAATTAGTCCGTATCCACTACTTTACTATGGACTTTATTTGCTTCTTTGAAAGTATGAAACGATTCACAACTGTAATTTTTAGCATGGATATGTTTTAGGCCTGCATACAAAAAACAAAACAAAAATAATATCATTTGCGTGTACGAAAACGCGTTAACGAGTAGTGCTTAGAATAAGTGCAGTTTTTCCGAATTCGAGCTCATAAACGTTCAATTCAAATACGAAGTCGTTCACACGCTCATTCTGTGGGTATGAAGGTGAATTTCACGAATTCACAGACCAAAATTATAACCTTGATTCAATTTTTTTTCGAGGAAGCTCAGAAAATGTGCAAATGAGAAACGCTAGATTGGTTTGTCTCTTCTTGATAGAAGAAAATCCCAAAGTAAAATTTCTTCTCAGCCAGGCGCTTGAATAGATTAAAACCCTTCTTAGGGAATGGTCATGAAGGTTTAACATAACTTAAGCGCCGTTTTTTCTCCTTCAGCCCCTCACAATTCATCACTAGAGTCTACATTTATATGCAGTAAAAAATTCTCAAATATGCCATATAATATGTACCAATAAAGCCTCAAACATTATAATATGCACTAAAATAATTAAAAGCATCAGCATGAATGTCAGATCGAACATCGACTAATAATTAACTTTTTTAATCTAGATATATATTTTCTTTTTCGTCTAGTTCATACTCATTTCGAAAGGATATAGTACAGAAAAATCTCAATCACAAAAAAATCATATAATTTATAAAGTACAAAATAAGTACTTTAAGTACAAATTTTTATTTATTTTGTATTAATCGGTTACAGTCTCAGGCATGCAGATGGGAGTTGGCTTTCAGTACATACAATAGTAATATTAATATAATAATAATAATAATAATAATCATCATCTCAACCTTTCTAGTGATTTAAAGCAGTTACTGGGCCCCCAGTGTTTCTTTCTCTTTTCTTCTTTCTTCTCGCTTTCTCAAATTTATTGGAATTTATAATGAGATTTAGGCCTTTTTCCAAATTGTTATATCATTGAATGTTTATCTGCTAATGTTTGAATGAGAGTGTGCTTGCAAGATGTCTTTCTTTTTTCAGGAATTTTTGAGACTGCCAGAGCAGAAAAATGAAATATGAGAAAATGCAAATTGTGGGGTAATAAACTGCAATGCCCAAAATCGCAATTTAAATAAGAAAGTTAGCTTAAAAAAAAAAATAAAATAAAATAAAAATAAATTTAAAAAAATAAAAAAAGGTGTGTATATTTGTTTCTTATTACTGTTATGTAACATTAGTTTGTCTATCATATTTGAATGGAAGAATAAAAGCATAAGGATGAGCCTATACTCATGCTGAGACTGTTGCTAGTCTGACACCATTATTATTATTAGCCATACAAGCCTATGGGAAATGTTTAAATTATGGAACAAAAATTGGAAATTCTAATTAAAAAACAGGAATATATTTTATATGTAATTTAAAATGGGATTTTTGCATACATTTGGCCTTCCAAATTTAGAATTTTAAAAGGATAAACTAAAGCTTTGGATGGCAATAAAATAAATTAGTTTATGAGTGAATGTTTGGAGTCAGGGCTTTATAGCACTCAGAAGGGATATAGCTAACTTAAGATAGAAGGTTTGGATGTTAGGGTGTGAAAAGATCTTAGCCGTTAAAACGCCCTTAAAAATCTATAATAATAAATAAATAGAATAGGAATTTTTTACTTAATTTATTTGTATCTACAACTGTGCATGTACTGTACACAACCAGCAGGTTGGATAATTTATTGTTTGTGGCATTACGGGTGTGTTCAGAGAAAGCAACCCATTGTCAGCCACTCTGGATTAATAAAAAAATAAATTATATTAATCATTTACGATGTCTCTTATCCATATTCTTTTAAAGAGGTTTATATCGTAATTGTAGAGAATGGAGTAATAGTAGTTGTGTTAGTGTGATTTTGTAATTTACTATGAAAACGTCTGTAATATGTTTTGATGGATGAAAAAACTGTTGGCATGTGAAGTGTGTTATTGTTTATGTAAAAAGGTGCAGGAACAATTAGTCTTAAATTTAATTTAAAATGGATTTTTTTAATACATTTGGCCTTTCAAATTAAGTATATTAAAAGGAATAAGTAAAGGTTTTGATGGCAAAAGGATAGATCAGATTATGAGGGACTGTTTGGAGTCATAGCTTAAGATAGATGTTTTAAATGTATCAGTTAGGGTGTGTATCCTGGCATTGTATAAAATAAATTTAATAATAATGTGTATAGGCTTTTTTCAAAAACACCAGCACCCCGAGGGTTGGTATAACCTGTTGCAAACCCTCGTTAAAAGAAAAAAAAGTTTACATATTACAAAGAAAATAAAACAAATTTCTCATGGCATTGCATACAATAAAATGTAGTAGTAAAATTAAGAACAATAAGCATTTATAGGGCATCGGTGGCCGCAAGGTTTAGTCGTTGACACGGCGCTCATCACTGTAAGGTAAAGGTCCCGGGTTCGAATCCAGCGGCCCTGCATTCGAACCCGACATACTTACAAATCGGCTTTTTTCCAAAAACACCGGCACCCTGAGGGTTTATATGACCTCTGCTGTTGCGAACCCTCGTTAAAATAAAAAAATAAAATAAAAAAAATAAGCACTTATACATGTTTGAGCTTAGGGCAGAATCAAGTAGGCTTTGCCCCCTTTTTCAGCCCAAACAATACATTTTATAGAAAATAACACAAATTTATCTTGGCATTACAAACCATAAAATGCAGTATTAAATTAATAATAACATAAAAAAATAAAAAATTTAACTTGCCATTGTGTACAATTAAAAATTTGGTAGTAAAATTAATAATAATAAACATTTAGAGATATCATAAAGATTNTATAAATGGCAGAATGAAGTAGGCTTTGCCCCCTTTTCCAGCCCAAAAATTTATGTTACAAAGAAAATAACAGAAATTTATCCTGGCAATTCAAACAATATAACACATCAGTAATAATAAAATAATAATTTTATCTTAACCAATACCTTACATAAAGATTATTTAATTGAAAGAAGTTATTTGGTCAATCGAATCACAAACTCTAATGGATTTAATAATAATGATGTACATTTATAGACATTGTAAAGAAAATAAAACAAATTATCATGGCATCACATAATACAATAATAACAAGTAAGAAAACATTATTTTGTTCTATATTATCATTTTTTCCACAGAATAATGTTTTCAATGTACAGTAAATAAATTCATTTTTGTCTTGTGTAAAAAATCCCAAGTAAAATTACCTCTTTGCAAGGCGCTTGAATAGATTAAAACCCTACATAGGGAACGGTCTTGAGGGTTTAACATAACCGAAGCGCCGTTTTTTCCTTCAAATAACTCATTCATCTCTAGAGTCCGGATTTATATATAATAAAAATCCTTAAATGTGCCAGGCACTAAAATAATTGGATTGTTGATTCCCTGTATAACAACTTAATTTTATTTACAATATTTTACATGCATACGTATAATATAATATTTGTAACACCAGTGACCCGAGGTCAATTCCTTTTATGACTCCTAAAATTTTATGTACAATTGATATAGCTAATTATTTACATACTGCTGATATAATAAGAGTGGAAAAATTAATTTAAAAACCTACAGCTAAATTTACTTTATATTATATCCTAAAGTCTTTGAGACTCTACAAGGTCCCAAAGAGATTATGTTGGGCTCTTGCTATAAGTGCTCGTTTTTGCTCGATGCCTTTTATTATGGCTTTGTACTACTTGCACTTCTAGCAAAAAAACTTTTGACATTTTGAGTCCATGAAAATACACACATATTGAACCCCAGAATTTAGGTAAATTACGTCAATCTTGGTTTGGGTTGATAGAGCTGTAAAAGCTTGTTTTGGGTTATTTGCAGTTTTTTGTAAGTTGGGTTGCACTTAACTACATCTTAATTGTTTCCTTTTAAGATTTCTTTAAGTTTTCTCAATTCATTAAATCAAATATTTTTATCAAGGATGTTTTTTTTGTTTTTTTAATGTTGATTTAACTTAATCCGTTTTGTGTTGAAAGAAAAAATTCAGCCTACTCTTTTATAAGAAGTTAACTTCAAACTTCTGGCATTTTTGGTGGGTTTACTAGGTTGAAAATATGAAAGATGACTGAGATTGATTATTTTGCTGTTTCAAATGAAGCCTTTTTCCACAACTACTTCAAAAAAGTATTTTTTCAGGAAAGGTAAAACCAGCACCTAGAAGTTTTAGAAACACGGGCCTCAAAAAAGATGCTGATTATTTCAAGATAATTCAATTCATTCAATAATTCAATTATGCCAGATTGTTTACATCTTTGTTCTTGGCAAGTTAAGAAATTCAAATCAAATTTTAGTTTAATTCTCATGTTCATAGTTTCCTAATTTTTTCTATAATGAAAAATGTTTCAAATTTACAATAACCTTTAAATATAGTGTATTTACACAATGTTCTACAAATATGCAGAATAAAATTTGAACCACTGTACTATGCAGATATGTTTCAGATAAATATCTGATCAGCAATAATTAGTAATGGTTAGCAAAAAGAATATGCAATCTGGGTTCTATTCATAACCTTTACCCTTCCTACATTACTGCTTTTGTTTTATTTTATTTATTGCTATCTGTACAAAATAAATATACATTGAAAAAAAGTACAGATAATTGTATACAAATTGATAAATCTGTCAGACCAGTGGAAAGAGAAACCAGCCAGTGCTAGAAAATGTTTTTATTTAGTTGAAAGAGTTAAGATAGGAGGTTAGGAGGCCATCATCATTTTAAATGGCATGTTCAGATCAACGAATGGGATTTTAAGGGCTTTACAGACCATTTGATTAGTGACCTAGAATGGACCGGCGGAGAGCTTTGGATTGCAAGGATTGGATTTGTTGGAGGATCTGGCCAAGCCACACAGTTTGACTCAGTAAGTCCAAATTTGTCTGATAAGTGTTTTGTAAATGGTTAGTTTGTTATGTTTGCTTTGTTTCGATTTTGATCCTAGTAGTCCATATCATTTGTTGATTTCTTATCTTTTTAATCTTGTATGTGTGTCCCATGTAAGACTGCTATCTAAGTAAAGCCCAAGGAAGCAGACTGGGTTGGAGAGATTATCTTATGTGAACTGGTGGGCAGGTGTGGTGTTTGAGTTGGAACATTACTTTTCGGTGATTTTCCTTGTTCAATCTAGTCCACCAGTTGGTTATGAGGATTTATAATGAGCTTTTAGCATAGTTCTATTTACGAATCTATAATGAAACTTCAAAACATTTTACAGATAAATTGCACAACAGGAAAGAAGGATACATAATTAATAAAATCTGTATTGGGTATAAAGATTAATCATGTACATAAACTTCATTAGAAAGATCAGTGCTATACCATCATGGATATTTTTCTTCCGTATTTTCCTTATTCAAAAGGCTTTAAATAGATTGTGCAAATACTGCTACAAATTTATAACATAAATTAGTATAAAATAAAAAGCTCTTTGTACAAAACAGAACTTAGGCACCAACTTTGCAGCACTGCCAGGAAAATAACTTGATTTTAATCAGCATATCAGCTTGCATTGTAGAACAAGTGAGCATTTCATTTCTGAATTCCCCTATCATTGGTAAATTCTCAGTAAAAAACATAAGTATCTACTAACAAAAACAAATATTTATTAAGTGATTATAATATTTATAAAACATTATAATAACATACCTAAAAAAAATTGGTCAGTTATTCCTGAAATTTGATTTGATATTGTGACTCCTCGTCTTGCCTAAGAACATGACAGCTTCTTAACAAGTTATCAATCGACAAATTTTAATATCTGGTTAAAATATCTTTAATTTTTACAGTCATAATAAGTTGTAAGTTGTTACTTAACTTATTAACTTTGTTAGTTCACTATATCTTGTACTCACATTCTCAAAATTGTATATCCTTGATACCTTCATTTAAGAACAATCGTGTCTAGAAATGTAGTTGCTTCTATATTATTTCCAATCAATCTTGCCGTTATTGTGTATTTTCCAATGCCGTAGGGTATAATTGTAAATCTACCTACAACTCTATCCTGTGGTTTTATTCTAAAACATTTTCAACAATTTCACTCCAGATTTTAACTTTAGTGTTCAATGGTAATAAAGTTAAACTTACACGTCAAAATTTATGAACACGCATTTATGACAATCGCACTCCGCCATAATCATTTTTGGTTGCACTATATTGATCGGCAGTGTGTTTATTAAAAAGACTTCTAATATTGATTTCTTATACAATTCTAAATCTCCAATGAGCTACAAAAAAAGTACATGTAACTAATTTAAATAATTTCATTAAGATGACCATACTTTTATTCGTAACTCAGGTTGTATAACCCTAAAATCGTTTTCAAAAAAATAATCATAATTGGTTTCAAGGACTGTCGCCTGACAGAGAACACTGAATGTGCCAACTTCATTCAGCTGTTTAATATAATCGTTAAACGTTAAGACAAGTTCTTGTGTTACACCTGAAATTTAAAAAAAAAAAGTATTTAGCAAAGCTGTACATAAACTTATTTGTAATCGTGTTGTGTGTCATTACTGCTTTCTGCATTCAATATAAATGTTTTTGCTACCCGGGTAATCATATTCATTCTTTTTGTAAATGTTATTTTTGACCATACTTGCCAAATTATTCTAATTGTATAATTAGTTCCTTCAGCAAGGTTTGACAGAACTGCTGTAGCTCTACAAGTTTAATTAAAAATATTGTTGTTGTTCTAAAGCTATTTTCAATTTTATATCTCATACCTAAAAGGATTCCCTATTAACACGTCGTTTGGAAATCCCTGTGGACAAAACTCTAAACTCACATTATTTGATGGCTCATTATTATATGAGTAAGTAAAAAATGCTCTTGCAGTACTATCAGTATTGTTACATAGAAAAGGAATGCCTGAAAACAAAAATACAATAGTTATTAAGTTTAGAAAAGTAAATAATATAATCATCATATTCATTTTCAGAATTATAATAATTATTATATGTAAAATATTATATTTATTCCATATTTATTTTCAGTTTACTCCAATATTCTCATCGCTAATTAAAGGAGAAGGCCAAAGGACATTGGCCAGTATAAAAATATTAGTATGCTTGATAACAAAGCTTTGATGATTTTGTTTTCCATTTTTTGGAAATGGTTTTCCATTGCTAGTTTTTGGCATTTTACTCTGACCACAGTCATCAATCCATTGTTTGTGAACATAAAAAACTTAAAACAACCAACCATCCTTCCAAAGGGTAATATTTTCTTAAATGAAAAAAAAATTACTCTCCTACTTGATACAAAGCAACAGGAAAATTCATTTGGAAAATACCTGCAGCTCTGAGATCTATGGTGGACTGTTTTGTCTGTCTCTTTTCCGGTGGAGGGGGAGCTACAAATACAAAGTGATAGAATTGAATGATTTTTTTAATGTGGTGTTATCCATAAATTTTATTATACTTGTGTAAGCAATAGAGTTTTTTCTATCTATTATTTTCCCCTCCCTATAATTTTGAGAAATATCCTCTTCCTCAAAAGAGTTAATTTTTTTCGTCAGTATTTTTGAGCAAACCCTGAAACAAATGAAAATGTACAATGTTATTACTTGCAAAAGATTGAAAATACCACACAAAAAATGAAAAAATCAAATCAAATTTGATCAAACTGACAAAAATTCGGTTTGGAAAACCATTTTACATAAATTAGTAAATGGAAAGTAACATAGACAAAAAAATATATATCCACAACATTATGATACACATACCTCAAACTACTTTTTCGTATAAATTTAAGAGGCTTGTCACCCTGCAAAACTTTCCAGTACACTATAGAAGCATTCAATTTCTGGACCACTAACGCTGTATCGTATGGAATTTGAGATTGTTTATTTTTAATAGCAGTGACAGGAGAAGGCCCATATTGAACATCAAGGTAGCACCAACCAGAATGTTCTTTACCAACATCATTCCTATTCAAGTAGACTTCAACCCACTCAGCATACTCTCTAACCAAAAAGAAATCCTTTATGTTATAATGAATTTGTATACATTAAATGTATCAAGCGTTACTTACTTTACCACATCTGTCCCTCTCCAAGGATGGTGGCCTGCTTCACTGTAAAAGTAGTCTATAACGGAAGATGGGTCTTCACTGAATAAAATCCTAAAACCAGTTATTGTACGAGCAGCGATGCCCAATGATCTCAGTACTATAAAATAGTAAAAGTCAGTACATTGTAATTTATAGAAAGGTAAGGTGATAACAGCAAAAAGCCAACAACAAACCAGTCACAATAATTCCAATTTTTAGTGAATGTGTTGCATTTACTATTGGCATCCCAGATTTGAAGAATTGTTTTAGGGGCGATTGGCTGCCATTATTTTTATGAATTATTTCTTTTTTACAACATTTTTTTAGACGTCTCAAATTATCAATAAAAAGTGGATTTATAAGCTATAAATGAAGAAGTGTAAAACAAAAAATTGGCATGGATAAGAGATACATGTTTAGATATTTTCGTACAGCTTTTCTCACTCCAATAGCAACTTGTATTGCACTTTGGCATTGTGAATATGGTATTTTTGCAATATCGCTTATTATAATGAGTGAGCAATCTATAATATTTTGTTCAAACTGTCCATATTTCCAAACATTTTTTTCGTAAGATTGATCAGTGCCTTTGAACACTAATCCGACATCATTTATAATATATTCCATCCTTCTTTCATTCCTTTCTATATATGTTTCATCATCTACAATTTTTATAAATCACTATTTAAATAGTATTCCATTAATTCATGTACTATGTATATAAACTAATTTAATAAGCGTTAATTCACCTTTACACCAAGCATTAAAAAGGATGTAAATTTCACCAGGACACTGAAAGTTACAAATTGTTTTACTAATCACAGCACTGACTAGCATTTTCCATTTGTGCACAATTGCATTTGCTGGTGGTCGAATCTAGTGAAAGATGTTTAAATTTAATGAAACTACTAATTACGTCCATTTGTATCTACTCACAAATACTTTAACGTATTTTCCATTGCCTGACACTGGTTCACAATAAGCATTCCATGAATATGAGTTGTTCGCAAAGAACGTTTTTGGAAGTACGGGCACCACAACCTTAGTCCCATTTCCAGTCCTGGGATATGCACAGCCTTTAAAACAAATTGTTAGGAAAGGGAGGTTCGTCAAAAATAAAACAAAATGGTTTTACCTTTTATAAAAAATGTTAATAAAAGTTTATCATCTTGTAGGTCAAAGCCTCTTGAGAATTCAACAAAAATCGAAAACAAGCTCCCCCGTCTGACTACCAAATACATATTTGGTTTGTTTATTTTCATGCATTCATAACAGTAAGTGTTATGCTCCACTCCATTTTCATCTTTATTCAAATGAACATTAACAATTTTAATAACAGAAGTTATTTCAGCTTGTTTTTCTGCAAATATGAAAGTTTAAAACATTTAATGATATTTTTTAATTATATTTATTTAGTGCTATTCAACTGTAAATAAGATTATTTTTTTAATTAAATAAATAAAGGTATTCAACCACTTGGGTCATTTTCTACTGCCTATAACGGGTACAAAAGGTGGCTTTTGAGAGTGACAATAGACTCTAGAGATATAAATGAAATAAAGCCTAATTTGACAGACCCTTCCAAGTCCAATAGAAACTTTAGGAAGAAAGGTAGACTAAAGTAAGGAGCCTTATGACATACGGTGCACAGATGGCTGTAGCAAAGCCCTTTGGACTAATCCCAACAAATTTCCAAGCTGAGGTCCATGTAATACAACTCTCCACAGGAGTTGTACTGAAGAAAAATTTGAAAGATGAACGGATTGACATATCTTTCAGACCAACAGGCACTCCATAATGTCACTAAGTTCGTATGCTTTCAACTTCAAATTGTCTGAAAGTGCCTAAATTCCTAGTAGCTTTGTAAAAGCATAAGATTAGCTTAAAATGGGTCCCGGGAGATGCAAGTAAATAGGAAATGACCAACTAGAAAAAAAAATGGTGGCCCTCCCACCCATGGGACCAGAACTACAACTAGGTGCACTGGATTGTACACAACAGCTTGAGAAAGACGACACCAGGTATGAGGCAGTTTAAGAGATTTATAAATTTCTCAAAAAGGAAGGTGAAGGAACTTTTCTCTCTCAGCAGGCAGGATTTGAGGCAAATTATAGACCTCTGCTGTTCTTAACTATAACCTAAAGAAAATGGGCAAAATAGAGGCAGCACCGACCCTGCCAGAGTGAACCAGAGACATCAGCTAATATCCTTTCATAGCCACCTCAACACATAGCCTGGTTATACAGCCACATCAGTAAGGCGTTTCTCACACCATAAGAGGTGAATGACTGGGTCATTTTCTATTTTGACTTTAATTACAATAGTACATATTTAATGATAAACCCGAGACAGGCGGAAACCACGGAGACCACAGAACTGCCACACCACGACGAGAGATATAGGAAAGTCATTTCTTTTCTTCTTTTTTTTTAATATTTACTAGTGGTACATGTTGTGCCACCCCATCCACAATCCTCACAGGTCTAGGGCTTCAATTTTGCCCTTGTAATGTCCTCCCTTTTAAATTAGCTAACCAACACTTTCTACATATATATTAATTAAAAATTTTGAAAAATTCCCATTCAAGCATGCTTCATTATGTTTTTAGCACTGGATCCAACACTAACTAATAAGCACAAAAGAATTGTAAAGAATTTTTGAGAACAAAAATATATTTTCAGCAACACATTACAATTTTTACATTTCTTCAACTGGAACCCCAGGGGTTAATATGACCTAGTAGTTGAAATGCCCCCATAAAAAATATTTAATTTAAAAAATAATAATGTTTTCATATTTTGTGTATATCCATATTTTTCATATTATATACAACTTTTATCTTATTTGTTAACGATTACAAATAATTTCATATTTTATTTCATTTTTATTATTATTATTTATTAATCCATTTATGTTTAGTCAAATTGTCCAAATTACTTCTTTCAATTAATTATTATTTTTAAGTAAGGCTTTGGTTGAGATGAAAAAGTTAGTGTCACGATTCGAACCCACGACCCTCAGCTTAATAAGCCGTTCTAACCTAAGTTTCTAGGTTCTAACCACTTGAGCCATCATGACCTTTATTATTATTATTTTTTTTAAATTATTATTGTGCCCTTCCCAGCCAACCATATTAATTTTACATACTGTATATTGGACATGATACCATATTAAAAAGTTATATTAATTAAATAAATTATAAATAAGTAGTATAGAACATATGTTTAATAATGTTTTGTTTTTTTGGAATGAAAGTTTAATTTTTACATTAAATGCTATTCAATTTGTAAATTATAGTGGTTCAAGTGGTTACAAATTTGGCAATGAAATTCTCCATGTAAAGCAACAAAATTCCTTTTGATTGACTAAAAGATGGTAATTTGAAAACTTTTTAAAAGAAAACTACAGAAAAAAGACAAAATGTACACGTCGTTTAACAGATCTAAACCTTCGTTTCTAATTTCACATTTGACAACATACGAACCAATATTGGAAGGGATATGTGGTTCCTCTGTTGAAGTGGTGACAGTATCATGAAGACTCGAAATCAAAGTTGGGTGCTCAATCTTGAAATCATCCTTACAGATTCTACTTATATCGAAGCCTGAGCCGTGAACTCTAGCCTGGTATTCGGAATCTGTCATGCTTGATGGTTTTACTGAACCCTTTTGGTGTCTCTTGATGGGCCCCATGATGCAGTATAAGCACACAAATCATCTGTTATAATTAAACATTCTTTGCTGAAAATTTCCTTATAATTTTGTGCATTCTACTGTTAACAGTAAATAGTAGATTACCAGTCTACCAGCTAAACGATTAAATAGTAATAAATTATCACAATTAACAAGGACATATGTATTTTTTTACTTATTAAGTTTTTAAACATAGCTCAGGTGTGTTAACAAAATAAAATCTGCTATTGAGTTTGAGCAATCCAGTAGAGAAATAAAATTACTGAAATGATATTTAAATACAATTAATCGTAAAGATATTCACTGCTAATATAACTTAATAACAGGTAAATTAATTGTTGAAAACACATCTTGGTGAAATCCATAATCACATTAAATAAGAATTGAAATCTTGGGTTACTAGAGAATACAACAAATCTATCTTAAGAGCGCCAAAACCCTTTGCAGGTCCTGGCCTCCCCAATAAGTTTATGCCATAAGTCCTTTCATGTGCGGCTGCTTTTCAGTAGTGAGCTCTTAGATCATCATGCACACAATCAAGCCACCTAGGCTTTCCCACCTTTCTGCTTGTGCCCAGTTGTCCATCCATCATCTTTGGTAGCACTTCCTCCTCCTCCATCCTCACAACATGATCAGCCCAATTTAATCTTAAACTAAATTACATTTAAGACATTCAGTTTTTTGTACACCTTATTTATTTTTTTCTTCCCATTCATACCTTTCTTTTATGGCACTGAATATACTTCAAAGAATTTTCCTTGAGAAAATCAAGAGATTTTTTAACCTGTCTTGGAGATGGCCCAAGTTTGAAATGCATATGTCAGTACAGGGCAGAAGAGGGTTTTATAAAGCCTGATTTTTATATTCCTGGAGATTAATCTTTCATATTCTTTGTAAAGCCCAAATACCTCCTATTAGCAGCTATGGTTCTCTCCTGATATTATAGGAGTTAATTTTGTGCCCGAGAAAGATAAATCCATTGATTCTCTGAAAAAAGTTAGAGACTATTTGCAATCTGTCTCTCAGCGGGTAATTCCTATATGGTCTTCTTTGTTAATGGTTAACCCATGGTTAAAGCTGCTTGTCTTTGTATTTACATAGTTCTGGAAGTGAACATGCTATGATATCTATATCATCCGCATATGCCATCAGCTGTATTCCTGAGCGGTTCCTGAGATCACTCACCTTACCTAGTTATTTATCTGTCCTGAAATCAGGAGATGCATCAGCCTGAATCTAGACTACACTTGACATATCCATCATTGTCATTTTTACTAACCTAATGTGCTTGGGTGGTATATTCATTTCTTGAATAGCCTCATACAGTCTTGGGCTTACGACACTATTACAAGCACTTTTAAAATTTATAAAGAGGTGGGGACACTTGAAATTCAGTACCTCTTTCAAGAAACAACCGAAAAGGAAAGATCTGGTGTATTGCAGACTGGTAGTAGTAAGAGTACTGGTCCACTGGTGCAGTATAGATTCTTTCACCCATATGTATATAATTACATTATGGAGAATTCTATAATAATCTCCTCTGCCATTCTTAAATAGCTCTATCTGCAGACCATTAATTCCAGGGAACTTATTAGTTTTCATTTTATCTATTGCATTCCTAATTTCTTCAGAATTTAGTGGTTGAATATTCATATTTGTCTTATGTTTCCAATGTACTTTCTTCTTTTCACATGTCACCATTGTGCAGGTTGTTATAGTGATTAATGTTCCATCTTCTTTTCTCACCGATCTCTTTGAACAAAACAATGGTGACATGAAGCATGGTGACATGAAGCAAGTAGAAAGACTGCTTACAAATACAACCCAATGGGAGAAAGAGAAATTCCTTCTCAACAGAAAGGGAGTAAAAATTCAAACTGGTATTTACAGGACATGCTCTAGCAAATACCACTTTGACTGTGTCTAGAAGAGACAAAACAAAGCAAAAGCAAACAATAAGACCTTGATTCCTAGAAGAATTCTATACAATAATGAAGAATCAGAAGTCTCAGGGAAAATCAAAAATATAGTTCAGACAAAATCAACAAAGGCAAGTGCATAAGAGAAAAAAAAATGAAAGTCCATAATGAAGTTGCAAGCTGTAATGTAAAATAATGTAATAAATTATAAGAAAATAAATACTATTGTTTTATTTATTTATTTTTAAATCTTTTCTAGGTTAAGCACATTCTAAGATTCACATTTAGTCTCTTCCTCTTTCAACTCCAACTGTCCAAAAACTTTGCAGTTAATCACCTCAGAAAGGAATTTAACCACAAAATAAAATGTACCAACATTGACTTTGTTTCCAAGCTCTACATCTGCAATAAATTTACCAAGGCCAGCGATTCTGAAAGTCAATGTTTTTAATACTGCTTATTCACACAAAAAAAATCTTTCCTTACTTTTGTATTTTCAAGATTATTTTGTTGTTTGTGTCAATCTCTTGCAATATTAGATTACTGTCTATAATGTCTTTATCAAGACTGTTAGTCAGTTCGATGTGAACAAAATGACTATCCTGATTCATCTCATCTTTCAATATCTATCAGAAGTTAAACTTTGTAAATAACGCGTAATGTAGGAATATAAGGTAGAAATATAATTTACAGTCATTAATAATGGAGGTTGTTTAACTGTAATGTATTTTTCAGTAATATATGTAAAATTGATACGTTTTGCTCTAACTTGCAGACAGACTTTGCAAAGTCCATACTCTGGTTCAATTTTGTCAATGTATCGCTCTGACTTGAATTCAATCTCACGGCACTCCACTGAAACAATTTTATTTCAGAAAAGCATTATTTTATGATAAAAGTGTAATTATTACTTGTTTTCTTTTTCAACATGCAATTGTCCTCAGAATTGTGAATAATTTTATGCAACTTTCCATTTAAATATATCGATTCAAACACTAGAATATAGTTAAGGAATAAATTGTTTATTTCAGATTTATTTTTGAGAATCATGAGGAATCTAGAAAATAAAATTCATAATAATCATTCAATTCAACATCCTTGAGAATGTATATGATATTACTTAATGGTATTCCCAATTAAAACTTCGTCCTCATATTGAAAATCTACTTCTAAGTCATCGTTATGGGAATTTGCAATATAATCACCTACACTTTTGGTTGTCTTCAGAATTTTGTGTATCTTTGGCTCGCTTTCTAAAATTATTTTCACCAATTATTAGCAACCCAATTTCAAAAATATTGTCAGAAATGTACCTTTGATTATAGTGTAGCTTTGAGTGAGATCGCACACAGTTCGAGGATGAGTGCCCTTTGTGAAGATTCGCTTATGAAGCCTAAAAGTATTTTTATAAATTGTAAAATATATATCAAAAATTACAAATGTTGTGAAGGTATTCTTTACAGATAATAATTTTGTCTTACACTGAATTGTCATAATCTACTAATTTTTTGTGCTTTTGTGGATCTCTCTCATCATACTCCCACTGCAAAACTCCTGAATATAAAGAATTGTATGCATACAGGGTTCCAAAGGGCCTTTCTAGATGCCTCCTTCGGAGAGCGTCACGAGATACAGGTCCATATTCACAGACCCATTGCCATTCGCAGTATTCCTCACAGATGTCTTTGCGAGGAATAAAAACTTCGATCCAAGGTCGTAAATACCTTTACATTAAATATATCAAAAAATATTTGAAAATCGCTTGTTATAAATGAGCGCGATTACCAAAGTTCTTCATATATATCATGTATGGTCCGATGGTCTGTCGTGTAATATTTGTTGCAGGCAAAACTACAATCGTTTACAAGGCGTCTAACGACACCAAATCCGGTTACAACTCTCGCTGGAATTCCTAACGCTCGAAATGCTGAAAAATCCATTGATTACAACTAAGTATATATAATTGCATCATCAACTATACCTGTCACCATCAGTCCAACTTCACCAAGAAAGTATTTTTTAGTATCTACTATTTTATTCCTTTGATACGCTTCGATTAATGATTTGCTTCCTGCTAAAGTGAGTTTTTCCTTGATATGCCCCCACTTGTATTCATCTACCATAGGATTCATTATCTAAATTTTATTGTTAAGAAAAGTATATTATCATTATTAATGTTTAATATAGTAAACTTATTAAAATATAAATTAATTACTGACTAATTAATTATAAATTACTGACTAAATAATGCCAATTCATTTACATGTCCATAATGTCAAACAGCACTGAAAAATAAAAAATTGTTTATTTAGCCAGTGTTTAAAAGTTTTGAGCAATGTACTTAAGCAAAATTTGATCAGGGCCAGACAAATGTTTTTATCATCAATGACATAACGAATGCTATCCAAATTACAATTTTATTTCAATAAAACCAAAATATAAAGATGAACTAGATTATCGACCTGCTGGATAAAAGAAGTCTTTTCCGAAGATCCTCTGAAAAGACTTCTTAAAACCAAAATATTTAACATTAGTATAGTAATTATATCTTCCCCCTTATAATTTGAGTGTTTAGTAAGATTGTCATACAATTATTTATGAATTTAAGTCTACTGTTAGACATCTAATTAATAATAGTAATAATTTGTTGTTTGTTGTTATAATAATTAGTTTTGTTTTTAAAAATGTTATAATTAAAAGTGTGTGCTTTTAAACAAGGCCAATATATATTAAAAAATTTTGTAATTTGCCCAATACCAATCATTTTGGTTTGCCCATTCTCACTGTTTTAGTCTATCAGACTTTCATCATATTCAGTGTTAGACAAGGATTATTTTTGAAAAGTCAAGTTTCCTTTTATAAAATTGTGAGAGGTGACAGACTGAAATGATCAGTAATGACCAGGTTCATCATCCTGCAGAATACAGATACATACAATATAAATAGTTCTGTCAAAACTTACATTTTGTTTTATATTTAATGCATATTATTTTAAAACACAATTTAAACTTACTGCTTTGATTAATGCCCTTGTAATATTAACAATATTTCCAGCATCGAGATATTTCAACTGTCCGTTGTCATAAAGCATTGAAAATACTGCAGGTAAAACATTATTTTCATACTGAGAATATTTCCAAAATTCCAACTTTGGCTTATCGGGTTTTCCTAATATGATATCACCAACATCTTTGATCAGGTATTCAACTAGTTGGTTTTCTTCCAATGGAATTTCATCTCCGTCTGAATTAGGAGTCAAATTCATTAAAGAAGCAAAAAGTTGAATATTGAAAATTAACATTTACACATTAGAATACGCACATTCTAACCATGGATTGAAAATTACATAAATTGGTGTTTTGCATATATGCATATTAACGTTTTTATTATAAAATGACATTTTCCAACTACCTAGCATACAATGTATATGTGGTATAATCTGAAAAAAATTAAAATTATTTCCAAACAAAAATAATGTATCTGCATTTATGAAATAATGTGTACATCAATAGTGATGGATTGGTTTGTTTCTGAGGATATTTCCCCGTGGTACGCTGACCAGTTTCCATGGGCTGGAGGCCGTTTTTGATTTAATGGGTACACCCTTACTAAAGCTTTAGTACCATTTCCAAAATCAGGATTTGAACAATCTGGAAAATAATAATTAATTTATAAAATTGTAACAAATAAGCATGACTCAAACAGACTTTGAAATTCTAAAAGGATTGTGAAGTAATCGCCTTCTGGTAATGGTTTTGTTGTGATAAACGTGATCTTGAATAGCTGTCCTCTTCTCACTACCAAGCTGTCATTTGAATAATAATGGTAGAAATGAGTTTTGTGCGTTTTTCCATTCCATTCAACATTGTAATCCATATATTCAATGAGCATTGGTATTTCTTCTTCAGATTTACTTTCATCCTGTTCAACTATACAAGATTTAATCTATCATGAAATTAGTAAACTAAACTACAATTTAAATTGTATAAACTAGTAAAGTAAGATATAAAGAATTGGGAAGCGACTTAAATTTCTAGCTTTTTTCAATTTAAGACTTTAAGATTTTATCAGTTGTGTGCTTGTTGGTTATTAATACAGGCAACAATTTTATAATAACCTGTTGGGTGTGAGGAGTAAAACCACTTTACATTTTTCAAACTATTATAAATTAAATGCCATGGTCTTTACATGGACACTCATGCATAAGAAATACGAGTCAGGCGCCCTAACCACTCGGCAACCACGGTTTTGAATAGATGATTAGTAAAGGTTTGTACATATTTTATTTTTTCATTACAGTTTCTTAGCATATTTCCCAATCTCGAAAGAAATAGAAACTTCTGAATGGGTGCCTCTCAGTGAAATTTACTCATCAGTAGTCTGATAAAAATTAACTTATCTAATTAATTGATAATTTTCTACAATAAAGTTTACAATAACAATAAAATTGTTAAATTAAATTAGAACTAACTGGTAATTACAGCCCAGTAAATTAATCCAGTTTAGCTGGGAAGTCTTAAATTATTCTCTGAATGTACGATGTGCAAATTTATGCGTATAACATCAGTAATTGGTTATTGAGTGCACTTTTATCTAGGCCAAAAGACCATCAAAATATTGAAAAATAGTCTACCTTTGATGGGAGATAATTGAGCATAAATTCCCAGTATTAAAGGATTTTTTTTACTTTGATTTTGCTTTACTTTTTAATAAAATCACTTTACTTTTTAAATTTAGAATTAATTATGTATATTATATTAGGGTCATTAAATATTTATTTTTAAATTTAATAACAAGTTTATGAACAGATTATGACTCTTATCTTATAAAATCCTTTATTGCAATTCTATAAAAGGTACATTTAAAAAAAAAGTATAGAATTTAACTGGAGTAATCCTGAATAATCAAAACATATGAGTGAAATAACAAGAAAGATGAATAATTCTGTCCTAATAAACAAAATGCAAAATTTATTAACTATTCTCTTTTTCTGTGTCTCGTTTTAGAAGGATGATTTTTTTTAAATATTAGTTCCCTATTTCTTATTCAGTAGGCAGATAGTAGAATGTAAAATTTTTAAAAGAAACAAATGTTTTTGTTATTGGTAAAACAAATTGCACTTTGTCATGTGATAGTTTTTTATTTATATATAATTCACACAACTCAAAATTTACCTTCAACTTCAACTTTCTGCTCTGACTTGACATGGATGGATACATCTGATTCATCACCATTAAATGACATGTTATCATTCTTTATCAGATGTGGCTTCTGCATCAGCGATTCCTTTTTAACGATTTTATCCTGATCCAATGTCTCTTCCTTCGACACAACCGGGCACACACTATGTAAATCACTTACGATTTTTGAGGGGCCAAACAAGTGCTCCAACTGGCTAAATGACTTTGGCACAAAAGTCTCATTTTCCTTCATCGACATTGATAAATGAGGGGAAGGATTTGTAAGCTTGAGCACAGGTTTGAGGTCAAGCGGAAGAACTGTTGTAGCCGGTATATATTTGTGACAGGAGAACGTCATGTCGGCTAAAAATTTTGGAACTACAAGATGAGGAAGCGAAATGCTTTTGTGCTTGAAAAATAATTTGAAGGGATAAAACTTGAAACATGTGATTATGAACAATTTTTCATTTTCTCAAAATAACAAACAACAAATAAAACGTCTTGAACAAAAAATGCATTTGAACCATTTATTTGTACATAATTTTATAATATTATATTTTTAAGTTAATAGTTTAGTTTATTGTACTTTATTTTCAGTAACTTATTGCATACATTGTAATTTTTGAGACAATTTAATCTAAACAAGCATTTGGATTTTATAATCAAACAGAACATGAGGTATTGTAATTTATTAAAAGGAAAAGAATAATAAAAGGAATGTACCAGGTACAAAGTTTAACTAGGACACTCTGTTTACAGGTTTTGATGTTATTCAATATTTTCATACTTTGCGCTATCTTCATTGAGGAACTGTTCCTCTGAGAGCATCTGAAAAAATGTTTAAATGTTTTCCAAACATGCTTTAGACCGATTTAAGTCGCTCAAAATCATGACTATCAATAAAATTTATTTTCTAAAAAACATTGGCCCTGAACATCTAGCTCAGACAATTAAAAATAACTACAAATATCAGTTTTGAACCAGTTTGAATATTTGAAAAGGGAAGTTAAAAAATGGTTAAAAACACATTTAATTCAAAATAACACCTGCATAAAAACTGAATTGCAATGAAAAAATAGAATTTTTTAATATATATCATTTTTTTTACACATTGCGTGCTGAGGCTTTAAAAAATTAATGGAAGTATGAAATAAATAAATATGTAAATCATAACAAAAAAAAAGTATTAAAAAAATGATAGCACAGACAGGATTTTCATAATATGAAATATAATATTTCCATTAGTATTAGGTACTTGCTTGAATGTGATATTAGGAGCAGGAAAGAGAGGAGGAAATCATTTATGTTCATGAAAAATAACAATGGCCCAATGATTGAACCTTGAGAAACTCCAAGGAGCAAATCTAGAGCTAAAATTACGTTTTTGTACCAAAGAACATTCATGGTATGAAGTCGGAAAGAAGCTAAAAAAGAAAAGAAGAAAATAAAAGATAAAGAGAAGTGGTGAAACACTAAATCAATTGTCTCAAAAGTTTCTCATCTACAAGTTGTTCAAACCACGGAACATTTGTGGCATAAACTTAAAAATGAGTTAATGACATAAATAATGAATAAAAGTAGTGAAATGGTAAATCAATTGTACTAAAAAGCTAGTTCCAATCACAAAGTTGCTCAAACCAAACAACATTTGTGATATGAAGTTATGAACATTCGTGAATCAGCTAAAAGTCAAAATAATGAAGAGATGTGTCGAAATGAAAAATCAATTGTACAAAAAAAAGTAGTTTCCCATTAGAAAGTTGCTCAGAACAAAGTATGTTCGTGATATGGAGTTAAAAAACAGCTAACAACATAAATAATGAAGGGAAGAGTTTAAATTTTAAATCCATTGACCCCAAAAGATAGTTTCTTGTCAAAAAGTTGCTCAGACAGCAGAATATTTGTGGCATGAAGTTAAAAAACAGATAAAAGCCTAAATAATTAAGAGAAGTAGTGGAATGGAAAATCAATTGTCTCAAAAGCAAGTTTCTCATCAAAAATTGTTCAGACCGCAGAACATTCGTGACATGAAGTTAAAAAGAACTAAAAGCCTAAATCATGAAGAGAAGTGGTGAAATTAAAAATCAATTGTACAAAAAACCTAATTTTTCATTCAAAAATTGCTCAGACCGCAGTCAAGTTTGAAAATGAAATTAAAAAACAGCTAAAAGTCTAAATAGCAAAAACAAGTGTTTAAGAAATTTGAAAATCAAAAATTTTCAATCAACAGTTGGGAACATGATGCGAGATCTCTTTGTCGAACTTTTTAGGCTAAAATATAAAAGTACGAACATTAAACAAAACAGTTCTTCCTTTTAATTATTTTCTTCTTTAATTATTAATAACAAGAATATACGTAAATATAAAAAATAAGATATTCTCTCTCCGTCTCTTTCGTAATAATGTGACGTAACTTCTTGACAACGAATGGGGAAATTTCTTTATCAAGGCTAGAGGTTCCAGTTTCTATCATTTCTCAAAACAAATTTTAATATTTCAGTTTTTGATTCGTCCGTGTCTAAAGTTTAAAAGTAGTTAAGTGATAACACGAAAATGTCTAACATAATGAGTCATCTAACATACGCAGATCAACAATTTTAATTTTAATGTAAGTTTGTAATATATTAATTTAATTATAATTCAACGTACTAACATTACTCGAACAATGGATAAGTTCCTATGAGTCATACCAGAAAATCTTTAGCACCTATCTGTCTGATTGTTCCGTTTCTCTAAACAAATACAATGGTGGATACATTTAACGCACCACTTTATTTAGTTTAAAATTAAATCCATTATCTTTTTACATTAGTTACAGGTAATTAGGAGCTATCATAGTCAAAATAAACAGTAAATTTGTTGGCTTTGTTTACATCCTTTATTTACTTACGTACTGATTAACCCTATTTGCACAAAAGTTAGCATTATGCCAATTCACTCTGTTACGTTTGAAGATCGCTTTCAATTAATCTTTGTCCTTCATTGATTTCATTTGATATTATGATTTCAATGGCTACAGTCAGGCATTTGGGTGAGGGTCATAACATTATTAGAGGAAGGATACATCCAGCACTGTCACCAGGAGACCGAGTGTAAATCGATCTATAGTAGGTAGGGTTCTTTGGCGCTTCAGAGAAACAGGGCTTCACTCATACTAGATGTCCAGGAAAGGGTTGACCTAGGTCTACAGGAAAGAGATGATAGATTCATCCATCAGGCTCTACGAAACTGCAGCATTATGGGAAATGAGATAAGAAATATGATGAGACAGGTCTGAAATGTTTCAATTTTGACTGTAAGAAGAAGGCTCAATGAAAATAACCTGAGGGCCCGGCACCCACCTCATGGACCTCTTCTTATCACAGCTCAGAAAATGGCCAAGCTTCAATTCACATATGAATCGAACACTAGAATATTGTGGACGAGTTCTCTTTACAGATGAGCGTTCACCTCAAATCTTCAGATGGGTGTAATTTCATATGTAGATGCTCAGGTGAAAGGTGCGCCTCATGCTGTACGGTTTCCATGGTGGGTCATTGATGTTCTGGGATGAATTTCCTTGGATGCCCGCACAAATTTGTTGTTGCGCAAGGGAGATCTCTAACTTCACATTACATAATCGAAGAACATGTAGTGCCATTTGCCCATACCTCGATGAGAGATTCTTGCCATAGAATGAGGTTGGAATTGAGCGCTTGCTAAGGGGTGGAGTATGGGCAAAAAAAAATAATTTGGACAAAAAAGTATTATGGGATTGGACAGCAAAATGAAATTTCCTGAACTATGCAAGAAATTATCATCAAAAATGAAAAAAAAAAAGCCTTTTATTGTATTTTAAAAATGAATAAACAATGATTTTAATTAACTAATATTTTCTGTTTCAGGATTTTGTAGAGGAATAAATCTTAAACTATGGATGAACTTCCAACAAATTTTGATGTCATTATCATCGGGACTGGGGTGGTCGAATCCATAGTTTCAGCCGCTGTTTCACGAATAGGAAAAAAGGTCCTTCACATCGATAGAAATAATTATTACGGCCAGTCCTGGGGGACTTTCAACATTGAACACTTGCTTCAGTGGCTCGATAATTTCAAAGTTTGTAAAGAGGCTTCCCAGACATCCAATCATGACAGCAATGGGGAATTTAAATATAAAAAAATTGATTATTCCAATGTTATTTCCAATGTTGAATATGAATGGAATACAGTAGAAACGCACAAAGAAGAGAGTAAAGAATGTATCAAAGAATCGCCTGATGATGAAGAGTCTGATAAAAAAAGCCATGATGAAAACAAAGAGAATGGTGTAGTTAAAACAGTTTTGTCAGAGGAAAAAATTAAATCGTTGTCTCGAAAATTCAATTTAGACATAACACCCAAGCTTATTCTTTCAAAAGGTCCAATGGTCAAATTATTATTAGAATCAGAAGTTTCAAGATACATAGAATTTTTAAATGTTGCAAACATTTTAGTTTATTTAGATTCACAAATTGAACCTGTACCATATTCTAAATCGGATGTATTTTCATCTAGAGCAGTCAATGTAGTAGAGAAAAGAATATTAATGAGGATATTGACTCAAATTCAAGAGCACAAACCTGAAAATGACAAATTCGAACCGTACAGAGACAAGACCTTTTTTGAATTTCTCCAAGACCAAAAACTGCCAGTAAAAATAACAAATCAAATTTTATACAGCATTGCAATGGTGACAAGAGAAACGCCTTGTTTAGAAGGTGTCAAGAATGCGCAAGACTTCCTCAGTTCGCTCGGATTTTATGGAAACTCTCCATTTTTATGGACTATGTACGGAAGTTCTGATTTGCTTCAAGCATTTTGCCGTCTTAGTGCTGTGTTTGGTGGCATATACTGTCTTGATAAAGCTACTGATGAATTGATTTTAGATGAAGAAAACACCTGCAAAGGGATTGTATCATGTGGAAAGAATCTTTATTGTAGTCATGTCGTCATCGCTGGTAATGAAATTCCTTCGTCATTCAGCTCAAAAACTTCATTTTTAAAGTACAACAGGGCAATTTTAATCACAAACAAATCACTTTACAAAAAAGGCAAAAACGGTGTATCTCTACTTCAATTCCCCTTATTTGAACAAGGAAAAAATACATTAAAAGTGATTGAATTAGACAGTACCACTTGCTCCTGCCCAAAAGATACCTTCGTCGTGCACATGATTAGCATTAAGCAAGACGATACTTACGATGATTTAAACTTTGCTATAAAATGCCTCTTTAAAAATGAAGATGTAGAGACTCATGAGAAACCTGAAATAGTTTTCAAGTGTTTTTTCACAATTGAAAATACAAGCTATGAATTTTCAAACAGCATTCCTCATAACGTCCATCCGTGTTCAGGGCCGACTCCATATGATATTGATTATCATTCTTCAATAGAAGAAGCTGAAAGAATATTTAAGAAAATGTATCCTGAAGAAGAATTCTTCGGGCCGTTACCTCCTCAGGAAGATGAAAAAGTAAAAGAAGACAATGTGATATCAGAGGACACTGAAGCCCTATAACTAATTATATATAATAAGAAAAATATATTTATACTGTACATACACAACAACATATGTAAATAATATGTATTTATTGTTATCCTTTCAATCATTCATTGTATCAATTGTTATATAAATTACTTATTAAAAAAATTATGTATCACTTAGATTTTTAAAAATAAATAAAAAAAGAGGCAAAATTAAAAAGCTTGACACCACGGTGGTTAAACAGACTAATAAAATGTTTCTGCAATTTCTTTTTTTTTTAATTATATTGTCCCATAAAGATGACAGAAAAAATAAAGTCCAACTTGTGTAGCAAAATTTTTAACAAATAAATTTTCATCATTGAAACAAATTTTACTAAGTTTTGGAACCACTAAATTAAATTGTAAGCCTTAAAGTTTACAAAATCATGTTTTATTCGAACAAAGAAAAAAACAATAAATGCTTCAAACATTCATTCACTAATGCCATTTTGGCATTTCATTTCTTTGTAAGAATCAATCAAGTGAAGGAAAGGCAATCAACCAACAAAACAGAAGGAAGTAGTAGTTTAAATAGTTAAATGCAAGAGGTATAACATTCTTGGAATCTATATTAAGCAAAAATTTATCCATTCTGAATGTAGGCAGCACTCCCACTTTTATAACAAAAAATAGAAGGGAAGTATTGGATGTATCGCTAGCCTCTGCCAATTGCTAATTGGATAATGGAGTGGAAGGTGACACCAGGTAAGATTCCCTCAGATCATTGTATCATTGATTTTAAAATCTCAGAAGTTAACAAAATAAGGTTTAGGAATCCAAAACTAACGAAACATTATTAATAATATTACAAGTTGCATACCTACTCCTACTAATGTAACAGAGCTGGAGCAGGTTGCTAATAACATTATACAGGTCATAAACTCTGCCTATGTAGAAGCATATCCTGAAAAAATACTGTCAGAATCGACATCACTGGTGGAATAAAGATCTGGCTAGTTTTAAGGAAAAGGGTCGGAGCATTACATAAAAAAAGCCCTGCAGTGGAATTCTGAACTGTACTGGAGGGATTATTTCTTCATGATTAAAGAATATAAAAAAAGAGTAAAGGAAAACTAAGCGTAAAGCCTGGAGGGACTATTGTTTGTAAATAGAAACTATTAAGGAAGTGCCCGTATTTTTAAACTTCTGGAAAAAGATATTAATCCTTTAGGTTTATTACAGGATGATAATGGGGTGTATACCACATCCTGTGACGACAGCCTGAACCTGATGGCTAGAATTCATTTCCCCAGGTCAGACTCTTCCACTATTCTAGCCGAGGATGAATTACCAGTATCAAACTGGGATAAGGCTAATTTCTTGGGAGGCCTACAAATGCCTTCAAGAAATACAAGGCAGCCAGGAAGGATGGAATATTCCCTGCCCTCATTCAACAGGATACGTAGTCTGGCATTGGGGCATATTCCAAAATGCTGGAATTGTGGAATTAATACAATGATACATCCCAATCAGTATGCCTATTTACCAGGAAAAACTGCTTTCCATTCACTAATAGGCTGGATTGAGAAATTATTATTTAATAACGATATATTAGATTGTTTCTTCGATATACAAGGAGTTAGATAATGCTGATACTTCTTGCGTTATATCAGCAATAGATAATTACAATGTCGACCATCACCTTACAAGATGGGTGAAGACCTTGGAAGAAAGGATAGTCAATATGTGCTTAGGTGGTAGCACTTTTATGTCAAAGGAGGCTGTCCATTGAGAGGCTGCTTGTCACCTCTTTTATGGTTAATTACAGTAAACAGTTTAATAGAACTTCTGGTCAAACCAGGTTTCTATAGTCAACTATTTTCAGATGATGGTACATATCATAATGCCTACAGGTAAGGATCCCCTGACTCTTTCACTACTGATGGAAAATGCCATTGGGTTGCTTTATGAGTGGTGTTATGATAAAGGTTTATCAATTAATCCAGCTAAACTGGAATTGATGTTTAGTAGGAGAAGAACATTAGGTAATTTTAAAAACCCTAAATTTCAGGGCATATAATTAAAGTTAGTGGATTCAATCAAATTCCTTGGTATGACAGGATACTTGTTTGGAAAGGTCACATTAATAACATATACAGGAAAGGTACAATGTAGGAGAATTGTCGGTAAAACTTGGAGTATCAAACCATGGGTAGCCAAATGGCTATATATTGCGATTATTCTACCTAGATTATTTTTCGCAGTATGGTGGAAAAGTCTAGAGAATAAAGGGAATAGAAACAAATTAAGGTCATTTCAAAGACTACATTGTTTGATGATGACAGGAGCATTTTCGACTACACCCACCCTAGCACTTGAAATCATAACCAATACCACACCTCTACACATTGAGGTTAAGGTCAGAGCACTAATCAGCTACTACAGACTATTAGTGAAGGCAGCTGGAATCATAAGTGCAATAACAGGTCACTCAAAATAGAAGAACACCAGGGTTCAAATTCATGCATGTTGCGAGCTCCCAAAAATAAGCTGTAGAGTTGCAGTGCTCAGGAGTAACTCCGGTTCCTGGTATCCATTGTAAACAACAACAAAAATAAAAATAAAAATGGGGGTTTGAAAGTAATTTATAAATGTGAGTGAATGGAAGGCTCAACCCCAATTACTCTGAAAAATATAGAATGCTCTGGGGTAGTGTGGTATTGGGTACCCATTTACCCCAAGGGTTATTGAATATTCTGAGGTAGAATGAATCCCAATCAGACTATTATGTTTTATTCATTATATTTTGTATACGTGTTTGTTATTTGTGTTATTGTGCCCACAATTGACAAGCCCTTGAGGTACACGAGGCTAGAAGTAGGATAAGGAAAACAAGAGTTGTTACAGTTATACCACAAAACATTAAAATAAATTAGGATTAATATGCAAAAAAGAAGGAAAAAATTGAGCGCCACAATATAGTTTGCTACAGGTAGAAAGCCATGGTGCAAGTCTATTGTCTGCAATTCAACAAATTGAATATCAGATTGAATGTTTAGAACAATTGAAGGCAATGTGGAATGAACACCAAAGGCCAAAATTATTTTATCTCCATAACGGGATAAAATACAAGGGTAGAAACAGACAATTGTATATAGAAAAAAAAGGAATGTTATTCAGTAGTGACTTTGGTCAGGTATTACAAACTCACAATTTGGTATTGTACTAAGTAATAATGCCCCTTATAGTACCAGAACAGAATTTAAATTGGAATATATTTGTACATTTTTCTTACATTATTTCATTTATGCACAGCAACCTAATTATTATTATTATTACTATGTTAGATTAAACTAGATTTTTGTTGTCAAATAAAACAAGCCTTTAACAAATGTCAAAATGAGTAATAAAATAATAAGATTTGTAACTCCAAAAAACGTGTTAACAATGATTAATCATCTAATTTAAATTCTAAGGTTAGAAAGGCTTTCAGATGACAGTCTCAATTAATTCGAAGAAGTACATGGTTGCATTTAATAAATTTAAAATATAAAATGAGGCCTTGAAGAGTTTTTCCTTAGATTATAATCCAACAAAAAAGACCTATTTTAAAACAGTTATTTTAATGTTTTTTTTTTTTTTTTTTTTTATTCACAGAAATATAAAATGGTGAAAACAAAAAAATATATTGTCTGCTTGGCACATTTATTCTGCTTACAGGACATTTAATCACCTAATGTTAAATCGAATTAATTTCTTACATTTTTTCTTCATAAAAATCACCACTCAAGATAAATTTCAAGAAAAATCACAAATTGATTAGAAAGTATATTATTAAAATTAGTCAACAGTAATTTGAGTTTGTACAGAAATATATGTTTAAAACTCAAATTATATATTTTGTTTTTATTGAAAAGACTTTGTTTTTCTCAACTTGTAATGTGTAAATGCCCTGCGTAAAATCGTTGTTTAAATTAAACATAAGAATATAAAACTAAAATGTAAAGCAACAATATGAGAATTAAATAAAATAAGCGTATAATAAAAAAAAATATTTACAATAAAAAATATTAAATTATTTACATAAATTAAGTTGAAAATTTATGAAAAATTACCCAAAATATATATTAGTATATACACTATATTACAACTCGATGACCATAATTATTAAATGAATTTGTTAATAACAAAAATTGCAATAAATTTAAAAATGATGTCATTATTGAACAAAATTTCGCTGTTGTTGCATGAGGAGCCACACTGCATTGAAAGTAATAAATAATTGAAAGAAAAAAAATATATTATCACCAGAAGTTTTGCTAGTAGCTTTTCAGTCTTGATTTTTTATTGCAGATTTTTGTTTTGTTTTGGAAGACTGTTCAAACGTTTTCTTTATATTTCTATAGAGTCCAACTGTCTAAAACTAACAGCGATGAAAAGTTTTATCTAAATTACTATTTTGTTTCCATCTACTCGATACATTTATAACGAAGTAATGTGACTATTATGTACAATGTTGATATCACAAATGAAGTGGTTAGTAAGGCACCATAAATTGATTATTATTTAGTCCCTGAATTAGCTGGCAATGTCGCTGACTTTTGTTGAGTTGTCATATACGGTTTTAAAGTTGATCGTGTAGATTCTCTTAAAATGTAATAAATTAAAATTCATATGGAATTTTATGTAGAAACCAGACAATACTAACTACCTTGGAGATATTTTTGCACCATCTATCGTTGTATTCGCTTTATAACCAGATTTTTGAATTTTTTTACTCAACCTTTGGACCCAATGTTTTTGGTCATCAATTGAATTAGCTAGGAGTAGCAGTTCTTTGGCACAATTTGGATCATAATTTAATTTACAGGGAGCTATCGCATCCTCTTTCCTGTCTAAATGTTCCCTGTGTAGTTTGATGTGACAACCTAAAAATCATACATTCAATCAGTCTCTTAACACTTTTCAGAATCAAATAATAAACTAAAATTAAGAGAGGGTCAACCAATTCTCAATCATTTTCCTAATCCTTCCATTCTTCTTTTAACATCTCATGAACTAATGGTCTGATCACAACGCGGTCTCATTTTGTTCACAGCTTTCTTACGAACATTTTGATATAAGTTTATAAGTTATGCAAATACAATGGACTCTGGATAATTCGAAACACAAGGGACCACAAAAACAATTCAAATGATCAAGATATTCGAATTATCAAGAGGAAAAAACAATAAGTTATTCTCAATAAACATTCTCATTTAAATTGTACATATTTAAAACACAAAAGTGAAAATAGATCAACTGTAAAACTGAACATTGTTCAAAAAATTCAGGAAGCGGTTTTTATTTCAGGCATCCTTTGTCTAAATGTTTTTCCAAAAGTATTCAGTGCTGAGAAAACACTGATAGCTGATTGCTGAACATAATAAACCAGAGAAAATTCAGACTCTTTAAGCTGCAAGGAAATAAAAAAATACTAGTTTTCAAAGTGAAAAGTTTGATCAAAATTTTCATTTTGAACTCTTCCGGTGCACAAAAAATCCATTTTTATACAAAAAAAACTTAAGATTTCTAAAAAAAATTTGGTCAACCTTTTGATGCTCAAAACTGTAAATCGTTTAAACCAACACAAAAATTTTATATTATAATTTTTGGTCAACATTTTCAAAATTACAAATCCTTTTGCACCAAACAATGCAGGAAAAAACCTAGTTCAATTTAAAGTTTTTATCAAAATTTTCTTCTTTTTTTAGCTCTTTCGGTCCTCACTATTGCAAATGTTTTACACCAAACAAAGCACAAAAAAATCTAGTTAATGTAAAAAAGTTTTGGTCAAAATTTGCATTGTTTTAGTTATTCCAGTGCTCAAAATTGCAAATCTTTTACGCCAAGCCACACACAAAAATTCTAGTTTAATTTTTAAAAATTAAAATTTTTGAAAAATTCAAAATGTTTGGTCAAAATTCTTCTTGAGCACTTACAGTGCTTAAAATTGCAAATCTTCTACTCAAATGTTGCAGGAAAAAATCTAATTTATTTTATTTTTTATAGTGAAAAAATATGTACTTCTGGTGCTCAATATCCTTTTCACATTAAACAACGCACACAAAAATCTAGTCTAATAAAAATATAAAAATATATTTAAAAAACAATAAATTTTTGGCAAAATTCTTATCGAGCCCTCCTGGTGCTTAAAATTGCAAATCCTTTAACCAAACGATGCAGAAAAATTCTGGTTTAAATAACTTTTTTAATACCGAAATTGGTTGAACCCCGTAACTTTAAAGTCAGTACAGTAAACCAAGATATATAATTCAAACAACTCACCGCTGCATTCTAAAGCAGGGGGTGGTTTAAACATATGCCATACAGGTTTTGTACACACTTCACAATTAGAAGGCATGTGGAAAGTAATCTGAACAAATTCATGACCCTTGACCGAAACAGTGCCAGGTTTACCATCTGGTCGAGAGTCCTGAAATGTATTACCATCCTCTGGTCTTCTAGCTTCCCCTTCTCCTGCATATAGTAACTGAAAAAATAGAATAAGTTAAGATTTTCAAACAGTTTATTCTATTTTTTTTTACTTAAAAGTAATAAAAAATATTTCAATAACAGACTTGAAAAATTCTAGGTATATCTTTGGCTTCGGCACGAATCACATCACCCTGAGTTACAGATCTCACGTGAAAGACTTTACTGAAAACATAAAAAATAGTGTAAAAATTGGAAGATCTGTAATTGTTTTATTTTATTTTTTTTAATTTAATACCTGAGGTCGAGAATAAGAGTGGGGTTTTGTTTATCACTCTCAGAATTGTAGAAAATAATTTTCTTCGATGATACAACAACATATAATTTTCTCCAACCATGCCTACGAATATTTTGCTTGTTAGGCACACTAAGCCAACCTTCCAATCTTGATTCTAAATAAAACAAACAAAATTAAAATTATTCAAAAAATTAAAAATATTTTTATAAGTTTTGGTTTAATATGAATGAAAATAAACAGAAATATTGATACAGAATGTGGACTGTACAAACCTTGTAGAAAATTGTCATCCTCATTATCAGCACTGCTTAGAGAAGCGGTTTCGCTATACAATGAGGCAAATTTAAGCTGAAGTTGCTCTATTTCTGATTCTTTGGAATCTAATTCCATCTGTAATTTTAATTTTGACGCATTCTCTTCTATAACAGAAGCTTGGAGTTCTTGCATTTCCTTCTGCCACTTAACCACTTCTTGACCATATTTCTCTCTCAACTATTAATAAATGAAAAAATAATTAACAAATAATAACAAAGTGAGCAGTGCAAACGTTACCATTGTAAGCTCCTGTTGGAGTTTCTTGCATTCCTTCTCTTTTCTCCTGAGGTCTGCAGATGAAACTTTGGCTTTGCCCTTCGATGAAACATTCAAATCCTTCCTGTTCATTATTTCTGCCAGTTTGTTAACAGCCTGTGCTTTAAGCAACTGTTCTTGCTTCAACTGTTTGTGCAGCCTTTCGAATTCTTCCATACAAGATTTAGCATTTTGTACATCTAAACAAAGTTCAGTATTAAAAATACATAAGGGCAAAAAGTTGAGCAAATAATACCTTCTTCCATGATCTTCTTCTGTTGAATTAATTCATCGTTATCTTTGACTAGATCATCAATTCGTTTCTTAAAATCTATTTCTCTTTCCTTGTACTAGAGTTAAAATATAAAGACAGTTTAGAATAATTTGGTAAAACTGGAGCAAAAAAATTCAATAAACAGACAAATAAAACTTACGTTAGTAATATTGGTATCTTTGGCAGCGCTATCGGCCCTGTGTTTGGCCAAAAGTTCCTTTAACTCTAGTTCTTTCATTGTCTTCTCTTTTTCAAGGTCTGCTACAGTTTCCTCAGCTATAGACCGGGCCAAAGCTTCACTGTCACCTCGTGCCAACGCCAACTGAAGTTGATGAGCCAAGGAGCCTCGTTCTTCTTCAAGTTCGTTAATGCTTCTGATTTTCTCCTCGATCTCATCCTTAAGCTGTTCTGACTGTGATTTGTAGAGGGATGTGAAATGTAGCTGGTCCTCAAGCTGATCCTGGAGATCCTTCATTTGCAGGTCATCGACAGACTTTTGAGTTTTGACCCGGTGGAGTTCTTCTTCAGTCTGCTTCTGCCTTTCCCTCAGCTGAGCGACTTCCTTGCTCAGTTGCGCCTCACGCGCTCGTAGTGCGGCGACCTCACTCGTCTGTACTGCGAGCTCTGTAGTCAACGCTGATTTTTTACCATGCTCTTGTTCCACTTGAGCAGCTAATGTTTTAGACTGGAAATATTGTCACATTAAGTTGCTAGTAGTTAATTAAATAAAGGAAGTAAATATTAAGTTGAAATATTTACTTTATCCAATTCTTGTCTATGTTCTCCTTCGAGTTTCTGCAATCTCTGTTGAATTTGCCGGTAATCAACTGTTAACATGCTCATCTGTCTCTCCTTTTCTTGATAATTAAGATCTGATTTCTGCCTTGCACTTTTTTCCTCATTTAATTTGGCTTGTAAAGCTAAAATGAATATAAAAAAATGTGTATTATACATTATTGAATTACATTTCACAAAATATGAACAGTACTGTCAATATATATTAATCAATTTTTCAAAATTTAAAATAGTTTAAAGGCTTACCCTTTACTACTTCCATGTTGGCTTGCTGATTGCTTAACAACCTGGATTTTTGGGTTTCTTCATGTGCTCGGACTTCTTGTTGATACTGGTTCTGAGCAGCTTTCAGCTCAAGACCGAGGCCGGCGCATTCTTTTTCCAGGCTACTTACTTTTTCACTAAGCATTTGATTATCATCAGACAACTTTGATTCTCTTATAGACCCTTTCTCCAATTCATTTGACAACATTGTTAATCGTTCTACAAGCAAACAGGAACAAATAAGAAAAAATTCTACAAAAAACATACAATGTCATACTTTCAAGTTCTTTTTGAATATCTATCGCATGAACATTGGAACTTTTTTCTTGTGATAACTGCCCTTGGAGATAAGCCACTTCTTGCTGTAGAGTGTCCCTCTGAGACTGTAAGGAATCTAGCATGGCCTGAAGTTCCGTTGCCAATTGTTCACTGACAGCTTTTGCCACTATGAGCTCAGCTACTTGCTTTCTCAACCTTGAATTAGACTCCGATTCACTTTTCAGCTTTTCTTGTTTTTCCTTGAGCTATTGAGGAAAAAAATTAATTAAACTATATTTTTTGTATGGATGAAGTTGCAGGACTTGGGCAAAATAAAACACAATTTTAAATCAATAAACTGTGATCTCGAAATTATTCCAGCTGGGTAAGCTGAGCCTCTACTCTGATGTTCACAGTCTTACCTTTTTCCTACAGACTACAATTAATAGACAAATAGTGAAAACCAAACACTTAATTGGTACATCTTCCTGACTGATCGTTCCACTTAGGACAAAATAGACTGCAATTTTTAACAAAACTTACTTACAATATTTGGAAGTATATTTTATACACAATACAATATTATATATATTTGATCAACTAAAATCTAATAAAAGAAGAAATTGAAGAAGCATAAAGTCTAGAAAAAATGAAGACTTAGACGATCGTGAACCCCCATATGTTGAAGAAATGATGGATGCAATAGGTAAAATGAAGGGATGATTGCCTGCCAGCATAGCTATTTAAGAATGGTGGAGAGTAATTCTACAAGATATTTCATAACATAATTTGCCACATAATGGAGGAAGGTCATATGCCCAATACCCAAAAACAAGGAATCAACTGGAGTGTTGAAATTACAGAGGCATTTCACTCCTAACATGAGCCCAAAATTCCTCGTTAATAAGTAGTCTACCGACAGAAAGAACGGAAACTATCCGGTATGCTTTAGGAAATATAAGTACGCAGGGCTCCTGCAACAGGAAGGCAACCGCAAATGACAGGAACTTCTGGCATAAACGTATTAGGGAGGTGAGAACCCGCAAAAGGTTATAGTGCCCTGAAGAGATAAGTGAAAGAGTTCATCTAGTTTCAAATTAAACACAAGTGTTGGCACACATTAACAAAGGATATATATGTATGTTAACAAAAAGTTTTGACTTTCTACTTTATTCTAGATCACTCTTAACAACCTTTACTATTCAAAATATCTTTCAAATGGAAAAACTATTTTATTTCTGCATCTATTTTCAAGGAATTTCAAAACACTGGAAAATGCATATCATCAATTGACAACATTTCCAGAATTCCAATATCTTTTCAAAACAAATATTACATGATTAGTTTGTACCTTACCTAAGCTAGCCTATTATTTATGAATTGTGATGGTTGAACTTAAAAAATTGAAGAAAAAAATGGAAGAACAAAATTCGAATAACTTTTGAACAATACAAATTTAACAAATACATGTGTCAAGGTTTGTTTTCATGCACAGGCACATAATTAATTAGAGCAGAAAAAATATTTAAAATATGTAACAGAATAAGGCTCTAACAAAAAAATATAATAAATATACCAAGAAATTATCATTAAATGTTATTGCAAGGTTTGTAGATGTGATTATGTATCAAAGCAGAAATTCTAGTTTTCTAGTTACTCGTCATTAAATACAGTTAAATATTTAAAACTTATTTATTAGACTTATTTAAGGATTATTACAAATTATTCTTAAAAGTTTAGTGGTCATACTTGACCATATTTCAATTAATTATACGTTTATCTTTAGTCTTGGTTGAGAGAAAAAGCTAGTGTCACGAGCGGGATTCGAACCCAATTCAAACTTTAGATAAAACTATAATTAACTGAAATAATTAAATACGATCAATTATGACCGCTAAATATATAAGGATTAATATAATAATTAAAGAAGTAATTAGTGTTCACTAACAGCTCCCCTGGCCATTTCAGAAGCCACTGAGAATCGAATCCTGATTACACATTTGAAAAATGAAAAAGGAGGGAAAATTCGAAGATAAGTTGAAATGAGAAGTTGGTGTCCGAGTCGATCTTGAAGTCACGATAGCTCAAGTGGTTAGAGTATTTAGCCGAAGGTCGTGGGTTCGAATCCTGCTCATGACACTAGCTTTTCCATCTCAACCAAGACTAGATAAATGTATAATTAATTGAACATATTGCAGATTATTCCAAAAATGTGTGCTTCCAATCGTTAGGTTTCATTTAAACTATAATTACTTATTAATTTAAATTTTTGTTTGAATTATATTTGAAACTGGATTAACTGACCTCTATAAAATGAAAACGACAAATACATAGTGTCATAGACATGAAATAAATAGTCCTTCAACAAAAAGCATCTAATATTAAAATATGGGTATGGACTTGAGAGAAGAATGTAGATATTGCATTCGTACATTTCACAAAACAATTTGTCCTAAACATTTCACAAATGGTGGATTGGCTCTTCAGTAACTTAAAACGTACATAAGCATATTTATGTTACAAACGCCGCATTTATCTTTTTACATTATTTAGCCAACTTAGTGACTGCTTCATTACTATCATGGAAACGACCCAAAATAACAGAGGTTTAATATTAAATGACGTGCTTCACGATGTCAATTACGTGCTTCACTTCAATTAAATATTCAGTGCATCTCCTAAAGAAGCTATTTTCACAAAAGCCAAGCTAAAAATACATGCAATACATGAAGTAAATTGTAAATTGTATGGTACAATATAGTGAAATGCGATAATTACCTATTAATATATAATCATTAAGGTCATATTTCTATACTCTTTGCATTATGTAATATAAAACCATAAACACGTTTAACACGTTCGTTATGGGCATCATTCTGGAACAACACAATAGACTGTTCCCCATATACCCACATCGTTCTAGAATGGTGCACTAGAAAAATAATCTAAAAATCTAGAAAACTCCCGCTTTTCACTGTTGGGTTTTTCAGTATGACAGGTAACTGACCATTTTTCAATTTGTATTTGTGTTCATCTTTTTACAATTTTTTAGAAAAAACTCATTTTTTGCATTTGTTGTGAGATACATTTCTTTGATGGTAAATCTCCCCCCCCCCTTCAAAAATACTTTTATTTGAAGAATACAGAGAAACTTCCCTTTATGGACAATTTAAGTAAGAAAGATTAAAAATGTATATTAACACTTAATTAATATGCATTTTATATAACATAAGCTAAATCCTCAAATCTAATTTATATATTAAAATAAATACTTTTAACTGTTATCTTTTATACAAAACATTTTAGTTTATCCATTTATATTTAGTGACCTAATTGATTGAATTACTTCTTTCAATTAATTATTCTTTTTATGTAAGGTTTTGGTTGAAATGAAAAAAATAAGTGTCACGGGTGGGATTCGAACCCATAACCTTCGGCTCAATATGCCGCTGCTCTAACCACTTGAGCTGTCATGACTTCAAACGAAGGCTCGATAGCTCAAAAGGTTAGAGCAGGGGCGTATTGAGCCAAAGGTCGTGGGTTCGGATCCTGCACGTGACACTTATTTTTTTCATTTCAACCAAAACCTTACATAAAAAGATTAATTAATTGAAAGAAGTAATCTGGTCAATAGACCACTAAATATAATGGATTTAACACTATAATTTTCTTCTTTCCTCTTAGTAATTTGAATTATTTTTTTATCCCTAGGGTTTCAAATTATCAAAATTTGACTATATAAATATATATGTAATAATAGCAATTGTGTTTAATTATTTATGATTATCATTAATAAATATTATATAAAAGTCTACAAATTTCAAGTATAATTATCAAATAATATCAAATGTCAGTTTTTATCAATTTATAACCTATTATTTTCATAATTATAATTATATAACCCTATATTTTTTAAAAATTTTAAGTTACTTAGTAGAAATATACAACTGTCCAATTTTTTCGTAATATACAGGCGTGCGTAAATATTGAGCGAGGAAATGACAGATATTGCTGTTTGTCTAACCTGATCTATTATGTACGTCGTTCCAGAATGAGGCACCCAAATATCTAAAAAAGCAATTTATTTAGCAAAATTTTAATTAAGGGCCATTTATAAACCTACAAAACTGAAATATTCCGAGAGTATCTTTACAAATCATTAATGAACGTGTTAACATTTTGAAAACAACTTTTTTTCAGAAATTTTTCTAAAAAGTTCCAATAGTGATTAAAACATTTATTTATTTTTGTTCAGTACTTTCTTATTGTTCATCGTCTACAGCTAGTAACCACTAACACAACACACATACACACACACGTCTTTTTATCTTTCCATTAAACTTATTTTATTTTTTCATCACACTTAATGCTGCATGCTAAAAAAAAATATTCCATGAAAAATTACTCTTTTTAACACAATCTGAATGCAATCTATGCACAAATAAATATTTGTGAGATTGTTTTTTGTTAAAATTATTTAGATGCTTTGAAACAAAAGATAATTCAGAAGCATTAAAATCCGAACAAAGTATTGTTTAATATGTATAAACAAATATTTGTAAAGAAGTTATTTCACTGTTTTACCACTAAAATCTGCCATTGTGAATTTATAAAATATTCCTCATATTGTAATTACTTTATTGTTCATGTTATATATAAAAAAAATAATAAAAGGTAAAAATTATATGGTGATATAATAATTTAAAAAGTCTCTAGATTAACTATTACCTTGTAAACATTTATAAACATACAGGTAAAAATCTATCCTACTTACTCTACAAGTAGAGGTCACTTCTATTTTCTACTTTCTTGAAGATAATGAGTTATCTTCTTGTTTTCGTGAATGTGACCATTCTGATGATTTAACAAAACTGTTAATTTTCTTCAGAACAAACAGAATGGAGAAATGTTTAGATATAATAATCGAAGGACTCACTTGTTTTTCCAATATAGCCACTTTGTCAGTAACTTGTTGGTTGTTATTCATTTCCCTCGTCCTCTTATTGTGTTCCTCTTCCAGTTTCCGCCTCACGTCTTGTAAGTTTGCCTCTGCTTTCCTTTTCTGCTCTCCTTCGTTTTCAGCTTTCCTTTGCCACTACATTTAATCCATATTAATTAAAATAGGCCAAAAGTGTAATGATTTTAATCTAGTCTTACCTCTTTCAGATCGTGTTTGAGTATGGCGAGAGATTTTTCAAGAGCTGTCATCTCTTGTCGTAATTCCACTTCCCTCTGAGTAGACAATTCCAGCTGGCTGATTAAAGAATTTTGCCTCAATTCTATAGCTTCTTTCAGTTTTCTTTCCTTCTCAAGCTCAACTTCCAACGCTGAAGGGTCAGTCTTAAAAAAAATTAATTAATTAATAATTAAATAAATTACTACTTCTAAACACTTATTAAACTATTTTATATCCCCAAGTTTGAGTCGTTCAAAATACAGACATCAGACACAGTTTTACAACAAAAATACTTACAATCATATCAACCTAATGAACCAAACACCACATGGAAAGAAAAAATTTATGTTAAGAGATTAATTCTATATTAGAAGGAATGTTTGCTGTTAAATACAATAAAATCACTTACGGTATCGACTGAACTCTGTCTGTTGGGGTTGTTTGCTGATAAAAGTCTAAACGTAAAATATAATAATTATAATAAACCAAATAATTAATCTTTATTTTAAGAATAAAAACTTACTGGTAATCCCGAGAGTAAGTGAAACCGACGAATGGTAAATGATTTCCGGCAAAGGCTTTTGGAGTAGGGAAATTCTCATCTGGGCTTTCATCTTTTTCAATGTCATCAAAATTTCTCGTATCAGCATCACCCGATAGTTCTGGAACAACTGGAGGAGCACCTAAAAGCAAAAAAAATAGATAAACACTCTTTTTTTTTTTTAATTTAAATTCATGGTATTTGACTGTCCAAAACTCACAGTCTCTCAGGTTGTCAAATGTCCATTGATCATTTTGAAAGAATGGATGTGCCTTTATTTCATCAACTCCTTTCCTTCCAAGGCGATTTAACCTTCAATCATAAATGATCAATATAAGTCAAAAATATTACACTTTAAAAATCATAACATACCTATCAGTTAAAAAACCACAAATTAAATTTTTAGCGTTTGCACTAATTTCAAGGTCAGGATCAAAATGAAGTGACTTTCTATGATCCATGATTTTACTGTATGTTCCAACGAGTGAATCGGCAAAAAATGGGGTGTCTCCGACGAGAATTTCATAAAGAAAAACCCCGACAGACCACCAGTCGCATTCCTTTCCGTAAGTACCTTCACCACTTTGTGATTGAAGAACTTCAGGCGAGATATAATCAGGTGTACCTACTGCAGTGTCTGATCTTACCAGGCCGTCCTAAAACATCAACCTTTGAATTCTAATCTCAACACAAAGCATGTAAATTCTTACAGCATCCATTCTCATGCAAGTGCCAAAATCTGCAAGTTTCAAGTGGCCATATTTGTCTAAAAGCATGTTATCAGGTTTAATATCCCTGCAAAATAATTAATTAGATCGAGTAAGTTGAGAAATTTTAATTTAAATCTTCACCAACTACAACAAATATATGTTACCTATGAACGAATCCCATTGAGTGTATTGCATCTAGTGCCAACACTACTTCAGCACAATAGAATTGGGCCCATTTCTCAGGAATATCATAGTTGGAAATTAAATTCACTAAATCGCCGCCTGGCATGTAATCCATGACCATGTAAAGAAATTTATTGTCTTGAAATGCAAAATGAAGCTGGACAATCCATTCTGAATTTGCATGTGCCAAAATATCCCTTTCTTCCCAGAAAAATGCTGAATCGGATCTTTTAATCTAACATATTTCAAAAGTCAACTTATATTCGATTAATAATACAACATTAAATAAATAATAATAATTACCATTTCAAACTTGCTTAATAATTTCATTGCATAGACTTTTTGTGTTGATTTATGGCGAACCTGTTTAGAAACATTCAACATTTAAGAATAGTCATACAAAAAATATATAAATTTTATTAACCATTACGACAGGTAATTGACTAGTAGTAGAAATAATGAAAATAACAATACAGATAAATATTTTCTATATACCAATTGGACTTCTCCAAAAGCACCTCTTCCTATTACTTTTATGAGTGTAAAATCATCAACTTTCATGCGCAATTTCCGGATCTCTGTGGCAACGTTGTTATCTGAAAAATAAGCGAATTTAATTAAAGAAGGAAGACATATTTTGTGACAGACAACCAAACACGACCAAAATTGTAACATGATCATCCTTATCATTGTGCGAAGCTTTTGCAACATTTTATCAGCCTTCAGTGGTTAGTTTGTAGTTGGCCAGCAAAGCACAGTTAAAAAAAAAAGGCTCAGCATCAAAAATGGAAAAATTCCTCGCTTCTGCCAAAGATGGAAACTTAAAATCAACTCCACAAAAGCAGAATCCATTCTATTCACCAAGACCTACAGTATTCAACCATGTCATGGCAGCAGGAAATAACATTCCTTAGTCAGGCTATGCAAAATTAGCAGCTGTTTTCTCTACTATCACAGGTCTCCGTGAAAATTGCTTTTAACAAAAAGCTCCCCTACAGCAGCATTGTTAAACCTATGCTTCTGTAACAATTCTCCAAGCAGGACATGCGTATGTCCTGCTTGGAGAATTGTTTGCCGGACAAAACTCAACATGTTATAAGTGATCCAAAATAAGTTTATGAGGCCTGCCCAAGATGGTCCAGGATTGAGCACCTCCATGAGATGACCAAAATGAAGACCAGTGCCATGGAGGCAAAGTCAAGAAGGTTACACTTCTTCAGCAGATGTGCTGTCAGCAGGAATGCCCTTTACAGGGTAAAAAGAGCCTACGACCTTAATAAGCACTGGAAGCACCAGCATGTAAGCCTAAGATTGAAATTCTGGAGAATAATAAATGTGATTGTGGCAACAACTTAACAGCAGAGCCAGATCATGTGGTATTTTCAAGCCCTTGAATGTCTTTAGGAATAATTTTTTAATAACCTGATATTAAAACCTTGGGCCTACTAATCAAGTTCCTTGAGGAACTACGACTCACCGGTGTGCTATAAGCACAGAAAGAGGAATACAACAAATCTTAAAATCCACACCCTGTCTTAATACATCTATATCTACATACTAATTCTTCCAATTTAACAATAACTGAATGCCTGCTGTACTCAATTCGTGTGGATAGAAACTTTCCGGACAATAATGCTATTCTATCATTTAATGATAAATTAGTTAAGGCAGCTCCACACATGCGGGATTTGCTGAATGCCGCCAAATATTTGCCAAGTCTCGAGATGCTTGTCTTGGCATTCGCCAAATAGCATGCCTACTTATACGCACGTGCGGGGCTTGTGTAACCTCTAGTTGTTGCGGAAATGGTGAATACGTTTTTTCCAAATGTCGTGAGAGACCTCAACTGATGGATAATAGTGAAACTGTAATTGTTGTAGTGGCTACAAACTAATTGAAAAAATATATTTAATTATATCTTTTATATTTGTAATTATTGTTTTATTTATAAAACAATGTGTGGTGATTAGTGATCGTTAATCGATATTTATTTAGAAATCGTGAGATGCGGCCTGGTGTGATGTAGGTTTCAGAAAAACATTTTCTTTATCGTGCCAACGTTTCGATCTTTATTGAGATCATCTTCAGAGCCTGGGATTTATAAACATTGTTTACATATAACAATTACATTTTGGATGTGGAAAAGTGAATTTATACAATGCAAAATATATTTTTTATATATTCAATCAAAGTATTTCTACAAGAGAGTAAAGCGACATATCTATGATTGCAAAAAACCTAAGCAAAATCCTACAGCACTCGCTACCCACCACTTTGAATTTCGACTTCAAAAATCCAAAAGTATTACACACAGAACAAAACAAACATAAACGTAATTTCTTAGAAATGGTTTATATCAACAGAGATAAACACAGCATCAATTACAGAACAGATACATGTAAACTCAGTCGCAGCTACGCCAATATCATTAATCAAATTCAATACAGATAACATACCTATATCATCACATTACATTCCACACATCAAATATTTTTCACATAGTCTAATTTCCCAACTATTTAGCTTTCTTTTTCCTATTTATCCCTTTCTATATAATCCTGAAAGGATTATCTGGCCGAACCATTACCAACACATTGTTTCCCTTCGTTGGCTTTTCACCTCAAAGAAACCGACACCTTATACAAAAATGTCTTTTCTGTACCGACATCCTTCCCCACCCCTTCAAAATCCAACGTATATAAACACAAAATAGCAAAATCTCACTGGCACTCTCGACACGACACGCAAGAATGGCACAATTACACAGAAGACACTTTGAGTGAGTGGAAATACTTTGATTGAATATATAAAAAATATATTTTCCATTGTATAAATTCACTTTTCCACATCCAAAATGTAATTGCTATATGTAAACAATGTTTGTAAATCCCAGGCCCTGAAGATGATCTCTATTAAAGATCAAAATGTTGGCACGATAAAGAAAATGTTTTTCTGAAACCTACATCATACCAGACCGCATCTCACGATTTCTAAATAATTATAAAACAATTTATGATTTGTAAGAGAAGCTTTCCAAATTATTGGCTCTGTTTCATAAACATCGAGGAACTCCAAAACTGTTACGTTGGGACAATCCAATCCTAACAAAAAAACAAAAAAAACTGTTGCTATTGTGTAAATTAATGCATCAATACTAGTTAACAATGGTATATCAATGAAAAATAAATAGTATTAAATAGAAGTATACACTCACTGTTGATTTTGATAACAGTTGACAGTTGGTTAATGGTGCGTACAGTTATAGTTGATTCCCGAATGTGTGGATGGTTTAAGTGCGATTACTTCACGAATATTTGTGCCCTTTGGAACGGACAAGAAAACCGACAAAAAGCCGAGCACGGCGAGCACCGGATATTGTTCTTTGGTGAATAGCCGAGCATCCACCTACACTAGTCGTGATTAGGCGAATACCGCATGTCTGGAGCCGCCTTTAGATTATACCAATAGTGAGCTGGTTGGAGTCGACCCCAAAGCGCCAATACAAACAGACCTACACTGTACTCGAGCCAATTTTAGATGAGTTTTTGATGCACTCGAGTAAAAGATTCTTCTAAGGCAAAATGTCGGAATTTACGAGACAGGCAAAATGTCGGGAGTAGCGAGACAGGCAACAAGTGCAATAGGCAGGCGAGATAGGAAACAACTTGACTACAATTAGCAGTTTAGTTATTGGCTTCGAAGTCTAAGCATAGCTGAATTGTTTTACCAAATGTTGAATAAACTTGAAAATTCGTTTACTTACATCTGTCCATGTAGGCCTCGACATTTTTCATCCGTTTGACAGCAGGATGATCACAGTCGGCGACGAGTGCCTGCACGGTATCCTGCAAAACAACGTATTACTCCAGTGTAGCTGCGGTTCGAAATACGCCAAAATTCATTACCAGTAGGCAGTCGACGTTGGCCACACTCCTCGGATCCTGTATCACATCTTCCAACTGCCTGAGGCGTCGTTTGCGATCTTCGTCACGCATATTGTCCATTGTCACATTTATTCAGAAGGGCGAATTTTTGGATGGGAAGTGTGCGGACGAGCCAGGCACATTTCACACCCGGCTGCCACCCTGGGGCTTAAGTCGTTGGGTCATCGTTTGAAGGCGATCCGAAAAATATTCTCGCGCCCAAGAAACACCGACACTGGTCGTTTCCAACTGTAATAAATGATAAAATAATGATGACAACGGAAACGAACCTTCCTGTTTCATTAACAACACCTTTTAGGCGCTGTCCGACTGGCGTTCGAACCGATTCCTCCTCCCCGGGACTAAATTACTCCTTTGAAATAGAAATACTAATCTGCCGATTTTCAAAGCTCATTGAGTACTTAAAGCATGAAAACTTTGTTCTTTTATTATAAAGTACAATAGTACATTTCTACATTTATCCATCATGGCTACCTAACTAGACTCCAGCTGTAACGCTCCAAAATTAAAGCCGGACGGACTTTACATTCCTAGGGGAAAATAATCTGATTAAACTTGAACGTTTGTTAATTTTTTCCTTTTTTTTACTTTTCTTCGAACTGAAAATTGGTAGCGTAATGGTTTAAGATAAAACGCAAAAAAAAAAAGTTTGAAAAGAAAGTTCTAATACTGGCGGGAAATTCAAATGAACTTTTTCAGTTCAAGCTTCAACAGGTTGTTTTAGTTTTTCTTTTCTTTATTTATTTATGTATAGACACAGTTCAAAGATCCTTTTACAAAGAATATAAATCATGAGGTTATAAACAAGTTTACTGATAAACAAAATTGATAAAATAACAAGAACCACAACAACAATAGCAAACATCAATAATAATGCATATATGTTTAGCAGTCATAATTGTCCTATTTAAGTATTTTAATTAATTATACTTATTCTTTAAAGTCTTGATTGAGATGAAAAATTGAGCCGAAGGTCATGGGTTCAAATCCCGCTTGTTTGAGACTTGTTCATCTCAACCAAGGCTTTAGACAAGAAGTATAATTAGAATTACAAATTATAACTTATAAGAAGAAGAAGATAGATAAGAAATAATAGATTAAAAGCCTTCTGTCAGCTAGTGCTGGAGTATTATAGAGAGAAAAAGACAGTTCTGAAGACAAAAGGAGTGAAACTCAAAAATTAAGGATTCTAATAAACTTATATTGAACTTTATCTCAAATTTCAGAGTGAGAAGATAAGTGTGGATTCCATACAACAGTATAAAATTCAAGTATAGGATGAATGACAGTCTTGTACAATACCAATGATGAATTGGGATTATGAAAATTACGAATGTTTCAAAACGAATGCCAGAATTTTAACAGCAATATCCGCACTTCCTAGTGCCATTATCATCATCATCTGCTGTTTTGCATGCCATAAACTAGGAATTAAGCTCTGGCATGATCATTTGTATGCCTTACTCCTGCCTGATTTACCTGATTTCAATCAAAGGTCTATGGAACAACTCCTTTTAGCTACACTCCCCAAATCATATATGGACAATTTTCATCTTAGTTTGGCCCAATTTATAAAAATAAACAAATATTATTTGAAATTGTGATACAAACTCACCATTGTTCAAATTTTCTAACAGGATAATACATCTGTTAATCAAAATCTCTTTGGACAAATTATTAATCTTTGCCAGTTCCAATCTTCACCCTAATATTACCGACAAGGACAAGGGATTCGCTACAGTGTGTATCACAACAAAATGGTAAAACATGAATAATAAATATATTAAGAGACTTAAATCCATCTCAAATAGAATGTAGACTGATATAGAAAGAACAAAATCCTAAACACAGGCCAGGAAGGAAAGACATATGCGAGTTATTCAAATTCAAACAATTATGTAACATAAGTAGTGGTACACAATAGAACGCAATAAAAGAAATGGGCAGTATTCTTATCTTAAACGATATACAGAGAAACAACTAGTGTATTTCAAACGAATGTTTGTACAATGAAGATATGTGGTCAATTAGTACAAAGAGAACAAAAATAGCTATCTTGTCAGATAGCTAATTAGCTGGATTCAATCCAACTCAATTCTGACTGACAACATAAAACGAAACAAGTAGGGAATGCAAAACTAATGCTATGACTAATTCTGTAAGTTAATATGATGAGTTGGTGTCCTAGGGGACTGAAGTCATGATAAATCAAGTGGTTAGAGCAGCGACAAATTCAGCCAAAGGGTTCGAGTCCCTCTTGTGTTACTAATGTCTCATCTCAACCACACTTTACATAAAAATTATAAATCAACTTAAAAAATATATTAAAGATAAAATAGTTTAGGGGAAAAACATATATAAAAACCCCAGGCATTACACAAAACAATAAATATATTAAACACAGCACAAGATGCAGGTACATGAGTACAGTAAATAAATAGAAAAGTAAATGAGACAATAAGAATATTCAGGTAACTAATAGAGAAATTCTTAACATCTATTTATGCGTTACTTTACACTATTTATTTTTCACAGCAATTGGTTAAACCTGGTTAAATCTTTTATGCTTTTCTGGTAGTTCAAGTCATCTCTAATATAAATAAAACAATTTCGGATATGTAAAAATGAGCTAATTATGCCATAAAATGCCAGCTAATTCTAAAAATTTACAATTGCTCTAGAGATTGGGTAAATAAGCTAGGTATGTTTAGCGTTAAATGCATTTAGTCATGTAGAGCACTATTTTGCACTACCTGGAGCTTACCAAAATTCAGATATATTTCAAGGTATTTTAAATTCTTAGCCAATGATATGGGAGAAAGTTATTAAGTTATTTATTATGGCATGATTGACAAAGTGTGATCTGCATTGAGTAAACATTCTTGCTACCAAGATTCTCCATTTTTCACAATATTTAAAATACCTATCTACAGTTTGTGATAATTATCTGCATATAGAATCGACCAACCCCAAAGGAAGCTCTCATAAAGTCCATATTAAATGTATCAAACACTTTTTTACTCGCAAATAATATGGATCTTGGTGTGATCAAGTAGACAAAAAAGCAAATTCAACTGCTTTCTGCCAAGGTTTTGGCCTATTTTAAGGTCATCATCAAGGCAAAACTATTTGAAAGGAGTCTTACAAATTAACATAATTAAGTTTTTTGTTTAACATTCCATTGTTGGAAAGATCTGTGTTGGGACTAAGTCTATATTCAAAGAAATTTGAAACCAGTTATTAAAAACTTAATTATGTCAACTTTTTTAGACATTTAAGATTGTTTTGTCCTAGTGATGATCTTAAAGCAGGTCAAAGCCTTGGCAATAACAATTATTTTTCCTCCCAGTTGACCATACTGGGACCCAGATTATTTGTTTTTAGCTTTAAAAAAGTCGTTTATAAAGATGTTAAATAAGGTTGGCCCATGAACAGACCCTTGGACAATACAAATAATTAAGGTGGGGTGAGTACGTCAATCCACTGGTTGAAAAGGATAGTTCTGTATGTATACAAACTGAGTTTACTCTTTCAACCAATCACTCAGGGTTTTGAGATTATATGCTCTTCGAGGACCTGATGGTTTGTTATGTTTGATATATGCTCTTCATCCAAATGGACAAATTTTATAGCTCTAATATCTCTTAAAGGAGACATTGTGCCATCAATCTGTAAAAAACTATTTTGTTGATTAGGTAATGTTAGGTAGTTAGGAAATTGATTTGGTATATATGCCAAACAATAAAAGACTTTCTCCATGTCAATAAGTACCATCCCCACATGTTTTTTAAAATAAAAACGATGGAAAATCACATCCACTGCTTTGGCAAGCAGCATTAAAGTAGAATGCCTGGGTCTGAAGACAAATTAGCAAGGCTGTCATTTTCATTTAAACCATCTCTAAATTCTTTGTAGTACTACTTTCTCTGCAATTTTTGGATGGGTACTCTAGGGATTGACACTGGGCAATACCAGGCAGAGTGTGATCTTTATTAGATTAGGACTGTCTTTTGCTACTCAGCTATCCAGGAAAATGAGAAATGAGCAAGTTGCAAGGGACTGATGACTGTAGATTCTGTATAACTCAGGGTTTACACAAATAATTGGGTAGGGTGAGTACATCAATTCACTGGTTGAAAAGGATAGTTTTGAATATATACAAACTGAGTTTACTCGCTCAACTATCCTTTTCAACCAGTCACTCAGGGTTTTATTATATACTCTTTGAGGACCTTCTTATTCATTATGTTTGATATATACTCTTCATACAAATTGACAAATTTTATTATTTATATTTACATAAATAAGTTTGCTTCAAAAATTGTGTGTCAGCTTAAACATAAAACAACATTAAATAGAAGCTTTATTTCTACGTTTTCATCAAAATATAAGTCAATATATTTTAACTTTAATAAAATGGGGAATTTTTCTAAGTTGTGACTTGTTTATTAGTACAAATTGTTCAATAACCTGAATGTAACATTTTTGTTTATTATTTTTTTTTTAATACAAATGTCAATGATTCAACTGGGTAAAGTACATGTAGTTAAAGAACGACGTTCCTTAATCTGTAGAAATGAGGTTAAACATCAGTACGAAAATCGTTGGAAATAAAGTTATCTTGGTACCGTACAGGATCAGTCACGTTGAAAAGTAAATTTCTCTCTATTTTTCTATTTTTCCTTCTAATAAGCATGTTCTGAAATTCCCCTGCCAGTAAATACTTTACAGTTAAATATCCCACAAACACATTTTATCAATTGTTGCTATAAGAAAGATAAAAATATTCTGTTGACAAGCTACAAAGACTCAATTCTGAAATCTTTTTAGGTATCACAAATGGATGGAGGATGAGGATCTCAGACTGCAAACAGCTTCTGACAGATTGACTCTTCACGAGGAATACGAAATGCAACAGACATGGTTAAATGATGTTAAAAGTAATAATCATCATTATCGGCCTCTTTGAGCGCATTTCTTATAATTCTTTCGCTATTTCAGAGTGTACATTTATTGTCCTGGACAAGGAAACAATGTTAGAGACTAATGATGAAGTAGGTATGTATTCAAATGTGCAATGAATGATGATTACCATATTGAATATTGACAGAATGTTGATGATGGATGCTAGGAAGTAGGGGTTTTTGTTGTCATAATTGACCACCAAGTTTTTGGTTGAGATGAAAAATTAGTGTCATGAGCAGGATTCGAACCCATGACCTTCGGCTCAATAAGCCGCTGCTCTAACCACTTGAGCATCGTGACTTTGATCCCCTCCGACACCAACGCCCCATCTTAACCTACATCCATTTGAATTTCCCCTCTTTCTGCCTAGTTAAAAAGAATAATTAATAGTAAGTAATATTTTAAAAAATCGATAGATGATTGCTAATAGTTTTTTTTAACAATAAAAAAGTTCTTTCGTTACATGAAGGCACGAATTAAAGCAAATGTTACATTGTCAGAGCAAGTGAAACATTTTTCCTTATAGCATTTTAAAAGAATGCCATTAGCACAAAAAGACAGGTTATAAGCGACAGCAATATACCTAAACATATAATTGAATAAAACGTGCAAAAAATAAGCTAAGGAGGCAAGAATGATCAAGCTAATATTTACTAATAGTCTTTACAATTGTGCCTGGTTAGAATTCTGTAACAAGAATACAGTTTTATAGATTGCAATACAAAATATACATATTAACGCCCTTGCTCTCTTTATTGAGCAATGGAATATTACCCTTAACTAAAATCTCAAATTAGCAATGAAAGTGCTTTTATAATCAGCAATCATTGGGATCTTTTACTTCTTTATTATTGGAAGAAGAAAAAAACGATATACTTATTTCAACTTTCTAATTTTTGGCGTGTTGTCAAATTAAAGACTAAAAACTGGGAGACTGACCAAGTCATACAACTCATATTGCCACAGTAACGGTCCTGGGTTCGAATCCAGCATAGTCCTTGGGTAGGATGTGGATGTTCTCACGGTTTGTAAACAGTTTGTATTCACCACATCCAAGGGAATTGGGTCCCGTTTCCTATCTTTACAAAAATTTAGACTTTTTTAAGCCCCATTAAGTCTTCCTGCACACTCTCCTGTAGTCTGGTTGGGCCCCCTCGGGTTTTGAGCCTCGTATATGTATGGCTGATATGGTAGCCATGAGACAAACCCCTTACTTTGGGCAGATTTCATTCATAAAAATAGTAGTTATCGGGTTTGGTTAAATTAAATTTTGTTAGGGCTGGAATGACCAAGCTGTATGTGATTCAACTCTGTACATGTATGTATTTTCATGCAGTATGGATTTAAGCTAATATAAATCATAAATCAGTAAAATTGCATTAAACTTTCAACCTATTTTTTTACCAAGAAGTACAATGTATTAAATATCCCTAACTACGTTTTTAATTGATAATTCTATCGATTGCTTATACCATATGGTTTACACCAGTCTATTCTATTTGTAACTGTGAAACGCCTAACATTGTAATTACAAAAACATATTTTTTTTTATTTTTAGAATCCATGATTGGAGATGCCAATGTGTATTTGAAGGATTCCTACGATGGCCTTGTCGGGGAAATCGGTTTAATGATCGCTGAGCCTAAATTCCGAGGAAAAGGAATGGGCCGAGAAGTCGCACTGTTGATCATGCGCTATGGTAAAAAACATTTTATTAACTCCTTGACATCACATTTGTAACTCTTGTGATTCCAGCTGTGACAGCGATAAAAGTTAAGAAGTTTGAAGCCATAGTTTCACTAAACAACGAAAATAGTATTAAAATGTTCAATAGTCTGAATTTTCAAGAAGTAAGTGAATTTTTATTTTTATTTCAATTCACTTATTTATTGTTTTGTATTTTTTAGGAATCAAAAAGCACTTTTTTTAAAGAGATAACACTTGTACGACAAGTCGATGAAGAATTTACCGATTATTTGTTCTCCAACACGAAGGAATACAATGAATTGCCTACAGAAGAAAATAAATAGAATGTGAGCTTTAATTTTGTGTGATTTTTTATTGTATATATTTTAAAAATATAATAGTTTATTTATTTATTTCTTATGAGATTGTATATCCCTATTTCTGAGTTTACATTTTATGCACTTTTGTAGACTTCAAAGCTGCCTTTGATTCTGTTGACCGACATTTTTTATTCTATACGCTTTACAATCTTTACTTTACCTCCTAATTTGTAATAGTGTTATAAAAATAGAGTCAAAAGCCTGCTTATGGTGCCCAGAAGGGAGATCTGAGTTTTTCAACATAAAGTACAAATTCACTTATTTATTAAGTTAATTAATTGGTCTGCTTGACCAATTAATATATTACAATTAATTAAGGTTTTTAGTTGAGATAAAAAAGTCAATGGCACGAGCGGGATTCAAACCCACGATCTTCGGGTAGATATACTGCTGCTCTACCACTTGAGCAATTGTGACCTCGATCCTCTTGGACACCAACTTCCCATCTCAACCCCACCTCTTGAAGTGTCCGAGTGGATCGATGTCTCGATAGCTCAAGTGGTAGACCAGCAGTGTATCTACCCGAAGATCGTGGGTTTGAATCCTGCTCGTGCCATTGACTTTTTTATCTAAACTAAAAACCTTAATTAACTGTAATAAAGTACAAATGTTTGATAAGGTTGTCTACTGAGCCCTCTCTTGTTTTCCTTTACATAAATGATCTCATTGATGTTCTGCCTAGGGGAGTAGAGATCAATGGTGTTGTTAACAAAATTTTACTCTATGCAGACATTGTCATACTTGCTGAAAGCCTAAAAGATCTTTAAATCCACGTTGATAAGTTGGAATCATACCCCGGGCTTTGGGGGTTGAAAGTCAACTTAGATAAATCAAAATTCTGGTATTTCAGAATGGAGATAGACCTCGTGCAATTGAACATATCAAAACAATAGTGTCACTGTCGTCAATGAGTATTTAACTTGTAAGTTAGCCTTTAAGAAACATTAAAATAAAAAGTCAAAACAGCTAATTCTGTATTGAAACCATCTGGAATGGGTCAGTCCACACCCTAAGTGCCAAACTACAGGTATTTAACTCAGGACACAAAACAATACGTATATCAGTGTTATATATGTAAAATAACTCAGTTTCCTCCAAAAATCTGAGCAGGAAACTCAATTATGCTGACCTTAAGCTCAATTTTCATATTCAGAGGTGGCTTTCAATTTCAAATTCAGTTAGATGTATGTATTTAAATTGATTTGGTATTTTTTACTTAAAATCAGTACCAGAATTATACATTTATGAATAATGTAAATTTATTTAGTTTTGCAGTATGCCACTTTTGCGTTGTGCGATTTTAATATTAACTTTTTATAATGATCACAGATTTTTATTTTTAGTATGAAACTAATAATGAGATATGTTTTTTGAAAAAGTTTTATGTGAGTTCACCACAAAACGATTGAGAGTCGTGTAAAAATCAAAAGAGACGTCCTTTATCAATTTTAAGGTTACTGAAACCGGTCGGGAAGAATCAAGACAATTCTGTGACTTCAAACTTGTAAGGTTTTAGTTTTTGTTGTTAGACTAAAAGTTAAGCGCCTAGTTGGTTTCTTATGTTTGATTACATTTAACTTTTTCACTTACTGGCTTTGCTTTTGGTCGTTTTATTTATTTATTTTTTATTGTAATACAATGAACGTCCATCAACCGGATAAACTGCCTTTTGAAGTTCAAAGGAATTTGCTGGAGGCTTTGATGAAGAATAGGAAATCTTTTGACTATTGGTCCGAGAGGAAGAACAGTTATGAAGAACTGAAGAAAAGCCTAAAAATATACTTGGGAAAACTCAGGCACCAAATTTACGCCCCTATAGGCAAAAGAGCTTTTATGAAGGGCACTGTAGTGCATACGAATGATGTCACAGTAGCTGTGGGCGATGGATACTTCTTCAAAGTCTCTTCTGCCAGTGCATCTGAAATATGCGAAAGGCGTCTTAAAGAAATCGACGAAATGCTTGATAAAATCAAGAAGGAGCGAGAGCTCCTAGAGAACAACCTCAATGTGCCGAAGAAACTCGAAGCTTTTGGTAATGAAGAGAGACAGGAAATCATCGAGCCGTATGATGAAGAAAGTGAAAAGTCATGGCGTGAAAAACACAAGGAAAGTGTGCGAGCGCATAAGCAGAAACTTGCTGAGCTTCGAAATAAGATCAAAGAGAGCAAAGGAAATACCGAGGAGGATATCATGAAACATCTAGACCTTCTTGAAATGCAGGAAGAACTCGAAGAAGAAATCGACAGGCTAGGAGGAGAATCAGATAGCGATGATTATGATGATGATGATGATTCCATAGAAGAAGATGTAGAAAATGAAATTCAAAGCGATATACCTGATAAACCTGTTAAAACTGAAAGACGTGTTACATTTGATTTATCAGATCGCTTCCAAGATATTAGCCTAGATAACAAGGATAGCAAAAATCTTACTGCGATCGGTGATTCAATTGAAGAAACATTAATCAGTAAACGAGCAATTGAACAGAAGGAAACTAGACCGATCAGCAAATTCCGAGCGAGAAAATTGAAAAACTAGATCTGTTTTCTTGAGTGACAGCTTTTAACGGATCATCTGGGAATCTTTTTCCTCCAGTCCATCTTCCCAGATGATCCAATAAAGTCTGAGTAATTAAACGTCGAGGGTTGATAAAAAAAAAAGACATATTTTTCTTGAATGTTCGATCAAAGTGACATGGAATCAATTTGAATAAAATGATAGGTATTCATTAATAGTGAAACATCGTACTGTGGCCTGATGATTGGAGACGATCATCCTACATATTTTTATAAGTTGAATTTATAGACTTGTACTGCCAATGTACTTCTGTAAACTATGATAAATTCAATTTGTATTCAATTTTATATGCAAAATGTGTCTGGCATTGTAATATTAAAAAAAAAAAATTCAATATAGAAATATAAGTGAATCGACTGTTTGCTCAGTAAAATATGAATTTTAACAATAATAAAATTGTGATTATTTTGTATAGTCAATTACTAAATAGATCAAAGTTAACCATTATCAAGAATTAACATGTACACTAACTTTGTAAACCTCATTCTGGTAACTTGTGGAAATAAAAACAACCAAATGAAATGGCATTATTGGGTAAAACATTGTATACCAAAATGTACTGTCCCGATTATTAAATAAATAGTAGACCCCTATAAAATGGTTCTGAGTCTGCAATTGATCCACAATGTAGTTGATAAATATGTTTGATCGCTGATGATTCTGTGTACAACCAATTGCTAACAAACATTTACAGACAACCTAATAAATCACAAAAATTAATTCAACAACAATCAATCATTGGTGTAAATTGAGTGCAACTCATTTCTGAAAGAAAAACAACAAATTTTTATTTTTTGCCACTATTTTAATTAATTCTTAATTATTTGTTTTGTCAGCCAACCTAAAAGCTAAATTTCCAAATCTTACACATAGCAATTGGTTTCATTGCTAGTTCTATTCAACATAGTTAAGTTTTTAGTTTGAAAAATAAAATAAAAATATATATTTCAGAAGTTTAAAGTCTATATTATTATTACCAGACAGATCCAGTTTTCTAATATATAACTTATGCAATTAACAGCATTTTGGTTCAGCCACTCTCAATTTTTAACATCAGACTTTAATTTTTGTCTTTGTGCTGTTTTTAATCTAATAGCTGGCAGATATGGTTAACAGAACCCTTCTTTTTTGGCACTCCAGTCTTCCATGGTGGTCCATACCAATTAATCATTTACCTCTAGATGGCACTTCGCTAATTCTTTTGGCGTTTGTTCTTTCCAAAATGTGGTACTCCTCTATCTGAGCTACACCTCTTGCTTTTTTGTACATATGGCAAGTAACACATATTGAGACACCACTATGTCCCTGGGTACCTCATTGAAAATGGCGCAAACCAAAACGTGTGAGTAACATCAAAAACTCATTAGTGTAGACAGACCCAAAGCTGTTTGACATAAGTTTTAATACATTTTTGAGGTGGTAGTGGCCATTGAGAGCTTTTTTGAAATAACAATCAGCCTATCATACCTCTAGCAAATCTATTTAAAATGGAAATGTGTTATTTACAAAGTTTTTGTTACGAATGAAAACGAATTTCATAAAATTACTCGACATTTCATCACAAACACACCGTGTCAGCCTAGTATGGCCATCTGCTATGATTCTTTTTCCCCCTTTCCTCCATGGCCTATGATTTGGACGACAGTTTTATTTGATGTGGTTTGTTGGTTATGATCCAGTGGTTCTGCATTCTTTACAGCATTGGTTTTAATATAATTTTTCACATCCACTTGAATCATTCACAAAATCAAAAAGTGTTTAAATAAATTAATTAAATGGGAAGATAATTATAGTAAAACATACAATTTTAAACAACACATCTATATTTCATATAGCTCACAAACAGAAGTAAAAAAGAATTTACCAAGGTAAATACTATTTTTCTAATAATCATCTGTGCCAACGCTTTGTTAAGAGAATGTATACAAATAATAACAAATTTCAATTTAACATAAAATCTATAAGAATATCTTTCATTTTCTTTTCTTTCTCAGAATTTTTATATACAAATATATGCAATATATACCTCTCAAATCTCTAAAATAAAACAAAAATAATTCAACAAAATAATATTCAAATATTTTTAACAAAGGTAGATATAATTATCTACACAGATACAATGTTCTTTACATAAATTATAAATAATTTAAAACAAATGAGCAAATAAATTTCTAAGACATTAATATCTCTTGGAGTACAAACTTTATATTTATGAATATTATATATTCATTACATTAATGCTTAACAGATTTGATAAATAAATTTTGTACACAAAGACCAAATAATATTGATGCTAGATGGATTCATGTTTTAATACTTTTCATAAACTTTGCTTTGAATTGTTTAAAAAATTTTGGTCCTAGAAAGTGATGTGATGCTTTGCTTTTTTTAAATTCATTTGTACATTGTTCTCAATCACAAAATCACTGTAATAATATCAAAAAATATAAATACTGAATATATGTAATAAAAATTCAATGATTATTCTTTACAATTTCTGGTTTTTAAAATTGCACATTTAAAAAAAGAAAAAAGCCTCTTTTGAAGCAGTCCTTCACATTATTTGATTCAGTTACAACTGGCATAAATCAAATACACAATCAAAAGATTAAATGTATATTTAATAAATAACTAATTTAATTAAATAAATGTAAATACAAAAATGTACACAAGCAGAAACTAATGGTGTCTAACATTTTCAGCATGGCTGGACTCGCCTTCAAACTGAAAAATAAACAGGTGAAGTTCATAAATTAACCAATGATAAATGTTTATTCTGTATACATTCTAAATCTGACAACTTATTTTTATAATGTATTGTATGTTTTACAAACAAAAATTAAAAAACTACCCTAATGAATTGAATGAAAATATGAAATATTAAATTGACATAACCCATAAGAAAGGCAAAATGCGTCTGACCCACAAAATTAACTGGAATAGGCTAGATTACAATGATTAGATTACTAGTAAATTAGGCCAGGAATTTAGTAAAATAAGTAGGTTTTTGATTGGATGTACCATTTAAAAAGTTGATGACTGTGTTTAGTGAAGTTTTTTGCCTGGAAATAAAATTGTGGAATGATTGAATATAAATTGTCTTACCTTGGTCAAAGCAGCTCGGGTTTATATAGCTTAGCAGATCATGTTCAGACATCTGTGTTAGTTCCTGCGGAAGTGGAATCCCTTCTTCGCATTTTTTCACCTGGGCCGTGCCCCCATTTTGAACTACCTTTGGGATTTCTGCAGTTCTGTTTTCAATGACTTGAGAGGCTGATATTACAGTGGTAGGAATATGCTGATCTATGCTCTTCCTTTGTATCGAAATTGCAGAAGGACCATCTGAGGTTGTAAAACTGTTGAGGATCACTTCAGACTGGAAGGTATTCGTCGAAGTGGTCTGTTCTGGCTCTAGTTTGGTGTTTGTGATGTTTAACGACTGAGTACCGGTGAGAATCGGATCTTGGCCGTTTCTTCCGCCTTGAAAACTGGAATTGTTCAATTCTGAAGAAAACAATTCAGGTTTAATATCAACATTTTCCGTTACAGTTTGGAAACCTGAGTTGGCTATCCCTGAAATTGCTTCCCTTCCAATAGGGAGTTCTGGTGTCGAAGTAAATACGATGTCCTGGGTAAACTGAGGACTCGACTGAGTTGTTTTCAAAGTTACATTTAGATTATCGTTGACATTTGTAGGAGAAAATACAATATCCGATGTGAATTTGTTGTCAGCCCTTGGAGACAAACTGTTTTCCACCTGTTGGGTTGTTTCTTTATTTCTGATTACTGCATCTTGAACATAATTTGTATTGAGAAGATTTCCACTGAATTGAGAGGGACTAGATAAACTCTGACTGCTTTCTCTGAGTGGCTGACTTCCAATAAAATCAGTGTTCATTGGATTATTAATACTGCTATTGTTTGCGGAGGTTGTTGTTGGGAAAACTGAAGGCAGAATAAGTGGATCTTGCAATTGGCTCTGAGTGGCTATACATTCTTTAATTGAAGACTGCATAGGTAGTTCTTGCCCACTGGTAAATTGAGGGCAGTTAGACAAATCATTGACAACAGCATTCATAATTAAATCTGGCGAGGTTGTCACTTGAGTGACATTTGCATCATTAAAGTTTGTGGTAGATATAGATGAACCATTTATACTGATTGTATCGGTTACTGTACGAATATCCTTTCCTGAAGAGAAAGACTGGTTCAAAATAAGATCACCAGATTCATTTACAAGCGAGTTTGTCAGCATTGCTGTATTTATGGGAAGAGAAGATTGTGGAAGAGTGCAAATCGGTAAAGTTGTAGATGGAATTTTGCTATCCATCGGAACCATATGTTTCATTGATACAAGAGCAGATGGCGATAAAGTCTCATTTGTATTCAGATTAAGAGGAGACGTTTGCATTGGGACTGGAGTGACATCTGATAAAACATCGTTAAGGATGATTTCCTGTTTTGGAATTGCAGACGGTTGAGAAGTTTCCAGAGATTGAGGCGAATTCAAGTGGTTTTCTGCAGTTGAATTTACAAAAGCATCCAGTTTGGCTGCCTCCTGTTCTCTGTTGGCAATGATCGATGCAGTTATTTGATCTTGTAATGTTTGAGGTCTCAAAATATCATCCGAGGCGATTCCATTCTGTAAAAGTACAGTTTGCTGGGAAATCGGAGGTGTGTAAACACTGTTGAGAGTGGGACTTATTTTTCTTGAAGAAAGGATCATGTTTATCGTGGGTGACTTCTGAGGATGGAGAGGTGAACTTGTATCTGTAGCGATTTGCTTATTTTCAATTCTTGAAAAATAGGTCTCAACACTCAGAGCTGGCAACGGTGTGTTCGGAGTGGACACGAATCTCCGAAGTGTAGCCATTGAAGGTGTTTGCGACGTCGAAAGATCGGCTGTCACAGGAATCGTTTGTGTGGGACTTGGGCTTTCTGCTTCTCTTTTTAATTCAACAGAACTCTCACTTATGATCATAGGCTGTGAACCTCGCCTTGAAGGAAGCACAGTCGGTGGGGGCATTAACATCACTGGTGGGATATCTTTCTCTTCTTTACCTTTAATATAATGTATTATATACGCAATTGAAAATACAAAAATAATATTGTAATAAAATAAATAACATACATTTTGCCGTATCATCTGCCACAAATGGCGGGGAAGCCATTGAAATATGGTTAGGAGGAATCATCAAGGGCATTCCTAAAAGGAGGTTTTGCCCCGGAAATGCAGGTACTGAAGAAATAGCTGAAAAACGTCAAAAACCAAATAAATATTAAGTTATTTGAAATCAATTACAATAATACTTCAAGAAGTTTTTTAAGTTTGAAAAAAATTTTTTTGTATAGTTTTGTTTTTCAATATTAGTCAGGGAGAAAGAGAATCAGAGAATGCGATGAGTTAATTCTGGGGGGGGGGAGGTCTTTACCTTTGTAGAATGAAAAAATGCCAGGGGCAACAGTGCGAATTGAACCCATGACCACAGAGACTACGACCCGAGAGAGTGACAATCACGCTGACTGCTCAGCTACCCCGGACCCCCTTTTAGGTTAAATATGTGTTTGTTTTAAGTAGTGAAGTTTATGTAGGGGGAAAAAAGGATTATATTATTGCAAAAGAAATACTTACTAGGAGCAATAGCTCTATTTACAATGTTAGGCTCCTGAGTAAGGGCTGTGAACAAATTAAAGGCCGATTAACAACTTGAAATGACATTTTTTATTGAGAGATTAAAGCTGGTCCCACCTGGAATAAAAGGGAGTTTTACTTGCCTTCGCAGCCTCAATTTCTTTTATTCACAATCAATAATGTTTACAATATCAAAAGAAAAATTGAAAACAAAAACAGTTTTTATTTCATATCGTCAGTTCATATGAAATAAATTAAACAAAATGGTTGAAAAAAAGCAACAACTGAGTTATAGAAATGGCTGCGAAGGCGCGACCAACTGTATCGGTGCCTCATTCAAACCAAACATATATTCACACATACACACAGAAAAAAAGGTTTGCTCAATATGGAGGAAAGCCTGTTTTTCCCTTTAGAAAATTGCACATGTAATTACCAAGAAATACAAATGATTTACAATTCACAAAAATAAATTATAAACAATTTTAACTTTTACATAAATATTATTTAATTAACTTTTGTTACAGTTATATTAAATGTCTTATTGGGCAACACCAGATAAGCTTGTTTTTCAATTTTTTTCCTCTTAAAAAGTAAATATTGAAAAATCCATTTAATTTTTCATCAAAATTCACTAAAAATCACTTCATGCTTCTGTGCTTTCTAATCTTTGTCAAATACCACTGCTATAAACACAATTTAAATAAATGTATGACTACAAGAGCCAATTTAAATATAAGATTTTTTAAGCAAAATATTGCAAGAACAGACTTTTGACATCAATCAATGTATCTTTATTTTATAACATTTTTGTATGTTTTCTTAAAAGAACGGCTTAAAAAAAATCAGAAAAGTTTAGCATTTTAAGTGATGTTAAAAGTTAATTAAAAAACAAAACTATAATGATAAAATATATCTATTTACATAAAGTTTTAGTATATGAAACATTTTTGACAACTAATGCAGTAATAATAGTGAGTGTAAAACCAAATGTATATTCACAAATATGTTTAAAAATGTAAGTTGACCTTTTATTAAATGTTCACTTTGTTCAAAACAACTAATATTTTTAATAAATAATCCGTAGTAAGTACTAAATGTTTTTTATTCCATCTCAAAACTGGCTTAAATAGCCAATTTTTGAATTTTACTATTCAATTCAATTGAAGATCATTCAGAAATTCATGCCTCTTTTCAATTGTAAATGGTTCTCAAATTATGCACAACATTTCTGTGCTAATTTCTTGCAATAAAGTGTTAACCAACAAACCTTCTTTATTATTTTTTTTTTAAATGAAGCATATTTATAACCCGATTATTTGAATCCCTGAGCCGCACCTGAGGAAGGTATTAGCTTAAAAACCTCTTTTCCAGAACCAAAATTTTTAGTAAATCACATAATGATAAATATCAACCAATTTTAGTCAAATCAAACTAAAGGTGTTTAACTCTTATCTTTCTAACCAGAAACAAGTAGTGAAAATAAACAACTTTTCAAAAGATTTCAATGCTATGTCAGGTGAACCACAAGGTGGTGTCAACATACTGTTTATTCTTTATATTAATGACTTAAAATATGTAGAGAGTAGCAATTTTTTTCTTTATACCAATGATTTGAATTTTTATGAAACCATCAACACCCATTAGAATAATCTTGATCAGTCTGACCCTGAACTCTACTCATGAATGGTGCCAACAGAATTCAATGGTGCTGAATATTAACAAATGCAATGTTGTCACTTACACTCATAAAACCTACCCCATTAGGGGTTAGATTCTTCTGATATCTCGAGTCTCCTTATTTACTTTCCAAATTAAACTGTAATCTTCCCCAGCTCTCATCCCGGAAATAAAATATTCTTCATTTCCGCCCTAATTGCATAAAAAAATGTCCCATCAATAGGTTAATTCACACAGCTAATACATATCCACACCTCTTATACCAAGATAATATTAGCATTTTTAAAAATCAATTAATATCTGCACTCAAGATATAAATGTTTTAAATCAGATTATGTACAATTTTCATATCTATTTTATTTATATATATATATATTTTCTCTGTTTGTTTAATATTTACAATTATATATTTCTACATTACTATGTTCAGTTATATTACGCTAGTTAGCTTGGACATGACTAATAATTATCTTTTTCAGTTAAGTTTTGTTTGTATTCTAACAATGTTAACTGCATATAGTTATGGCCACGTTTTATTTAATAATTCATACTTCCAAATATTTGTTATTATGTTTCTAATTTTGTAATGAATTTTTATATTAGCTCTCCTAAGTTTTTTTTCCTATTTGTTGTATAATTTTAATAGGCTTTGCCTGTAGAATAAATAAATAAATTGGTGCGGCCCTCCATTAGTGGATCTCCCAAGGGTACGGCGGGGTGATGGATGGGGAAAAAACCTGATTTTATAAATCTGCTTCTTGAAATTTTATGATGGCCAGTAATCAACTGTTATTCTTTCAGTATTATTGGATATGACAATAACGATCAAAATCCTATTTACTTCAATATGTAACATATTGTATATTATGTACATTAAAACTCTTCTGAAGTATATATTTCAAATAATATGTTCTTTAATCAATTTAAAATAAAATGTAAAATGTACTGTTATTCTTTCAGTATTATTGGATATGATAATAATGATCAAAATCCTAATTACTTCAATATGTAATATATTGTATATTATGTATATTAAAAACTGTTCTGAAGTATATTTCAAATAATATGTTCTTTAATCAATTTAAAATAAAATGTACTGTAAGATCATTTACAAGTCAGTTATATAAATGTTTATTAATACTCTGTAATATTAATTAATTAATATTTGACCTATTTGGATCTAACAAATTTTTATAAAAATGTAATGAGCATTTTTCTACAGTTGAAAGTAAGAAGAAATTAATTTCAAGTATCATCTCTAAAATTTGTATAATCATGAAAGAGTTATGTAAATATAATTAGTGTGATAACGCTTATTTGATAAAAGTGATTAACAAAAATTTATTTCATGCTAAGAAAACAAACTATTTGCTCATCCAGTGCTGACCCCATTAATGATTATTAATTTTTATATTGATTATAAAGAAAGAATGGAGATTGGCTTTGCCCCCACACATCATTCACACAACTGACTAACAAGCCCAAGGACATCACAACACAAGCCAACATTCAAATCCACACCGAGATAGTTGGTCTAGTAGGGGGAGTACATCCGAAGATCCTCTTCTTTTATTTTAGCACCTGAAAAAAAAGCTCTCCTTCCAACAGTTTAGCATTCCTCTTAATTTAGTCCAATGCTGTAACATAATGAATTGAGCACATACAAAAGCAAAAAAAAAGTGGAAACTAATTGTTTCCAAAATAATAACAAAATATATTAACTTTAAAAAAATAATAAAAAAATAAAAAGTTATGTTGTTTGTGTATTAAAAACTTTGTGTTATGTCTTTGTTATAATTTTAATGGTATTTTCATTTTTCAGAGCTTTAAGAAATATGATTGATCAAAATCAACTTAATTATATAACTAAATTCTTTAAAGTAAATATATATATTAAATTAAATGTTTCACTGAATCTAAAATAGGTCAATTTAGATTTTTTTTAAATATTACTATTTTTTAAAAGTATCCTCACCTTCTGTATGCATAGTTTTGTAAATACTACAAAGGGATCTTTCTGAATCAAAATCTTCAGTATAAAAAAAATTGGCTACTTCTTTCAATAAAAATTACCCAAACTAAAAAAGTAAATACCGCAGACAAATGTATTTTTGTTGGTATAAAATATTTAAGGGTCTATAAATATTTGTGAACAGTCCATACAGCAAAGTGTAATACCAACAAAAACAAAACATCGGAAACACACTTACGCCAGCGATTAAGGCAGACTTTAAGTAAGAACGCCAAAATGTTTGCTATTTTGCAAATATTTATAGCCCCGTTTTATAAAATGGCACAACATCTAAAAAGCGTCATATAAAATATATCTGTAAAAATGTAATGTGTGCATGTGTGCGCGTGTAGGTTAAAACTAATGGAAGAGAACCTGGGGCAGGGAAGGGCAGTACACCCAAGCGCGTGTCCAAACTCCTCGAGCTGCTCGTACCTCCGATGATAACATTCTGCTGGGGACGAAGAAAGCAAACGCATAGAAATGTCACAAACTACTGTGAGCTTTAAGCTCTTGAAATCATACAACATAACTGTTTGACTCGTGTCATATCCACATTTAACTTTAATACTGTAATACTTTTATTGACGCAAATAGAAAATGGAGAGCCTGAGACTTACACAAGATATGACATAAGGCAACAGAATTGGGCTGAGTATCACATCTTTTAAAATTGCCAGTTATTTTGCATTTAAAAAATGCATATAATTCGTAATGTGATGCTCTTATATAAATGCATTCAGTATAAAATTATAATGACAGAGAAGTCACAACAGACATATTCACAAGATTCATTACGATTCATTCCCACATGCACCAACCTTAAAATCTCAAACACAGAAAAACCTCTCATTCATACCTCCAATCACTCTCTGCGACCACTTTGTCATTTGATAAAAAATTAATATGAAACTAAACAAAAATTTATATTTTTATTTTATGTAAAAAATATTTTATTTTGTTTAGCTTCAATTGCTTCAATTTAGGCTAAGTATAAAAAGTAATATTTATATATTATTAAACATCACTTCACTTATGTTCACACTTTTAATGTACAATCATTGTATTCATTCGTAATTTATGAAATTAAAAAAAAAATTTTTTTAGAACATCATTTTGTGATGTTTGATAATATGGTAATCTATTTCTAACTGAAAATCTCATCCTTCAATCTACATGCCTCTTTCTCATCCACGCAAAGCCCTCACTTCTTTAAAGGCAGGACCATACATAAGATTAATTATGTATATATTGATTTTCTCAATTAAATATTTTTCTTTCAAAAATTAGGAAAATACATATGAATGATCACAGCCTGCTTTAACACAAAATACATTTTTTACAATTGCTTAACTCATTGAAATAACATCAACACTGTCTATTGAAATGTTGACCAATAATGAGGTGTGACTGTTTTTACATTTAGAAAATAATTTGGATAAAAACAACTGTTTTCTCTCTTTAAGACACTTAGTAAAATGCATTTTGTGCTTATTTAAAGGAGTGGGCATAGTGCAGAGAGTGATGTATGTTTTTATTTTGCATTACCTTGCATATGTGAAGTGCCAATCGGAGTATACATAAATGTATGCGCTTCACTGCTCCTTTCACTTGAAATAACATTTAATCTCACTGCAACAGATTCTTTAATATGTTCTTGTCTGTAAGCAGGTACAACACATACCAAGTGAGACTGAAACACAAATAAACAACATCAATGATGAAAAAATATATTTATATAAGCATTAAATAGATTCATCTCACAATCATAGGGATTCCAAATTTTAAAAAATTGAAAAACTATTAGGATGTAAGTAGACTTTTTTAATTATTTTATTTTTTAAATTTAATTAATCAAATCTAACAAACAACTAAATAGAATTACAGTGAAACTTCCATATAATGGACACTTTTGGGAAATGAATATTGTCTGCTTTTGGAATAAAACTGAAAAAAAAGTTGTATTAAAAAAGGGACCACAATGGGGATTACAAGATATCGACACCCTTGAAACACCTTGATTTGATTTTTAGCCTTTTGTTTGGCCATTTAACGAGCATAATTTTGCATAAAGGAAAAATTAAACTGTCTTTTGAAACTTTTCCTCTATGACAACGCCCATATTTTTATTTATTTTTTTTTTTAACTGCATAGTTTAGCCAGAGGTGCTGTTAAAAATACAGCCACCTCATTGCAATTAAAAATGTTTTTGGTAAAACAATCGGCAGATAATTGTTCAAGTTTTTTTAACTTGTTTTGTACAACCTCAGTCCTTCGCTCCACTAATTGTCTTAAAAGAAATCTTATACCATGTTCTAAATTTGTCGAGCCAACCTGAAGATGTTCTAATCAGTTTGCCCTAAATGTTTTGCAACTTCTTAGGCCTTTTATTAGAAAACCGGACCAAGCAAATTTTAAAAGCGCGAGCATGGCAAAACTATTCAAATACAACCTGGTCTATGGCCAAACCTGGCATTTTAGGAAAAGATCTGCAGGATTGGCCATTTCCGAGTTTGTAAAATTTATCTAAAATTTCCTATTTATTGTTAGAAGTTTTCTTTGTAAGGTCTTTCCGATGGAAAACTTCATACACTTAGTTTTTCAGTTTCACTCATTTTCTTTTTTTTTTAAGTGCCAAATTCACTGAAGAAATACTTAAACAAGTTTGCAAAGAGGCATATTCAAAATCTAGGAATATTGAGAGAATGTTGGAAGGCGAACAAAACACGAAGTGAAATCAGCGAATCTCCAAAAACATTCATTTCTGGAGGTTGCTGTCCTCTTGTTGGAGAGTTTTAGAGTTAGGATTTATTTGAAAAAGTGTCTGTTTTATGGAAGATTTTATTATTGTAAAGATTCTCGGAAATCAGAATTTGTCTGTTCAAGGGGGGTGACCACTTTTAAGTGGTGTCTTTAGGAAACTTTCACTATATATTCAAATCCTTTCTCTTGAAGATTCAATTGCCATTTGTCATTGAAGTATGAAAATATTAATAACTGGAATTACCACAAATTTTTTATTTCTGTTCAGAGATGAATGCAAATTTTTTGTTATTATTTATCTCTTAGTTATTGAAGCAATACCACAAAATAAAAATATAAATAAACCTGATACAATGGTCTGTTTGATTTTTGGTTCAAATGCAAAATTAATTGATTTGCATATCATTAATATTCAAAACAATACATTTAAGGAAGGAAAATGTTATATAAATTTTTAAATGCTTTGTATGATAATATGAAAAAATTTCTGAATGACCAATTTTAAATCATTATTTGTTTGCAATATTTTTGACACAGACTTGTTAAATAAAAATAAACAATACCTGTTGTAAAAACTCCTTATCAGGTTGAACAAAGGCTTCCCAATAAGAGTCAGTTCCAAACTCTCCTTCGGAAAAAACTACTTTTGTGTCTTTGAGAAAGTTTTTTCCAAGGATAAATAATTCAAGTCCCCCAGCAGCAGGACAAGATGACAATGACTTTTTACAAATTTCTGGTACACCAGGAGGTTGAGCTGTAAAAATAAAATTTAAAAATAAACTCAATAAAAAAATCTAGGACCAAAGTAAAATGAAATTAATAACACAACTCACTGCAGATAATAGGTTGAGATGTAACTTGAAGAGTTTCCGGGATGTTGTCATCATTAGTGATTACTGTTCTGAACACCATACGACAACGTGTAGACTTCTTTTTGCTTCGCCCAGAACTCTCTTCTGGAAACCTGTGCTCCACATCTACATTCCTCTCTTTTAAAATCCCAACACAATCGCATCTGAAAATTTAATTCTAATTACAATTTGTTTATATGTATATTTTTTTTTAAATTCACAAACCAGAACTTACGTTGCGATCATGTCTTTTGAAGGATCTAACTCTATTTCTATTAGCACGGTGCCATTAACTTTTTTCTCAACACATGGTGTCGAGTTTTTACCAGAGACTCGACATGCCTGGTAAAACATGTGTGGAGCAACACGCCCTTGGTCTGTGCCAATGTACACTTCAAGTGTTGCTGGCTTGTTATACCCTGTTAGCTAAAATTAAATCATATTTTTTATATTGGTGGAATAAATAAAAAATATTGTATATTAATCTAAACTTTTAGAAAAATATATATTATTTTATACAGGGGGTTATAAGCACTTTTATAAAATTTATTTAATTCCAGGAATTAAGATTTGCTCTCATACTGCGAGTTTGACAAACAATGACATAATGTAAACAATAAAGGCAATTAATATTTACTTTAGAGAAGAAGCAAATTATTGAATTAAAAATGAAACAAGCGAAATGGGTTTTTTAAAAACTTTTTGTCATAACTTTGTTAGTTTTTGACCAATTTAAAATCTGATTGCACCATTGTTTTCAGCATAAAAAATCCTTTAAAATGATGTATTAGGATGTATATGATCTGATTTGCAATTTTGATGTTGAAATGGGCCTGAGGTACACTGCATAATTTTTCTCCAAAAAAAGTAAAAATTTCAAACTTCATTAAAAAAATATGAAAGACTTTGTTTTTGGATAATGTCATTAGTTTAAGAGAAATTCAGCCGGGTCATCTAACAAGGACACCCTGTATTATCACAAATATGGGGGAAAATTAAGATGAAGTTAACAAGGAAATTAAAATTAAATAAATAATTATCAGTATCAATTCATTTGATTTTTAGAAGACTGTTTAACCATTAAATCTTTATCAGCAAACAAGTTATATTATCTCAAAGTGCACTGATCACTGGTTCATTGACTCCTCCATTAGGCATCCTTACCAACTTCAAAAACAAATTAGCTTTCTCATTCAAAACATTTACATTTTCAGGAGGTTTTCAAGGATTTTCACAAGTTTAATTAATGGCTCGGCATAGAAAGCTAAAAAACCATTATTCTAAAAATAAGATTTATAAAATAATAAAAAAATCACCTTGACGATGGGAAAACTGTTTCCCGTCCTGTCTTTAACAGCTCCTCTGCTTCCTTCTGTCTGGTATCTTGCCCTGTGCTGCATTTCAGGCTGAGACAAGATTTGCAATTGAACTTTGCCATCTCTGCTGACTCCAACTGACTGACTGACAAAGAGCTGACCATTACGTTTACCTTTTCCAGTAGAAACGTTTTTACTCTCTCTTTGACTGAAATAAAACAATATTGATAATAGCTAGATACTTAAGTTGTTTTTAAGATATTAGAAACTGCACTAATTTATTTATAAATTTAATAAATGTAAACATTTTATTTACTGGTTTGTGAGCTATTAATATATATAATAAGAGAGATAGTAATTACCAGATAGGGACAACTGCTGGTGGCTGAACAATTCTTGTTTGAGTAAAAGTAAAATTGTCATTTGCATTGTCACATTCCAATTTCACATCCAGCCTCTGCCGTTTTGTTTCTCCAGTCCAGCAGTACTTAAAAGGAAATAAAATTATGTAAAAGAAATAACACAAGAATTACAAATGCTTTTTGGCATTTACTTCTGGTTCAAAGAAACTTGTTTGTGTTGTCCTAGGGACTGCAAATTCCAGGTGGTGATCAAAACCCAAACCGGAGTCATTTGAATTATCACAAGGATCGACTGTTATAGAAGGAACTTCATCCCTTTTATTGACTGAAATCATAAAAATTTTTCATTTAAATATGTTTTGAAAATATTTCTTATTAAAAAAATAAATAAAAACAATCTATATATACCTATTGATTTAATGCGCTTATTGGCCACACCTTTGATATTTTTTCTCTGTCCTTTGCCTTTCCCGTTGGCTGCTTTCACATTTCCTATAAAACAAAAAAAAAACAATATTGAAAAAGGCAAAACAAACTATAAATTAAGTTTTGGTATTAATGATGTTTTACATTTATTCAAAAGAGATTCACGCTTAATCATGTAAGGAACTCACAGGAACTCAGCTGAACATTTGATTTACACCATTAGAGGCATGTGTACTTTTCAAAACTAATTATCACCACACGTGTGTTAAAGATGTAGGTTACTCATAGCCTACATCTTTAAAAACCACCACAGAAATAAACAATAAATTAGTCATAGATGTACTAGGTTCTTTTAATTACAAGAAAATATAAGCAGTTTTTTTTTTTTTTTTTTTTTTTTAATTGAGTCAACTATGTCAACAAATCTAATCAAAACGATTTTGATCACACAACAATAGGCTAGTAAGAAATGTAATAAATAACTATAAAGAATATTGTACATATTCTTTGTTCTAATAATATTTTGAAATCCACTTTAAACGTTAAATAAATAATTCTTGTCAAGTACATGCTACTTAATACATTATTGTCCAAATTCCTTGCTAACCTCTTTTTCCTGTACACCTACTTGTTAGCAGTAATTAAAAAAATGGAAAGCTTTTTCAAATAAAATATGACTACTGGTAACCTATCCTCGAAAGCTGTAGGTTCAGGCCAAGAAATCTCTTAATTTATTTATTACTGTTGTACTGAGAGCAGACTTTTGAGTGCTCATACTGGAAAGAAGATATCAATCGGTACAACTTGACACTACTTTTATCAAAAACCGATGAATTAAAATTCCAAAGGCTTTCCAGGATAAATCACTAGTGTTCAGAAATATTATGTAAAATATACACTTTTAATGCATAACTGAAGGTTTATCTGGTAAAAGACTCCTATCCTATATGACCTCATGACTGGAGAAATATTTAAAAAATTGGCAAAAAAAGGGTTGGTTAAACTAACACACATATTTAATACTGCAATCAGACTAAAATATGTTCTCAGAATCCAAAATATGCAGAAGTCTTCATGATGCAAAAATCGAGGAAACCACCAAACAAAGTAAAATCATACAGTTGCTTCTACCTACAGATACTAAAACGAATAAAACCCATTGTAGAAAACAAGAAAATCATTACTGACTACCAATTTGTATTCTAAACAAGACATTCAAAAATAGACCATTTCACCAAGTAACGTGTTAATAGAAAAATCATTCAAAGAGAAACAAATTTGTTCTGCTATCTTCCTTGATGTCTCACAGGCTTTTAACAATGTCTAGCATCAGTAAAATAAAGGGGATGTGCTACCAAAGCAGTGTGTAGATATTATCCATTCCTACCTAACTGAAGACTTTTAGAGTCAAACCAAAAAAGACCAATATTCAACTATGAGGTTGTACCACATATCAAAATTTTACAAACGCTCCAAAATAAACTCTTACATAACATTGTCGATGAGGTCACAGCAGAAATAGAATGATTTGGCACTGAACACCAATCTCCCCTCACCAGCACAAAAATTTGGAAGCGACCAAATTCCTACACAACCGAAACATTTGTAGAAGGTTGGGAAAAAAAACCATTTGAACTAGTGTAATTAATAATTTTGTGAAATGTAAATCTTTTTGTACCAATCAATAGGCTAATATGTATGTAAATATTTATTTATTGTATATATAACAATGTTAAATTAATGGTCAGTCTAATAATACCAAAGGGAAAAACAGCCATCTGCATGTTTTTCCCTCTGTTCTGTCACCAGTCAAGTCTTTCACCAACCAATAAACTGAATGTAATGTACATGGTGTTGGTGCTGCCTGCCTCTCTGGAGTCTCACATGCATGAGGTCATGTCACCATGCTGCAGGTGTGTAGAACAAGTTTCTGATGCTTCATATACACACATATCATAACTACATGATGAGACAAACATGTTGATGGTGCTGGAATTCATGTAACCATTACATTTTTTAAGCAATACGAAGCTAGTACCAGTACACTCTGCTGCCAAATAGGTAATTATTGCTTGGATGACAGGTACGTGTACAGGAGAATAAAAATCGCTCTCATGTAACTTAGCCAGTTAGAAGGGGTTTTTAATCTAATAAATTTTCCCCAAATAGAAAAATAATGTCATGTAATTATTAATAATTTAGTTATAATTTAACCAACTGGAGATAAGTGTCACTAGACAGAAACTCCACTAAACCAGTGTATTTAATGTATATATTTGTTAATGAACTTTCTGTTTTTTCTGGTCTCTAGATTTTACATTCTAAAGATCAGTTTTAACAAATAAAAGGGGGAAGTATATGTCGTTGAACTAGTGGTGTTTGTATTGATTTTATTTGTATGAATACATGTATAAAAAGCAGTAAATTATTTTTTCTGTTTCTGGTCAACAAACTTGTCCGATTTAATTTCCTTTGGCTACGATGTGTCCTTTTGGCTATAAAGATTATTATGATTATTATCAAATGACGCCCAGGATGCGATTTCATAACTTCTCAACATATTAGTTTTAAAGAAACACATTTGGCAGAGGACGTGTTTTTCTCTTATGAATTGTTTTGGCCTTCAAGAATGCCAATTAGCCGACCGCAAAGGATGTTCTAATCGAAACGAATACAAAATGTATAATATGAAAAGTTGTTTTCAAAATAATAACGAAAGAAATACAACTAAGAAACTTCTCGTGTGTAGAGTAAGAATTCAAAGAATTTAACAATTTCCGGTGTAGCTATAGTATTTATCGTATTTCACTGTATACCATGACGCCGCGTATTGCGTACTACAAAACAAACGAGAGAATAATTCTGTCAGGTACTTTTTTTTGTAAACCAATTTATAAAAAATAAGTCCTTAGCCACGTGGACGACCTATTTTTAAGGTCAGTTTGTTATTATCTCAATCGTGGTCACAGAGCCGCTATTCCTCAAATTTTAGTCCTTATGGTAATCTTCTACATGAATAATTTAAATCGAGACAAACACGACCACTACTAGGTACATCCAATTACGGTTTAGTCCAGTCTATTGGACAATTTTTTAAACGCGATTGGTAAAAAAGTTGCACAAAGTTACAAAACTCTATAGTCGCCTACTCAAATTATTTTAAAAAATCAATAGATTGATGTAGATTTCCTGTGGGAAAATAAACACTGAACACAAAACAGACTCTTCACCAACAATTTTCATGACGCAAAACATTCCTGGGTTTCTATTTCATTCATTCCAACGCACTTATCATTCTAATGCAAGTTATAAAAAATGTTTTAATATATATAAGCTTTTTTTGCAAAAAAATGTTCTTGTGTGTCAAGAGATAATAGAAATGTCCAATATAAAATACAATCATAAACAATAAAATGGTCTGGTTGTTATACAATGCAATTTTATTTGATATTTATATTACCTAAAAAAAGTTTACACATGTCAGTTAAAACTTAAGTTTAAAAATTCCTAGAACACTGTGATAACATATTTTTAGCTTAATTTATAAATGCATTGATATAATTTTTTGTAACTTTCGGGGATTAATGTACACTGGTAATGGTAATTTATACTACATCTATTTCTTTACATTCCTTTTCTTACATTCTCGCGTTTTAAACCTACTAATTTCTCTTACTGACCCTCCAGCCAGGTTATGATGTCTTATGATTCGACGGTAACCAACTCTCTCCTTTCTTTGTCCTATTGCTAGACTCTCTGTCAGGGATCTCAGGGCTTCGTCAATTGTGGCTAAAATGACACAATTACACAGAAACAAGATAAAACCATAGTCTGGTTAGCATTACCACTACCGCAGAGTACTTTATATCCCAAGGTATAATTCAGAATATGCCCGTCCTTTCACACAAATAAATCACATTCACACACCTGACTTCGTTCACACTATCCCAGAGTTTTCGATATTCCTACTCAAGAGTAACTGGGGATAATAAACCTCCATTTACGCCAATATAAATTTACACACCAGACTTCGTTCACACTACCCCAGAAAACTTCATATTCCTGGAGGTATTTAGGGATAAGCCTCTCCATTCACGCTTATAAATTATATTCACGCTTCCCTATAGCACTGTACATTCCTTCAGGTAAACACCCTCTATTCACCTAATAAATTACCCCATGCGATCCTTATTTCATTATCACAAATTTCATACTAGACAACTAGCAATTTCTAGTTGAATTATTGTTTAAATCCTCAATAAAATAAATATAAACTTTGACTTAAAATTTTGGTTAGCATATCACAGTGGATTTTCCATGTCAAACTTGGGTCAATAAAGACGCCTAATAGTTTTAGAACGACAGGGTGATCAGGTACCATTTAGATCTTTGAGACCACAGACTATTATAAAATTTATTGCTCGATTATCTTTATTATACTCGAGTATGTTTATATAAGGACTTCCTATGTAAAACCATTATCTCCTGTTGATAGTCTGTTATATTTTTTTCTTTTGGAAGTGAAAGTATCAAAAAATCATGTCATATTCAAGATTTTGCTTTATTATTTCTTAAGTCAAGAAACAGTTCTGTTTGAATATAAAAAATTCGGACTTAAATTCTGTATAAGGCCAAACAAGGTCGGCAAAGAATAAAAAACAACGATTAACAATTTGTGGTTAAAAATGTGAAAATTGAATTCTATTTTGAACAGTGGACAACAAACACGATCAAGGCCGACTGGAAACCATCAACAAACAGACAACATACCTTCGTTCGCAGAGCCTTCCCCTCCCTCTGAATCTCCCAAAGCCCCTGAACAAAACCAGAATGAAGGGAAAGCTGATCCGGACAAGGCAATTAACCAGATCGTCAAGATAGAAATATTTCTTCCTGAAACCGCTTCTGTTAGTCACCGTTCCGGCGCCTACCCTGGGTTAAACCCAGGGGGAGAGATGTGGTCATCCTCGGACAAACGGTCATAATTATGTCAAATGAAGACAGAGAAATTTTAAAGGATTTTTTTAATTGTTTCTGGCTTTAAATTGCTCTCGGGAGTAATTTAC